CATTCCTCTAGTTATCCAGATTTGGTCAATTCTTGTCCAAGTCATTTTGGCTTCAGAAAAGAAAGTTCCCTCTTTTGCCAAGGGGTTTCTAATTCTCCAAATATCCACTAAGTCCAAGTTGTCTGTCATGTCAAAAAAGGTTTTCGGTAGTCTACCATCTTTGGTGACTACCTGTCTTTGTGCCTTGTCCATATAAGTAGATACCACTCCATTCATATCTCCCATCAAAATTATGTTGTAATCCATATGGTCCATCAAGGTCTCATGCAACTTCTTAAAAAAAATCGGATTTCCCGTCATTTGGTGCGTAAACTCCTACAATCAAAAATTTTTCTCCTTGTGTTTGAATTTCAATTGCCACAAATCTTCCTTGGTCATCCTTAAAAACAAATTTTGGTGATAAATTGTCTTTTGCGTAAATCACAACCCCTCTCTTTTTAACTTTATCTGACGAAATAAATTCCTGACCAAGTCTTTTATTTATCAACAATTTCCTGTGTAATCTTGTTATATGTGTTTCTTGTAAGCAAATTAGGTCTAATTGTTCCTTTTTTTAATATATGAAATACTGACTTCCTCTTCTGAGGGGAATTCAAACCCCGACAGTTCCATGTTAAAAGTTGCAGGGCCATGATGTTATTGTTTTAGTTCTCCTCCTACTGCACCTAGTGCCTGTTCCTCATCCGTCGGTGGTATCCCTTCTTTCGAACGGTCTTTTGGTTCCGGAAATAGTTCTTTTTGTAAGTCTTCTCCGTGGTCCCTGTAAAATTTATCTTTATCGTCTTCCGATCTTATTTTCCTCTTCTTTCCCTTGTAACTAAAAGACAGGCCTTGAGGGAGTTCCCACCTGAAATTGATGTTGTTCCTTCTCAGCAGGATAACCAGGTCTTTGTATTTTGATCTGAGATCCAGAAGATATTTCGAAATATCTTTGAATATTTCCACCCTTGTCCGCTGGATTTCCAGTGTCTTCTTGAAGTGTAGGCCCAAAATCTTGTCCCTCTCTTCTTTTGTTCAAAAAGTAATCAGGCAGTCTCTCACCTTCTTCTCTCCTCTTCTCCCAAGTCTGAAAGCATTTACTATTGTGAAACTGTCTTTTGCCAGTTCTGGGTCCCAAAAGTCCAAAAATTCCTGAGTGAGAAATTCAGCTAAATTGTCCTTTTCTACCTCAGGTACTGATCTGACCCGAAGATTCACTTGCTTCTCCTTCAAATCTATCATAGACAGAGTTAGTTTGTGGTCTTCCAATTGTTTATGCAGTGTTGGTAATTCCTCTTGAACCTCCTTAACATCCGTAGCAGAAGTTGTAGCAATTTCTTTAGCCTCTTCAGCAATCTGGCGAATTGAGGCCGATTCCTCTAATAATTTCTGAATAGTCTCTGTGTTAGTATTTACTTTTTGGCCCAAATTATTTATACTTGCTGTATTCTGATTAATACTAATTGTATTTTGGTCAATCTTGTCAGAAGCCTCTGCTACTTGTTGACTTATTTTGTTCAAAGATTCATTAACTTTGGCCAAAACTTGAGCAAAGGCTTCTTCACTTGTCGAGCTTTTTACCTTTAATTGTGCCGATGAGGCTGTTGTTGAGGTTCTAGAGGGGCCTGAGGCCGAAGCTCTCCTTTGTAATCCTTCTTCTAAGCGAAGAGGCCTCCCCGATCTTGTAGTCGAAGCATCCGCCTTCTCTTTATCTGCCATTCCTTAGATAATTCTCAAGGTCAGACACGTAGTTAGAATTAAACAGTGGAAATTTCCTCCCAAGCAGTGTGAGAACTCCTCAAGCCTGCTACAATTACAGTTATAACAAGTTGCAACAGTTCCAAGTTCCACTAGGGGGACACTGTAACAGTCATAAAAGTTCTTGGATACTTTAATTTCCTTTTTAAGCCCCCCTAGTTTGTTCAGAAGGAAGACAGTCTATCACAATTTTCAACTTAGGACCAGGAGATATATATTCACAAAATCTGTCCAAACTTTTATTTCCAGTGCAGGACTAGCTGTCAAAATGTATTACAAGACAGTACCTGTCTTTCTTTCATAGGATCTGGAAAATCCTTTCCCAGGGAATTGAGTGACGGTTTAATCTCTTCTTTTCCACTCTTTATGAAGAAATCACCTCCAAAAATCTCCCCCTTTTTCCCTCAACTTATAGAGGGAAAAGTCCAGGTTAGATGATTGGATTAAAATCCACTAAAACGTACTTTCCAAATGCTTCCGCTTTCAAGTTCAATGCTTTAATTTATCTACAATAAAAGAGGCTCACTTCCTTTTTAAGCCTCCTTCCGTTTTCAGCCTGATTTCAATTTTCAATTTGTACAGTTCCAATTTGGGTTTTATCCTACTCACGGATCATTGATTTCCAGGTCCGGATTTTAAGGAAGAAAGGCAGCGCTCTCCGGTCAACAGCTTGCGGCTTCACACCACGAACGAGCAGACAGCCCACAGCACAGCGCTCTCCCCCGCTCCGATTTCAAGCCCGTTTCTGGGCTTTTTGCCAGGTTGGGGGGGGCGCCAAATGTGCCCGCTGGGTCCCAGGTTCACAGGCTTCCCCCGCCTGTGATTTTTAGGGGTCCCCCGCTGCGCCGAAGCGGGATTCGACCCTGTTTTTCGTGGCGCTGATTCCCTCTAACCGAGGAAATCCGCCATCGACCGCTGGCGCCGCCTCCAGAAGTCCCAACAGCATCTGGGATTCTAACATCCCCACCGTGAACCCAGAATGGAGGGATATCAACTGTTTCCTCTGTGAATGTTCTGCGTCTAATCATGCCTTTTAAAACAGTGACCAGGCTTCTCTGAACCACCCAGGCCTTCTTAAATGCCGGCTTCAGAGTTTTTAGGGAAGTTGATGTAAATTCAGTCAGGTGTGTTGTTTTTGCTTCTGTTTGCATTTGATTGACCAGAGATGACTGACCTTGGAGATGGAGTGGATTCCAGGATTGAGCAAGAACAAAATCCATTCCAGATAAAAGCCAAGCAATATGTCAGTAAATACCGGCCAACCAAGGCAGTGAAAACTATAGAGAGGCCCCACATCTAACTATTTTTAGTTCTTCCTCTATCACAAGCATTAATTAACTTGGTTCAATGATCTGGAGCTCCATTTTTTCTGAGGCTCTAATTCGCTTCTCTCTTCATTGCAGATGGAGATGAACTGGAAGGGAAGAACAAGGGGGAGCACAACAGAATCCACACAGCGGAGAAGTCAAATAAACATTCAGAGTGTGGAGAGAACATCGGTCAGAGCTCCCAGGACACCTACCGTCAGAGAACGAGCTTCGTTCAGAGGGATAGCCTCACTGCACACAAAAGAGGACAGAGCAGGGAGAAACCCTATCAGTGCAGAGAATGTGGAAAGAGCTTTAATCAAAGCGCACATTTCATTTCCCATCAAAGAATTCATACCGGGGAGAAACCCTATCAGTGCTTGGAATGTGGGAAGAGCTTCAGTCAGAAGCATAGTCTCACTTACCATCAAAGAATTCATACCGGGGAGAAACCCTATCAGTGCTTGGAATGTGGGAAGAGCTTCAGGCACAGTACTACTTTCACTTTGCATCAAAGAACTCATACAGGGGAGAAACCCTATCAGTGCTTTGAATGCGGGAAGAGCTTCACTGATAGCTCCCATCTCACTTCCCATCACAGAATTCATACAGGGGAGAAACCCTATCAGTGCTTGGAGTGTGGAAAGAGCTTTAGCCAAAATGCACATCTCACTTTCCATCGAAGAATTCATACAGGGGAGAAACCCTATCAATGCTTGGAATGTGGGAAGAGCTTCAGTCAGAAGGGGAATCTCACTTCCCATCGCAGAATTCATACAGGGGAGAAACCCTATCAGTGCTTCGAATGTGGGAAAAGCTTCAGCCGGAAGGATACTCTCATTTTCCATCAAAGAGTTCATAGAGGGCATAAACCGTATCACTGCTTGGAATGTGGAAAGAACTTCAGTCAGAGGGTCCATCTCACTTTGCATCACAAAATTCATACCGGGGAGAAACCCTATCAGTGCTTGGAATGTGGAAAGAGCTTCACTCATAGCTTCCATCTCACTTCCCATCGCAGAATTCATACAGGGGAGAAACCCTATCAGTGCTTGGAATGTGGAAAGAGCTTCACTAATAGTTCCAATCTCACTTGCCATCATAGAATACATACAGGGGAGAAACCCTATCAGTGCTTGAAATGTGGAAAGAGCTTCCGTAACAAGGTGAATCTCACTTCCCATCAAAGAATTCATACAGAGGGGAAACCAAAAAAGAGAAATAAAACAAAAATTATTAAACAACCCTTACAAAATACAACTGTATAGAAAAGAGAAAGGGGGGATATAAACAAAAATACTGTTTATGGCATTTGTATCATATATATCATATCATTCGTCAACCCACAGAAAGGCAGGCTCCCCGACTTCTCCTCGCGTGACCCCCTCTTCTCCCCGTATCCCACCCTGAGAGATCCTTCCCTGCGTTCCTTGCAGGTCCCACCCACCTTCAAGTGTTCTCTTCCTATGTGTGTCCTCCTAAATTCTAAATAAAGGAATCTTAATATAAAATATTAAAAATATTAAAAATACAAAAAATAGATGATACCCTTCCCATCTGGCTGGGTTTCCTCAGTCACTCTGGGCAGCTTCCAACAAAATATTAAAATACAGTAATCCATCAAATATTAAAAGCTTCCCTAAACAGGGCTTCCTTCAGATGTCTTTTAAAATCTGGTAGTTGTTTTTTCCTTTGACATCTGCTGGGAGGGTGTTCCACAGGGCAGGCACCAAAAAGAAAATTCCCATCTTCATCTGAAAATCATCTGTAGCAACAATTATTCATAATTTGCACTCCAGAATAAACCCAGCTGCAGTTAGTATACAGTGGTGTAGTGCTTAAGAGCGATAGATTCGTAATGTGGGGAACTGGGTTCGCGTCTCCGCTCCTCCACATGCAGCTGCTGGGTGACCTTGGGCTAGTCACACTTCTCTGAAGTCTCTCAGCCCCACTCACCTCACAGAGTGTTTGTTGTGGGGGAGGAAGGGAAAGGAGATTGATAGCCGCTTTGAGACTCTTTCGGGTAGTGATAAAGCAGGAAATCAAATCCAAACTCTTCTTCTTATCCTCTTCACCAAGATGACACTTTCCCTTCATTTCCCTCCCTAGCCCAGCTTTCAAATCTTAATCAACTCAGACAGTCTAATAATCCAAATTAGTATTTCTCCAGTTTCTAGGTCCAGTTTCTATAAAGCCTTTGAAAAACTGTTCCAACGAATCTCAGCCAAGTCACAATGGAAAATTATGGACTCTTATGATGTTCATCCAATCCTGCTTCCTCTTCTTTCTTCTTTCCCTAATCTTTGGACATTTTAATCCACTGGGGATGGGGAAGCAGGCATCTCAATTCCCTTTCCTCAAACGAGATCATAGCTTGCCTTGTTCACCGTTTCCGGAGTTGCTTTGCATTCTCTGCCTCTCATTCCCACACCAGCTCAGCCCAACCTCGTCTTTCCCTGGGGCTCTTTCTGTCTCCTCCTGCTCTTCCCTCGCCTGCTCAACACAACCTTCTGTCTCTCCCAGCAACTCCTTTCCAACGACACCCACCTTGTGACCCACACATTCCCCTCCGTCTCTTTTTCTGGGTCTTCAATGCCAAGGCGCTGCAGAAGCTTCTTTGGAGCGGATGCATCTGGTTCCCAATAAATCACGCAGAGGCAAAGTTCACTGGCAAAAGAAGAAGGTTTCTCAGCTTTCTCAAGGGATCCTTATTAAACTTGGGAATGCATGTGATCCCATCTCTACAGCTCACAAAAACACCAGAGAGAAGGTGGGCTGGAGCCTGAAAGGCGAAAGCATTGGCCTCGAACGCAGGCCTCAGGAACGCTTTCCCCCATGGAGACCCAGGACCCCTTCTCCTTCTGAAGGGACCTCCGAGGAGGAAGCCAGGGCGGATCAGTCCCTGGACCGTGGAGGCGATTCCAAGTGCTACATTCCACACACTTCCCCTCAATAATGAGTGGCTGAATATTCAATTTACATTTCCTAAAGTCCACAATAATCTCTCTTGTTTTCTTTCAGCTAAGGAGGAAGTTGTTTTTCCTGCACCACTCCCCCAACTGCTCAACATCCTTCCTATAGGCCACCTCCCCCTCTCCAGCCGTGATTAAACCAACCACCGTTGTATCATCTGCAAACTTAATGATCTTATTACGGGGGTATTTGGGGGCACAGTGAGCTGTATAGAGTGGGCTCAACACTCACCCCTGTGGCACCCCCATATTCATGAGATCCGCAGAGACGTGGGAATCCATCCTGACCCGTTGGGAACGGTTTGATAGAAAATCTAATATCCACCTGCACAAACACGGTGGAAGTCCCAGGTCTAATAGTTTGGGCATCAATCTATGCGGAAGAATAGTATTAAACGCAGAAGTACAAATAACAATCTCGCATAGTTCCCTTTCTTCTCCAAATGAGTCAGGACACCATGTAAAGCCACAGCATCCTCCGTGGATCTCTTTGCCTTGTACACAAACTGGTGAGGGTCAAGTCCTACTGGCAGACAAGATATGATACGGTTCCTTGCCAGTTTTTTGAAACATTTCATTATAATGGGTGTCAACGCCACAGGGCAAAAATTATTCAGACTGTCTATCTTTGGGTTTTTTGGCAGGGGTATGATGGTACCAGATTTCAGACAGGGTGGAACGGCGGCTTGGGCCAGAGACTGGTTAAAAATCTTCATAAAGATTCCTGCCAGTTGGTCCAAACAATCTCTTAGCACCCTGCCAGCCACCCCATCTGGGCCCATAGCCTTCCTCGTGTTTACCTCCTTTCATATTCGCCTTGCTTCTCCCTCTTCCACCCTGGCAGCATTTCCTGTAGGCAGTGAGGCCAATAGCTCTGACATCCTTGTTGGAGCCACTGTTGGTGTCACCTCCAATCGGGCAAAGTTCTTCAACTCTCCCACCAAGGAAGCAGTACTCTCTACCACTGATGTATTTCTCGATTTATAACCAGTCAGATGTTGAACTCCCTGCCACATTTGTCTAGTATCATTTCTTAGATGGTCCTCAATTTTTCCTCTGTACTCCACTTTTGCTTTCCTGATACCCCTCTTCAAGTTCGCTCTTTCTATACCATACGGTACCCGGTCCCCAGTTCTAAAAGCAGAGTTTCTGGCCTTCAAGAATCTCCTAACCTCTCCTGTCATCCAGGGCTTCCTATTCGGATACAACTTAACATACCTTTCCCTGGTGCGTTTCCTGTGCCGAATCTAAGACCGTTGATGTAGAAGTTTCTAGATCTTGATGGTCGAACATATTCCAATCGGTCTCCTGGAAACAGTCCTGCAACTGCTGAGAGGCTCCCTCAGGCCACACCGTAACCATCCGAGTTTGTAGCTGGCCTTGTTTCCTGAGGGGTGTGTGCACTGGTGTCAGAAGCAGGGACACATGATCTTAACCACCGAGGTGCGCCTCATATGCCTGTCTAATGTTCATATACACCTTGTCAAGAGTATTTTCTCCCCTTATTGCACACTCAGTGGGCTGATAGAATTTTGGGAGTACTGCTCTCACATCTGTGTGAGTGAAGTCCCCCACAATAATCCGCGCTGGATTTGATTGGATTGGATATCCCGCCTTTCACTCCCCTTCAGGAGTCTCAAAGCGGCTAACATTCTCCTTTCCCTTCCTCCCCCACAACAAACACTCTGTGAGGTGAGTGGGGCTGAGAGACTTCAGAGAAGTGTGACTAGCCCAAGGTCACCCAGCAGCTGCATGTGGAGGAGCGGAGACGCGAACCCAGTTCCCCAGATTACGAGACTACCGCTCTTAACCACTACACCACACTGGCTGCCTCCGGGTATCTGCTCAATTTAGCATTGATGTTTTCATGCATACTACTCATGGTCCTGCAGGCATTTGCAGAAGGTGCTAGATAAGAAAGCTGCAGAGATAGTGCAGGATAGTGCGCACCCTGGAAATGATCTCTTTCAGCTTCTGCCTTCTGGAAGGTGGTACAGGGTTATAAAGACTAGGACTAGCCGCCTGAAAAACAGTTTCTATCCAAATGCAATTTTGGTTTTAAATACAGTGTAAGGTAGTCTCTATGGGAGTATATTATCTTTAATTATGGGGTATCAGAGTTTTTAGGGGGTAACAAGGTTGGGATAGCTGGGATAGCAGGCTTGTTGGTTTTTGAATGTCTGATGTACATTTTTTCAATTTTGTTGTTCTGTATGGGACAATGACAATAAAGATTATCGTATTGTATTGAGACTCATCTGGAAAGCGCCATTTCATGTTCCTTTCCCCACTTGCCAGGAGTCTGAGCTCCATTTAGGGTTCCTCCTTCTGCACCCCAAGGTTCCTCCAAGGCCTTAGGGAAGGAAACTGAGGCAGGCTCTGCTTGCTCCCCAGGGCCCTGCAGGGGATTCGGGGGGGGGGGTCTTCCTCTGGCCATGGCAGCCCCCAGGAAGCCTTGGAAGAAAGGCAGGAGATCCTCAGCAGAGAACAGCCAAGTCCGGTTCTTCTCCGCAATGGCTTCCTCTTCTGAGCTCCCTCTCTTTCTTGTCTGGGCTGGACTGGGAGGACCCCAGTTCAGCCAGTTCCCTAGAGTCCCCCCACTGCCTCCTGAGACCCACAGGGATCAGGAGTGGGAGCGACCTCTCCTGTTCAAATACCGCCTGAGGGGGAAGAACAGATGTCTTGGCCCATTTGGGGGGCAAATGAGGGCCATCCAGAAAGGGCTCCTGGGGCCCCAAGGGGCCAGCAGGGGAGTCTCCAGCCTTGTCTGGGAAAGAGCCCCCCCTTCCCCTAGGCCTGCAGGTGGAGCCCTTCTGCTTGCGCTGACTCTTGGGGTGACCGAGAATGCTGCTCCGGGGGTCAAGCTCCCCTGAGGGAACCCTCCACCTTTGAGGGGATAAAGCCCTTATTATTATTATTATTACTACTACTACTACTACTGTTATTCTTCTCCTCCTTGGGCCTTTCCCTCCTGGCCCCCTTTGCAGACCCCGGCGGATCCCCCAAGGCCGCTTGCCTGGCGTCTCCCAAGGGAGAGGCCTCCTCCGTGGGGCCAACATGGCGAGGAGAGAGGCTGCCCTGCGGAGGCCAAGCCATCATGGCAGGAAGGCGGCTGAGGACCAAAGGTGCCGCCCTCCTTCATCCGGGAGGAGAGACCCCGAGAGCGTGGGACCCCCGAGGCCCACAGGGGAGCCATGGCGTCTCTGGGAGCGGCTGGGGCCTCCGGGAAAAACAAAATGGCGTTCCCGCCTATTTCGGAAAAGGGCGGGAAACCCCTTCTCCTGGCCCTGCCGCCTCCGTGGGCTCCGCCTGGGCCTGCCTGGCCATGGGGGGGGGGGGAATCCAGCTGCCCCCAAATAATGAGGGAGAAGAGAAACAGGAGGAGAAGGAAGGAGAAATGAAGAAGCTGGGAAGGGGAGCAGCCATGAGGGAAACTCAGGGGGAAAACTCCCTCAGGAAACCGGGCGAAGGAGAAGAGGCGGCCCAGGGGAATCTGAAAGGGGATTGGCCAGCTGCCCAATGGAGAGGCCTCTGATTGGTCCAGCCCTGCTCTGGGGTGGGAAATGCGTCTCCTGCCTCCATGTGGTTCTGGGAGCCCAGGAGAAACTGGTTTTCTGGCAGGAAACACGGGGCAAGGATGGCAGGGGTCCCTCTTCCTTTGAACTGGAGTCTGGTCCCCTCTCTCCACCATCCTGGTCTTCCCCTTTATTTTTCATGCGCCCCCCTCCTGCCCCCCCCGGGTCGCGTGTGCGTTTCCTTCCTCGCCTGGGACTCTTCCTCCTCCGTCTCTCTTCCTGGGGTGAGAAGCGGCTGCAGAAGCAGAAAAACCCGTATTTTCGGGAGGGGAGGGGTCTCCCGGCTGGGAAGCCCCCCTCTCCCCCGCTGAGCTGGAGGGTGTTCCTTGGGGGTGTCTTTTGGGAGCCATTTCGGAGCCCACGGCACCACCCGCCTCTCGGCAGCCTCCGCCGCTCCTCCCCCCCAGCCTTTCCGTGGGATCCAGGAGCCGCGAGGTTGGGGGCGGGGGTGAGCCCCGCTAACCCCCCCAGGGACCCCCCCCCCCCCGTCTCCCTTGCAGTTAGTCTGGTTGGATGTGGGCTCCTTGGGGCAGAGGGAGGGAAGGGGGGCAGCCCCTAGAGCGCAGGCGCAGAAGCAGGAAAACTGAAGGCAGGGAGAGGGAGGGGAGGACTCGGCTTGCCAAGGGTTAAAAGGAGCAGGGCGGGATTCCTAGAGAGGACGGGAAGTGAAGGGGGAGGGGGCAAGGTCCTCCAGAGCAGAAGCCCCTCCCTCCCCCTCCCTCCCTGCCTTCTTCTTCTCTCTCCTTTGCAAAAGCCCCTCCTGGACTCGGGTGAGTCTCCTGTCTCCTCCCCCTGAGGGTGCAATGGGGAGAAGGGGGTCCCAGGGGTGCAGGGAGGGGGCGTGGGGGTCCCTGCTCAGATCATGCGCGGTGGGAGGAGACCCCCAAGTCAGGGAGCGGAGAGTCAGGGCAGAGGGAAAAGGAGACGCAGCACTGAAGGGGGCGGAAAAGGGGGCATAATTCCATATGAATTATGGAAAGGATTTGCTGTGATTATTATTAATCAGGATACAAGAAAAGGGAGGAGGAGGAGGTCAAAGAAATAAGGTATTGAAAGTGGAGAATTTGAGAATGATGGTTTTATTTTTTATTTTTATTTTTCTGTCTTGTCTTTTTTGTGTGTGTAATTTAAAAAAAAAAAATTTCCCCAATAAATATCATTTAAAAAAGAAAAGAAAAGGGGGCGAAGGGATCCAGGGGGCCAAAGCAAGGCGGGGAAGGAAGGGGGGCGCTGGGGGGGGGGAGGCGCTCCCTGGCTCGCTCCCCCCTAGCCTGGAGGTCAGCAAGGACCTATGGCTGCTTTAGGTAAACTCGCCACCTTGGGCTGGGCAAAATACAGGTGGGGGGGAATTGGGGGGCCAAAAATCCCTTTACCTGGTGCAGAAATCCCTTCAAAGCAATCCATTACAGTGATCCGATGGAAGCTCCCAGTCCCTGCAAACATTCCAAAATGATTTAGCCCTCTGCACAGCTGATGAAGGGAAAACCCAGGAATCATTGTCTTGTCTGCCTATGCGGCATCTCTCAGGGCCAGTCTTTTTTGTCTGCCAACCAAATCATCTTTATCAGACACTTCGAAGATTGTTTCATGCTACTCTTCTAGGGAAGACACTAGACAGAAAAAGACAAGAGTCAAGAAAGTAGAAAAGAATGTACTACGACACTGACAAAATAGGAGTTGTATTTTGTACATACTGGACTTGGGGGTCAACTGAAAAGCTACATTTTAATATATTATGTCACGATGTTGATTTTGACATTATGAGAATCTGTATCTAATTCTAGAGAAGTAGTTTCTAGTAAATAACTGAGAACACCAAATGCATAATAAAACAAAGACAAACCAATGATCTCTCCTCCCACAAACATATTTCAGAGGCATGTCAACTGGCCAAAGGCCCAGTTATAGAGAAACATTTTTGCCTGGCACCTAAAGATGTCAGGAAGGTGCCAGGCGAGCCTCCCACAAATGGGGATCCACGGCAGAAAAGGCCCGCTTTTATGTTGCCACCACCCAGACCTCTGGTGGAGAAGGCATGCAAAGAAGGGCCTTAGAGCAGAGGCTGGATGGCCCTTGGTCAGGGATGGTCTAGTTGAGATTCCTGCACTGCCCCGGGGGTTGGCTAGATGACCCTCAGGGGTCCCTTCCAACTCTGCAATTCTCTGGTGCAGGCTTGTGCAGATTTTTAGGTACAAGTTGGATGCGAGGGGTGCATAGGATCCGGTCGCCGTCAGCACAACCTGAAAGCGCTCAACCTGAAGCGTATTCAACCTGAGGTATGACTGTACTTTGATGGCTTCCATGCCAGGGTGGGGGCCACATTTCGAGACCGGAGACTTGCAAAGATGGTGTATAAGCACAGGGAATATCGAAGAAGGAGCGGTGTATTAGTCTCCAGATGATTCAGAAATGTGGCATCACCAGCTCCTCTGCTTCCGCATACAGATTTGGTCCCCATGCAACCCCAGACAGAGGCAAATACAGTGCTACCTCAGGTTACATACGCTTCAGGTTACATACACTTCAGGCTTCAGACTCCGCTAACACAGAAATAGTACCTCGGGTTAAGAACTTTGCTTCAGGATGAGAACAGAAATTGTGCGGCGGCAGTCGGAGGCCCCATTAGCTAAAGTGGTGCTTCAGGTTAAGAACAGTTTCAGGTTAAGAACAGACCTCTGGAACGAATTAAGTATGTGACCAGAGGTAGCACTGTATGGCCACAACATCTGCCTGGCTTGCGATGAGGGAGCTCAAAGAGCGTCAGCAGGGCTCTCCATAGAAAGCACCTAGCATGAGGGCAGCTACAGGTAATGGCTACTCATCTATTTTCTGCCCATGCTCTGGGGTTGCAGTTTTCAGGCTCAGGGACAGGAAGGTGACTGGGTTTGGCACCAAGTTGTGTCCATAAGCCCCACTGAGTTCAAGGGGATGTACTCTCAGGTCACTACTATGCAGACCATGCCAGCCTTATGAAGTGGGGTGAGGAGTAAACAGGTGAAATTGGAACCACTGGAGAAGTTTAGAAATGGGGCTTCTGTTAGGGGCAGGAGAATATCTAGGGCAGGAGTTTCTCTGAGGCTCCCTTTGCTTCTTCCTCTCTCCCAGGACCCTGCAGCTTCTTTTGGCTACTTGACTCTTCAGGAAGGATGAGTGAGACAGATCCTGTCAAGCTAGAGGAGATGGAAGAGGGAAGATGGACCGATGACCTGGTCAGGTTGTCTCCTGCCTCCCTCTCCACAACCTCTGAGTGTTCCCTCCCAGGGACCTCCGAGAGATCTGGTGAGTCCCAGGAGAGTGGAGATGGGGATGTGGAGGGATGGAGCCAGAGAGGAATTGGGGCTTGCTCAGCTTGGGGGTGGGGGGGAGGCAGGCAGGCGGATGGAGATGGAGAAGGGGAGCACCTTTTCGGGCTCCCCCACCTGCCTGCCTGCCTGCCTGCCTACGCTTTTGTCATCTGCAGGCAATTTGAGCTAGGAATAGATCACAGCTCCCCGGCCACCGCGATGTATTGGCAGCTCAAAATGTCTAAAACCAGTTCTGTGATCTGGATGCCCTACCAATGTCAGACAACTCACTGATCCATCACGTAGCACTAGAGGCCACAACTCTTTAATCTGATCCTGCTTTGTAGATTGAACGCAGATGAGGCCTCGGTGTATTGGTTTTTTCTTTTCTTTTTGGAATAACTTTTTATTTGCTTTTAAAAACAAGGATCATAGGACTAATAAATAATACAATTATGTAGGCCAGGTCTTCTCATGTCATTTCTATGTAAAATAGCAGAATAAATTTGCCAGAATATCTATAACATATGGTTCATCATTAGTGGTCAGGGTATGAGTTCTGGGTTCATTAATTGCTTTCAACTGAAGAAAAGGGGGAGGAACAGGAGAGAGCAGAGAACATTCAAGATCGCAAAACTGAATGCCTAGTCAGGAGCTCTTGTGGCTCTTGTGCCTAGATTAATTTTGAGCAATAGTCATTATTCCTCTTCTGTCACCAATGAAACAATACAGAGTTGGTCTCCTCATGAAAATGGGAGGGGATTCAAAGTGAAGAAAGAGATTTACGTATACATTTAAATTTAGACCAACCAGATTAAGGCAACAGCTGATGGGGAGTGTTCAGGTGAAGGTGTTGCTGTTTGTTTCACAGACGAGACGTGGACGTTGCTGGATCCTGACCAGAGAGCTTTGCATAAGGAAGTCAAGGAGGAGAATCATGGGATCATGTACCCTCTCGGTAAGCTCCCTGTTGGATCATAAGATCAGTTTTTTTAAAAAAAATTATTTAATCATTTTTTCTATACAAACAGCAACCGCAAAAGACACTACTGTACAACAAAAGCCATAATAACAATAATAACACAATTTGACAATTCAGATTTAAATACACTGATATACCTGTGACTGCACCCTTTTAACAATATTTTCCCACCTCTCTCTCCTCCCCCCACTTCTCACCTCTATCCGCCTTATCGCTTAAATATTCATTCCAGATTTCTTCCTATTTATCCATTCTTAATTTGCGTTGACATGCAATTCTCCCTGTTCCCAGTATATTTGTCTTAGACTTAGTAGGCTGGACTCAATTTTTTTAGCTAGTATATTCAGTTCTAATGTTAGTTGTTGTATTCTTTCATATGTACCCTCAGATATATTATGTTCCATATCACCCCGTAGTGTTTTTAAAGAAATGTTTAGATTATTTTACTTTAATCTTTGCAGCTTGGCTTTGTTGGCAGAGAAGGATATTATCTTCCCTCTGGTGTAAGCTTTATATCCTTCCCATTCCATCAGTCTTGACATTGAGGATTTGGAGTTATTTTTAAAATATATTTGTGTTTCTTGGCTTATATATTGAATGAAGTTTTTTTCATTTAGTAATGATATATTAAGATACCATCTCCTCATACCTTCCTGGGTTTTAGATAAATTATATTCCCATATTACTGCTGAGTGATTAGCTATAACGGGAATATCAATGTCACATCGGCTACTAACGGGATGTAATGCTGATGTTAGCAAAAAATCAATTCTATGCTGGGTATTATGAATTCCTGCAAAATATGTATATGATTTTTCCTTAGGGTGATGCAATCTCCATGAATCCACTGTATCATATAGTTCCACTGTATCATATAGTTATTAATTGTCTCTCTAACCTTTGTCCTTTTTTCCCTGCCTACGGAGGTGGTATCCATCTGTGGATCTAAAATTTCATTAAATTCTCCACCCATTATCAAGTGCTGATACGATAGAAGGCTTAATCTCTTAAAGCAGTTGTGAATAAACTTATGGTCATCAGTGTTGGGGGCACAGACATTTACTATTGCTATTTCTGTCCCTTCTGTTTTAATTACAATTATTAAGCACCCACCATCTTCCTCTCTTATTATATCTTGTATTTCATGAGGCCAGCCTTTCCTAAATAAAATTGTGACTCCCCTAGCATTTTCGTCTGAGTTTGTTGAAATAACTTCTTTTACCCATTGACATTTCAAAGTTTGAGCCCCTTGTTCTGTCAAATGTGTTTCCTTTAATAGACCTATATCAGCCTTTAATGACTGTAGATATTTGAGTGTTAGCATTTGTTTTTTTCTTTTCCTTTAACCCCTTGACATTCATACTTATAATTCTCATTATGACTTTAATCTGTAAGCTTCCTTGTCCTCTATTTTATCTTTAGCAAAATTGTTTGGAAGGCCTAATATAGACCAAATATACTGAAAATTATTATTGCTCCAACCTGAGTCATATATTAACTGTACATATATTTAACATATGGATTACGAAATATATGAGTAATTAACATTCTTGCATATCTAAATATATATAAGGCAGACTCTACCCGTTATACACACTGAAATTAACTTTAAGTATTCCCAATTAAATAATTATTATTTGAAAATATTCAAAGGAAGTAGAGAAAAAAAGAGAGAAAGGTGTAAAGTAGTTCAATTAACAGTAAAAAGGATTCTGAAAGGGTGGGCTCAAATATATACCAATAGCCAACAATTAATAATATAATATCAACACTAACGGTAAGAAAACAAAACATAAACTGCTTAATACACTCAACAATAAAACAGAGATAAATAACAAAAAAGAACAACAAAAAGGGGGTGTAATGTGTATGGGTTGCTCGTGCGTAAGTTGCCGCCTCTCCAGGCTTTGTTGCCTTGCTAAACCATTCAGTCTGGGCAGCCCTTCACTTCGTGGCTGCCTCAGTCGCTAGCAGAATCCGTCAGTGGGCGTTTCTTAAATCTTTTCCAACATAAAAGTTGTTTGACACCCAGTCTCCTCCTTCTCTCTCTGCACGGAAGTCTTCTGCGCAGGGTGGGCGTGGGTAGCGGAGGACCCGTGCTCTCCCCGCTGGTGTCCAGTGAAGAGTCCTGGAGCCCTCTCGCCGATTCCCCCATCTGCCCCCCTTTATCCCTGGTGTTGCGCTGATTTGCTTCCCCCTCTGCTGAGCTGCCTCTCTCCCTGCTGGGCCCTTCTCCAGCATCATTTGAGAGCCTTCCCTCCACCTCTAGCTCCGATGTCAGTTCCCTGACATCTGGGGACCAAATTCATGACTTTCGCTCTGTAGGAGATGCAAACATTCACCCCTTTGAGCTCCTAGGTTCACATATATATAATAGTCAGGAGTATGTTGCTGTTTGTTTTACAGACAAGGTGTGGACGTTGCTGGATCCTGACCAGAGAGTTCTACATAAGGAAGTAAAGGAGGAGAATCGTGGGATCATGGACCCTCTTGGTAAAATTCCGTTAGATCATAAGATCAGTTTTGAAATTCCATGCATACCTCTATATGATGAACCTTCACTATTTGGATGGAGACCAAGAGCATCTGGGATTCTAACATCCCCCACCGTGAACCCAGAATGGAGGGATATCAACTGTTTCCTCTGTGAATGTTCTGCGTCTAGTCATGCCTTTTAAAACAATGACCAGGCTTGTCTGAACCACCCAGGCCTTCTTAAATGCCGGCTTCAGAGTTTTTAGGGAAGTTGATGTAAATTCTGTCAAGCGTGTTGTTTTTGCTTCTGTTTGCATTTGATTGACCAAAGAGATGACTGACCTTGGAGATGGAGTGGATTCCAGGGTTGAGCCAAAAAATATCTATCCCAGATAAAAGCCAAGTAATATCTCAGTTAATACCAGCGCTTGAAAAGCAGTGAAAAGTATAGGAAGGCCTCCCATCTCTCCCTTCAGTTCTTCCTCTGTCACAAGCATTCATTAACTTTGTTCAATAATGGATGTGAACCACGTCCCCTTCGCTCTGAGTGGGGTTGGGGTCCGGGGCAGCGATGCAGAGTTTGCATGACTTACGCTGACATGGCAGTGCATTGGTGGGGGAGGGGTCAGGTGGTGGGTTTGATGGTTCTGTGTCTGCGCCCCTGTCATAGTATGCTGGCAGTTGCACCCCACTGGTTTCAAGAGAGTCAGGCGCCCTGCAGGCGTGCTCAAACGCTGGGTCGAAGATGCCACACATCGACAATGACATTAAGTTAGACTTCAAGGATGTCCTCTTGAGGCCGAAACGGAGCACTCTCAAGTGAGGTGGGGGGAAAACATTGTTCAGTAATCTGGACCTCCATTTGTTTTTGAGGCGCTAATTAACTTCTCTCTTCATTGCAGATGGTGATGAATTGGAAGGGGAGAACAAGGGAGACCACAACAGAATCCACATATCGGAGAAGTCATATAAATATTCAGAGTGTGGAGAGAACATCCGTCAGAGCTGCCAGTCCACCTCCCGTCAAAGAAAGAGCTTTGTCCAGAGGGATAGCCTCACTGCACACAAAAGAGGACAGAGCAGGGAGAAACTGTATCAGTGCAGAGAGTGTGGGAAGAGCTTCAGTCGGAAGGATCATCTCACTTCCCATCAAAGAATTCATACTGGGGAGAAACCATATCAGTGCTTTGAATGTGGAAAGAGCTTCAGAAAGAGCTCCCATCTCACTTCCCATCAAAGAATTCATACGGGTGACAAACCCTATCAGTGCTTTGAATGTGGAAAGAGCTTCAGCCAGGGGATCTATCTCACTTTCCATCAAAGAATTCATACAGGGGAGAAACCATATCAATGCCTGGAATGTGGAAAGAGCTTCATTTACAAGCTGAGTCTCGCTTCCCATCACAGATTTCATACAGGGGAGAAACCTTTTCAATGCCTTGAGTGTGGAAAGAGCTTCAGTCACAGGCAGGGTCTCACTTCGCATCAAAAAATTCATACAGGGGAGAAACCCTATCAGTGCTTAGAATGTGGAAAGAGCTTCAGTCACAGGCAGAGTCTCACTTCCCATCAGCGAATTCATACAGGGGAGAAACCCTATCAGTGCTTAGAATGTGGAAAGAGCTTCCGGGAGGGGACTAAGCTTTCTTCCCATCAACGAATTCATACAGGGGAGAAACCCTATCAATGCCTGGAATGTGGAAAGAGCTTTAGTCAAAGCGCACATCTCACTTCCCATCAAAAAATTCATTCAGGCGAGAAACCATATCAGTGCTTTGAATGTGGAAAGAGATTCATTCTCAGGCAAAGTCTCACTGCCCATCAAAAAATTCATTCAGGGGAGAAACCCTATCAGTGCTTAGAATGTGGAAAGAGCTTCTTGGAGGGGACTACGCTCTCTTCCCATCAAAGAATTCACACAGGGGAGAAACCTTTTCAATGCCTTGAGTGTGGAAAGAGCTTTCGTCACAATTCCAGTCTCACTTGCCATCAAAGAATTCATACCGGGACGAAACCCTATCCGTGCTTGGAATGTGGGATGAGGTTCAATCGAAAGGATAGTCTCACTTCCCATCAAAGAACACATACAGGTCAGAAACCGTATCAGTGCTTCCAATGTGGAAAGAGCTTCAGTCAAAGCTCGAATCTCAAGACCCATCAAAGAATTCATACAAGGGAGAAGCCATTATGGAGGCCTCCCTCTCTGGTAACAGGACACCCATGAAGTGTTTGGCAGCAGTCCTGTATCTCAGCGACTCCTGTCTGCTCATATGAGCATGCAGACAGCAGAGGAAACGATAGCTGAGCTGTTGGAAGTATGTAGTATCGCTATTTATTGCAGTGTATCAAATCAAAACAAATCAACACAAATCATAATATAGAATAGAGCAACAGTGTGAGGAGCAGCTCACACACATCCTGTCTGTCTGGGAGACAGAACAAAAAGATGAAAAACAAAAGCACAAAGAACGGAAGTTCTGTGTCTGAGTTTCCGTTCTTACACTTCCAGAAGTGTGGAATGTAAATAAGGATCACATGATCCAGAAATGGGAGAGTGAAAATACTAGCATCCTACCCCTTTTCATGACAACCATTGCCGCATATTTAGCTCATGTGCACTTTATTTATAAATAGTCAGTTGCTCTTTGTTAACAACATTTGACAACAAATCAGCAATTTCTTTTCCTGGCATATAGGACACACGAGTCCTGTTTGGATACAATCTCTTGCATGAGATAATTTGATCTGCAAGTATTTGGTTCTTTGCTTATGTTAACGGAGAAATCCGAGGGCTCCTTTGGACAAAAAGCAAGGACACCAACCAGGAAAATTGGAGCAAAACAGCAGCCAGTAGGCTTGGTCTTTATTGAGACTGTCGCGATAGGACTCCAACTCACTGCAAGACGAAGCAAGATGGAAGCCCCAAACAAAAGAAGACCCCACCTTTTCTTAGCTACTAATCCCCCATGCTACACCCCTAAGACTACATCAGAACTACATCATTGATACATCACAAAAAGGAGGGGTTGAGGGAGGAGTTGTGGTGGTAACCTCAGTGTCTTGTCACCTGGCCAGTTCCTTCTTTCCCCCTCCCCATGAGTACATCCCAGAGGACAAAGAGGAGTTCATGGTTTCCTGCTTCCAGAGGGAAGGGTTGGTCACTGGTTGTTAAGGCACGGGTTCCTTTTCCTAGGATGTGACCAAGGTATTTTACTTCCCTTTGGCATTACTGTATTTTCTTTGGGGATACCTTGTGTCCTTTATGCGCTAATGCCGTGAGAAGAGCTATGGTGTCCAGCTTACAATATTCTAAGTCCCGCCCACATCGTAAGATGTCATCAACGTGTAGAAGGAGGGCGGACCCCTTTGGAAGGGTAACGTCTAGCAGATCCTGATTTAGTATAGCGGAAAATATTCCACATAGTCCTGGGGTAGTCACGTCCATGTTAATTGTCTGGTTTGCCAGGTGAAGGCATCCACTGGGATGCTGAAGAATGCAGAACATAAATCAATGACAGAGTAAACTACCGTTCCCTCCGGAATTGGTGATGAGGATTGGCATGGTGGGGAATGACAAAGGAGTTCACAAGTCTCAAGTCCTGAACCAAGCACCCTTTTACAGGGTTTGTGTGGGGCTTGCGGACAGGGAGCAAGGGGGTGCTACAAGGAGAAGTGCAGGGAACTAGAACTCCCATTTTTAAGAATTCCTCAATCATCGGAGTAAGTCTTTCTATTGCTTCCTTTGGTAATAGGTATTGTTTGGTACAGGGAAAAGGCAGGTCTTTCCTGTACTTCACCTTTACTGGGGTGGCGGACTTCAAGAGTCCAACTGATGTGGATTCAGTTCCCCACAGCCGGGGGGGGGACCCCATTTAGGAGCTCGGGGGAAGATCCAGATCTTTATTATCCTTCTCTTGTAAGATTCCTTGGTAGTTGAAGATAGATTCATTGGGCATCCCCTCCTGTCCACACTGGATGGTGGCATTTAGTTTACAAAGCAGATCCCTCCCCAAAAGGTTGATGGGGCTAGAAGTTAATAAAAAAGTGTGCTTAACGGACAAAGGTCCAACTGACACTTTGGCAGCCTTGGAAAGGGGGCAAACTCTAAGAATCCCGTCCAGTCCCATTACAGTCCTGGTTTCTTCTCCTGGGGTCAAGTGACTATTTGTGAGAGTAGAATAGGTGGCCCCCGTGTCTAGCAGACAGTCTTAAAATTGTCCGTCTATCTGCATGGTGCAGATAGGATCCGAGGATGATGGTTGTAGGATAGGGCAAAGGAAAGGAAAAGAGGCGGGATCTGCTTCTGATTGTCAATAGTCATTGTATTCCTGCATTACCATTTCGTGGGAAGGGTTGCAGGGCGGTTTGTCCTTTGGGGTTGCATTTGGGAGGACCCATAATCAGGGAGTTTCCCTGAGCCTGGGGTTAGCTGGTTCCCTGTATTCCGGCCTCAGTGTCCTTGCCTCTCTTATAGTCTGATCTCCCGGGCCTGGATTCTTGGTGTCCGGTTAATAATGGGCAGTTCCTTCTGATGTGTCCTTCCTCATTGCAATGGAAACAGACACGTCTGTCTGGCTGTTCATGTCCTCTTCCCTTCTGCCTTTCCCTAGGAGGGGGGACCCTGATTGTGTAGGCTAGCACTCGTGGGGATTCTCCTCTCTGGTCCTTACTTTTTCATTCATCTCTTGAATTAAAAACTGACTTGGCAATAGTCTGATCTCATTTATCATTTTCCTGTTGTAGCTGAGGTGTGCGTTTAACGCCTTCTGTATGTCAGCAGTGGCTTGGTCTTTAAAGAATCCCTTAACAATAGCCTCATGTTGTCGACTATCAGGGTCTATCCTATCCCAATTGGGATATAATCCGCTAAGCCGATATTATACCCCATTTTGGGGTATAATATCAGAAGGGTGTTCATCGGGTCCTTGTAGGACGCCTTGGACTTTAGTCCAGTTCACTGTTTGCTGTCCTGCAGCTTGCAAGCCATCCAGGATAGCTTTCTTAAATATCTTCAAACCCCATATACCCCCAGTTGTGTTATAATCCCAGGCAGGGTCATTCAGGAGGTTTTGGGCTGTCAAAGGGGGAATATCAGCGGGTCTGTCTGCTTGATAGTCAGGTCTGCTCAAAGCTTCCTCTGCCTTCACCAGTATCTCCCTCTTCTCAGCTTCATTAAAAAGGACTCCTAACAACATGTGCACCTCAGTCCACGTTGGATTATGAGTGGAAAAGATAGTGGCTCCTTGTCGATGGCATTTATCGGGGTCATCTCGGAGGGAAGGCATTTTATCTGACCAGTTCATTAAATCGGAGGTGAGGAAAGGCTGATGGATGAAAACCATGCGAGGCGGGTCTCCTCCTCTTGCCGGGGGTAGGGGTAGCGCTCTGAGGGGGAGCACAGCCTCTACTTCTCCATTGACTAGGTTATTTCTGTGGCGAGTTGGCCTAGAGATCGGTTCTTCACCTTCCTCATCTGAAGGAGCCCCCGCAGGCAGAGCATTGGGGTCAGGATTAGCTTGTTCCCCCCTCCCTTCTGGCGCGTTCTGGAGAAGGTTATTCTGAGCTGGGGTTTGTAGGTTTTGGGAAAGATCGGGGGCAGGATTCCCTAGGCTGTCTACAGCTCCTGCCCCGGCTCTGGCTCCGGCTCCTGGTCCGGCTGGCAGGGGTCCCATTGGTTCAGGGTAGTAAAAGCAAACCTAGACAGCATCTTAAAAAGCAGAGACATCACCTTGCCAACAAAGGTCCGTATAGTTAAAGCTCTGGTTTTCCCAGTAGTGATGTATGGAAGTGAGAGCTGGACCATAAAGAAGGCTGACCGCCGAAGAATGGATGTTTTTGAATTCTGGTGCTAGAGGAGACTCTTGAGAGTCCCATGGACTGCAAGAAGATCAAACCTCTCCATTCTGAAAGCAATCAGCCCTGAGTGCTCACTGGAAAGACAGACCCAGAAGCTGAGGCTCTAATACCTTGGCCACCTCATGAGAAGAGAAGACTCCCTGGAAAAGACCCTGATGTTGGGAAAGATGGAGGGCACAAGGAGAAGGGGACGACGGAGGACGAGATGGTGGGACAGTGTTCTCAAAGCTACCAGCATGAGTTTGACCAAACCGCGGGAGGCAGTGGAAGACAGGAGTGCCTGGCATGCTCTGGTCCAGGGGGTCACAAAGAGTCGGACACGACTAAATGACTAAACAAAGTAAAAGGAAATGAGTGACCTATCTACCTGTTCCTCTTGCTCTGTTCTTCCTGATTTCATCATAAGGAGGGGGTCTGGCGGTTCCCAGTACAGCCATCTGCCGAGCGATCTGTGCTTGCTTACATTTAAAGAGTTTGTGGGCCTCCACAAAGGCATTTAGGTAGTAAAGCTGTTGGGGTTTTTCATCAGCTGAGTAGGATCTAAGTGCTTGCATCTTCGTAACGTTAAAAGAGCCTTGAGGTGGCCATTGAGACCCTGCCTCTAGGTGATGGGTAAAAGCCACCCATGAAAAGTTACAAAGGTCTCTCAATTTGGACTTGGAAAACCCTTTCGCCCCTTTAAACTTTTCCAGTTGGAGATGACAAACTGGAGAGGTGTATCAGAATCCTCTCTAGGGCAAAGAGGCTTCATGGAAGCCTTGTTGCCAGGAGGAGTCCAGCTATGGTGCTTGGAGGGTTGAGCTCCCATTTCCCTTTTATACCGGGGTGGGTGGGTTGCTCAATAACAACCTATACAAGGAGATAGACAAACAGATACAAGAGAGGGACAAAGGGGGGGGGAGAGTCTAATACTCAGGTGCCCCTTGCAGTCTAACACTCAGGTGCCCCTCGCATTCCTTTCTGGGCAAACTGACGGATTGGACCAGAGAAGGCAAGTAGAAATCTAAAGGCAATCCCTGCCTACAACTGAAACCACAGGCAACTGGCCTACAAACCACGGGTCTCCTGACCCAGAAACCATGGATCCAGAATTCACTCAGCGCTGCTCACAAAACTATTCCATGGGGCTCTTTCTCTCTCTCCCTGTTCTTCCCTCGCCTGCTCAACACAACCTTCTGCCTCTCCCAGCGACTCCTTCCCACCTTGTGACCCACACATTCCCCTCCGTCTCTTTTTCTGGGTCTTCAATGCCAAGGCGCTGCAGAAGCTTCTTTGGAGCGGATGCATCTGGTTCCCAATAAATCACGCAGAGGCAAAGTTCATTGGCAAAAGAACTTTCGACTAAAGATTTCTCAGCTGTCTTACTGAAAAAAACTTCAGGACACTTTGCAGACATAGTATTTTCCAGTTTCTGCCCTCAAGACTTTAGCCATGACATTTTGTCTCACTGCCAGGAAAGCATCTCCAGCTCCCTAGTTTCTGTGGCAACACGTTTTGGGATGCGGTTCTTTGCAGACCCATTTGTATTTCTTTCCACTTCGAGACTTCATCCTTTTCTTGTGGGTTTCTGTGGGTAACCTCCAGTCTAGGAACCTTTTTAAAAATTTCTCCTATATATACATGACTGGATCTAAAAATAAATAAATCTGAAAGTTATCTATAATGAGACTGGAACATTATAATTATTGGTAGAAACAACTCTTTAAAACTTTCAAAAAATGAATCGGCAACAAATTTTAAAACAAATTTTCTTGCCGTGAAGTTGAGTGTACAGATGTGGGGGGAGAGGGATATTCCGAACCAGAGCCCATCTTTTTCAAGGGATCCTTCTTAAACTTGGGACTGTCTGCATGTGACCCCATCTCTACAGCTCCCATAAACACCACGGAGAAGGTGGCCAGAGCCTGAAAGGCAAAAGCCTAGGCCTTGAACGCAGGACTCAGGGACGCTTTCCCCCATGGAGACCTGGGACCCCTTCTCCTTTGGAAGGGACCTCCGAGGAGGAAGCCAGGGCGGATCAGTCCCTGGAACTGGGGGGCGATTCCAAGACTCACCTGGAAAGTGCCATTTCATGTTCCTTTCCCCACTTGCCAGGAGTCTGAGCTACATTTGGGGTTCCTCCTTCTGCACCCCAAGGTTCCTCCAAGGCCTTGGGGAAGGAAACTGAGGCAGGCTCTGCTTGCTCCCCAGGGCCCTTCGGGGGGGGGCTGTGTCTTCCTCTGGCCATGGCACCCCCAGGAAGCCTTGGAAGAAAGGCAGGAGACCCTCAGCAAAGAGCAGCCAAGTCCAGTTCTTCTCCGCAATGGCTTCCACTGGAGAGCCAGTGTGGTGTAGTGGTTGAGAGTGGCAGTCTCATAATCTGGGGAACCGGGTTCGCGTCTCCGCTCCTCCACATGCAGCTGCTGGGTGACCTTGGGCTAGTCACACTTCTCTGAAGTCTCTCAGCCCCACTCACCTCACAGAGTGTTTGTTGTGGGGGAGGAAGGGAAAGGAGAATGTGAGCCGCTTTGAGACTCCTGAAGGGGAGTGAGGCAGCTCTGCTTAGGGAAGCTTTTAATGTTTAATAGGTTATTGTATTTTGGTGTTCTGTTTGAAGCCGCCCAGAGTGGCTGGGGAAACCCAGCCAGATGGGTGGGGTATAAATAAATTGTTGTTGTTGTTGTTGTTCTAAAGCGGGAGGACTCCCCTGCTGAGCGCCTGAAGGCCCCAGTCCTGCCACTCACCCCCTGGCCTAGGACGGGGCCTGATGGCCACATGCTGCCGCTGCTGGTCAAAGGGCTCTGTTTTGTTTGTTTTTTGTTTAAGTTGCTGTTATTTTTTACCTATGTCATTTTAAACTGTGATATTAATGCTGTATTCTTAGTTTTAGATTTTGATTTATGTGGAAATTGTTTCCCATTTGGTTGTGTATGTTTTTATGTGGTTTCTTTATTGTTTATAACTTATGTAATTACAGTGGTAGCTCAGGTTAAGTACTTAATTCGTTCCGGAGGTCTGTACTTAACCTGAAACTGTTCTTAACCTGAAGCACCACTTTAGCTAATGGGGCCTCCTGCTGCTGCCGCGCCGCCGGAGCACAATTTCTGTTCTCATCCTGAAGCGTATGTAACCCGAGGTACCACTGTATGTAAATCTTGTTGTGCTGTGAGCCGCCTTGAGCATTGTTTTTTTAACTGTGGAAAGGTGGCATACAAATAAAAAATGATGATGATGATGATATCAAATCCAAAGTCTTCTTCCTCTTCTGAGGGATTCCTTTCTTTCTTGTCTGCGCTGGACTGAGAGGACCCCAGTTCAGCCAGTTCCCCAGAGGCCCACAGGAATCCGGAGTAAGAGTAGTTCTCCTGTTGAACTACTGCCTGAAGTGGAGGAACTGACGTCTTAGCCCATTTTGGGGGCAAATGAGGGCCATCCAGAAAGGGCCCCTGGGACCCCGAGGGGCCAGCAGGGGAGTCTCCAGCCTGGTCTTTCCCCTATTCCTGCAGGTGGAGCCCTTCTGCTTGCGCTGACTCTTGGGGTGACCAAGAATGCTGCTCCGGGGGTCAAGCTCCCCTGAGGGAACCCTCCACCTTTGAGGGGATAAAGCCCTTATTACTACTACTACTACTACTACTACTACTACTACTACTGTTATTCCTCTCCTTCTTGGGCCTCTGAGACAGAGAGGGACTTTCCCTCCTGGCCCCCTTTGCAGAACCTGGCGGATCCCCCAAGGCCGTGAGGGCCATCCAGAAAGGGCCCCTGGGACCCCGAGGGGCCAGCAGGGGAGTCTCCAGCCTGGCCTTTCCCCTATTCCTGCAGGTGGAGCCCTTCTGCTTGCGCTGACTCTTGGGGTGACCAAGGATGCTGGTCTGGGGGTCAAGCTCCCCTGAGGGAACCCTCTACCTCTGAGGGGACAAAACTCATATTACTTTTATTATTATTATTCTCCTCCTTGGGCCTCCGAGACAGAAGAGGGGCTTTCCCTCCTGGCCCCCTTTGCCTGTCCTGGCGCAGAACCCAGCGGATCCCCCAAGGCTGCTTGCCTGGCGTCTCCCAGCCAGGAGGAGAGACCCCGAGAGCGTGGGACCCCCAAGGGAGCCATGGCATCTCTGGGAGCAGCTGGGGCCTCCGGAAAAAAACAAAATGGCGTTCCCGCCTTTTTTGGAAAAGGGCGGGAAATGCCATCTCTTGGCCCTGCCGCCTCCATGCGCTCCTCCTGGGCCTGCCTGGCCATGGGGGGCGGGTGGTAGAGGTTATCCAGCTGCCCCAAATAATGGGGGGAGAGGAAGAGGAAGGATGAAGGAGAAGCTGGGAGGGGAGCAGCCATGAGGGAAACTCAGAGGGAAAACTCCCTCAGGAAACCGGGCGAAGGAGAGGAGGAGGCCCAGGGGAATCTGAAAGGGGATTGGCCAGCTGCCCAATGGAGAGGCTTCTGATTGGTCCAGCCCTGCTCTGGGGTGGGAAATGGGTCTCCTGCCTCCATGTGGTTCTGGGAGCCCAGGAGAAACTGGTTTTCTGGCAAGAAACACGGGGAAAGGATGGCAGGGGTCCCTCTTGCTTTGAAGCAGCTGCGTCTGTAACAGGGACAAGCCAAGCTCAGCGCCACCTCCAACCCCCTCCCCACTTTAAAACCACAATTTTGAAAAGAAATACCTATCAAATACGAAGAAATCAGCACTTCCACCTGCTCAGCACCTGCTTTTTCCCTTGGTTTTCAGGGAGGGCTTTTCTTAGCCCCTCACCCCCCAATTCAAAATAAGGGGCAGGCCAGCTGGAGACCCTTCCCCCCCAACCCTCTTATCGTTATTTAATGGCATCCCAGTTATATGTATTCCCCTTTCCCAAAAAGTTGCTCCAGGAAGTTCTCCTCGGCCTTTGAGCCACGTTGAGCCTGGAGTGTCCTGGGGAACCTTCTGCCACTGGAGAATCAGACTCAGGCGCCTTCTCCTGGCAGCCCATTCAGAAGACACCCCCACAAGGGATGTCTTCTCCCCTTGAGATAGTTTTCAACTTTTTGTGGTGTTACTATGTTGGTTTTTCTTTTGCTGTAAACCACTGCGGTATATTTTTCAGATGCCACTTCTATCAGTGTTAACAATCCATCTTTTGAGGCATTTTAGGCTGAGAGACAGGGACTGACTGGCCCCACGTCCCCCCTGAGCTTCTCTCTCTCGCTTCCCAGGTCCCGCTCTGCAGAATAGAACCCATAATCCCAGGATCTCCAAAATGAATTGATAAATGCACAGGACAGTCCACTCTGCAGATTGAACTGTTCCAAGGATATGCAGGTGAAACTCGAAAAATTAGAATATCGTGGAAAAGTTCATTTATTTCAGTAATTCAACTCTAAAGGTGAAACTAGTATATGAGATCGACTCATGACATGCAAAGCGAGATCTGCTTCTACTTCTCAGAGGTCCAATCTTGCTTGATTTGCAATCCTTGTTTTGCTGATTTCCTTGAATAGAATATCTCAGAAAATTAGAATATTCTGAGATTGTTAATTGGGGGTTTTCATCAGCTGTACGCCATGGTCATCGCAATGATAGTGTCAGGGGTTCAGGAGCAGAGGCAAGGGCAAGGGAGGAAACAGAGAGCGAGGGGGAGGAGGCAGAAGAAAAGATGAGTGATGACGACGACCCGAGATCTCCGAGTCTTTCCAGTGAATCAGAAGATTCACAGAAAGGAGCACCAGTGGCCAGGGCAAGGGGGGGAGCCGAGGGGGACGCCCCAGGAAGATAGAGCCAGAGGGGACTCAGAGGGGAGCAGTTGGAAATCGGGACCAGCGTCACCGCCAGAGAGCAGGGAAGAGGAAGGGCGCCAGGGATCAAGCGTTGGCAGCTCACAACAGGGGGGAGGGCACGAGTCAGGAGTGGCCACACCTCCATCGGGGAGCGAAGAAACGGTCAGACGGAAGGTGGAAGGTTGGGCGCGCGCGCAAGTTCAAATGCACAGGAAGGTGGCACAGTAGGCAGCCCGGAAAGGGAGCCAGGTCCTAAAGCCCGCCGAAAGGAGGGAGAAGAGTCAGGGTCAGCGTCAGCGTCAGAGGAATCCCGGAAAGAAGAGACCCCAGGGGGCAGAGGGACCCAGAGAAGAACAGTCAGGCGGAAAAGGTGGAGCAGGGCTAGGATATTAAGTTGGTGTACAAGGGCGGAGACTCAGACGGAGCTTCGCCGATCTAACCCCTAGACGTAGAGCTGGGGCGCTGCGGCTTGAAAATGGAAACTGTACTTCAATAAAGACTTTTGTACATTACTGCCGGCTAGCGTTGGTCCTCTGTGAGCTGGGACCTGGAGCCAGCTCTGACAGATAGCAAACCAAGGCTTGACATATCTCGCTCTGCATGTCACGAGTCAATCTCATATGTTAGTTTCACCTTTCAAGTTGGATTACGGAAATCAAGGAACTTTTCCACGATATTCTAATTTTTCGAGTTTCACCTGTATGTTTCCACATCCAAAATGGAAAGCAAGAGCAGACCAGGCGGTGTTGGGATCAGGACAGAGCCGACCTGCGAGATCCCGGCTCAGGGCAACGTTGGCAAGAGGGGAGCTTCCTGCCCTGCCGCAGGGGGTCAGACTTGGGGGTCCCGCCCCACTCTACAAAGGGATCTTTCCAAGGGGAAACCGTCTTTCAGCTCATCCTCACTGGTTCGCATGAACAAAAACCTCTGCCAAGTTTCCTTTGCTAATGCAATGTATTTCCTTCATGGGTGATTCCTGCGTGATATGTCTTATTTTTGCAGAGAGGTGCAAAAGGACCCCCCTCTCTCAGCCTCCGCCAGCATCTTCGGGGGGGGGTGAACATCTCCTCAACGGTCGGGACGGGGGTGGGGGTGGCAGCCAGTTCACGTGGAGCATGAAGAGATACCTCAGGCTCTGCTGGCAAGGAGAGGGTGGACTACATGGCCTCTGGGTGGCCCCTTCCTGCTCCCCCATTCTTTGGGGAGCAGGAAGAAGACGAGGTTGAGCGGGCGTCCTCGATGGGGGTCGCAAATAATTATTCCTGGAGCGTGGGGCTGCAGCTGAGCTCTCCCTCCGCCACTCGCCAGACTTCGTTGCGCCTGTTGAAAATCTCCATGGGGCTGTGGGGGAGGGAGGCAGAAAGAGGGGTAGGTGAGCTCCAGGAAGACGGGGGTCCAGACCCCTTCCCTCGTGCAATGAGGAGACCCAGCCCCCCCTCATCCCAGTAGGAAGTCAGGGGGTCCTCCTCAGGGAGGCAGTGCTGGGCGTCAGCAGTACCACCCACCGAGCCCAATGGCCCCCGGAGGGTTTGACCCCTGGTCTCCTGGGAGACCGCTCTAACCACTAGGTCATCCTAGCCCTTCGGTCCTGTTTGCTCTCCCCTACCCGCAGCCAGCGGCCATTCAGAGGCAGCCCCCCTGTGGTGAAGGTCCTGTGTGAGTGCCTGGAGGCGGTTGGAGGATGGATGGCGGCTAACAGATTGAGGTTGAATCCTGACAAGACAGAAGTACTGTTTTGGGGGGACAGGGGGCGGGTGGGTGTGGGGGACTCCCTGGTCCTGAATGGGGTAACTGTGCCCCTGAAGGACCAGGTGCGCAGCCTGGGAGTCATTTTGGACTCACAGCTGTCCATGGAGGCGCAGGTCCATTCTGTGTCCAGGGCAGCTCCATCTGGTACGCAGGATGAGACCCTACCTGCCCGCAGACTGTCTCTCCAGAGTGGTGCATGCTCTAGTTATCTCCCGCTTGGACTACTGCAATGCACTCTACGTGGGGCTGCCTTTGAAGGTGACCCGGAAACTGGAATTAATCCAGAATGCGGCAGCTAGACTGGTGACTGGGGGCGGCCGCCGAGACCACATAACACCGGTCTTGAAAGACCTACATTGGCTCCCAATACGTTTCCGAGCACAATTCAAAATGTTGGTGCTGACCTTGAAAGCCCTAAACGGCCTCGGCCCAGTAGACCTGAAGGAGTGTCTCCACCCCTGTCATTCAGCCCGGACACTGAGGTCCAGCTCCTAGGGCCTTCTGGTGGTTCCCTCATTGCAAGAAGTGAGGTTACAGGGAACCAGACAGAGGGCCTTCTCGGTAGTGGCGCCCGCCCTGTGGAACGCCCTCCCAGCAGATGTGAAGCAAATAGGCAAGTATCTTCTCTTTAAAGGACATCTGAAGGCAGCCCTGTTTAGGGAAGTTTTTAATATTTAATTCTGTATTGTGTTTAACACTGGGTTGGGAGCCGCCCAGAGTGGCTGGGGAAGCTCAGCCAGATGGGCGGGGTATAAATAATAACTTGTTGTTGTCGTTGTTGTTGTTATTACTGGACCTGATGCTGGACTGAGACCCCTCTCTCCTCCCGGCAGGCGCCCGCTATCTTGAGGCTGCGAGTTCCGCAGGCCAGCCCCCGCAGCCCCTCCCTCCCCTCTCACCTGTTGTAGCCAGCGGTGTAGTGCTGGCCGGCCTGCAGGAGGTGCCCGTGGGCGCTCAGCTGCCCGTCCAGGTAGCGCAGTTGTGCCAAGCGGTTGGTGTCCGTAATCCAGCCGCCAAAGACGCGCGCAAAGACGCGCAGCTCCGGGAAGCGCTCAATGAAGACCTGGCGCCGAGGAGGGAGGAGGAAAAGCGCAGCTCAGTCTGGCGAGCAGCCGCCACGGCGGGGGGGGGGTCTCCCCTGGGCAGAACAAGGGGAGCGGGGCGACCCCTGGGCCCCCCTCTTACCGTCTCCTCGGTGGGGGCGGGCGGGTCCCCCCGAAAGGCCTCCGGCAGCATGAAGTAGATTTCAAACTGGCGGCTCTCCGGGTCGTCCCGGACTCGGGTCAGCACCGGGCCGGTCATGGGGATGTGGACCCCTTTTTGGAGGGGGGAAGGGGGGAGAGTCACAGAGGGCGGGTTGCCCTGAACAAGCGCGCACCCCCTCCCTCCACCACAATCCCGGGTCCCCCACCAGGGCGGGAGGCGGCGTCCCCTTTCCTGCCTGGGCTGCTTGGGGGGGGGCTTCCACATCTGCCCCCTTGAACCCCCCCCCCCATTGCGCAGGCGTTTCATTCATTGCATGGGACACTCCCTCATCTGTCATCGGGGAAAAGAGGCTGCAAAAGCAGGAAAGTCTACTTGGCCTGGGGGGGGGGGGCAAGCAGCCCGGGGGGGGCTCTCCTTGCTCGGAAGCCCCCCATCCCCCCCCCACTCCAGCGGCTCCTGCTTTATGAGCTGGATGGATTTGGGGGGGTGGGAGGTGTCTTGAAGGAGCCATTTCTTCACCTCTTGTCCATCCCAGCCTCTCCTTGGGATCCAGGAGCCTGGATGGAGGCACTATATTGGGGGAGGGGAGAGCCAAGGTACCCCCCCCCGCGGCCATCCCTTTGGCTCCTCCGCGACCCCCAAGCCCCACGGACAGAGCTCAGCCTCCGGCGCAGGGAAGAGGTTGAACTTCCAGGCGCCCCAAGAGTCTTCCCCAGTTGTTGCCTCCTGGAGCCTCCCGTCCCAGAGGCAGTCTATCGGGGAGCACAGCAGGCAGTCCCGCAGCCCAGCCCTCTGCACACGCCCCGAGGCTCCCTTACCCGCCGCGTTCTTCCCTTGGATGTAGCGGAAGAGCCGCCAGAAGCCGTGGATCAGGGCCGGGAGGTAAGCCGAGCCGTCGCTGACGCGGGTGCCCACCCAGACGGAGGGCGGGTAGAGCCGAGCCTGGCCAGGGGGCAGGGGGAGATGGGGGTCAAGATGCGGCCGGGGGTCCGTCCCCCCGACTGAGCAAGGGGGCGGGGGCGGTGGGGGCCGCTCACCTCGTAGCCGGAGCCGTTGCAGACGAGCGTGTAGGAGAAGCACTCGCGGCCCTTCTTGCAGGGAGACACTTCCCTGGAAAAGGGGGGGGGGTGATGAATGGGGGGAGGGAGGACGCCCCCCCTCATTTGTATCCCACCTTTCCGCCAGGTGACAAGACTTGCTTTCTCCAGAACAGGGGAGGGCTCTCCTTCTTGGGAGCAGAGGCTGGCTGGCCATCTGCCAGGGATGCTGGAGCTGAGATCCCTGCCCTGAACGGGGGTGGGCTAGATGACCCCTGGGACCCCTCCCAACCCTGCCATTCTCTGACCCGAGGAGTCGGGACTGGAATCCAGGTCCCCGGCATAAGTTCCCCAGGGAGACGACCTGGCCAGAGGGGGGCAAATGACTCTTTAGATCAGGGGCCAGCAAACTTTTTCAGCGGGGACCAGTTCACTGTCCCTCACACCTTGTCGGGGGGCCGGACTATATTTAGAAGGGAAAAAATGAACGAATTCCTCTGCCCCACAAATAACCCAGAGATGCATTTTAAATAAAAGGACCTTCTACTCATGTCAAAACAAGCTGATTCGCGGGCTGGATTGAGAAGGCGATTGGGCCGGATCCGGCCCCTGGGCCTTAGTTTGCCTCCCCATGCTTCAGAAAGCTGGTCTCACGAAGCGGGGAGGGGGGCTATGATTAGCTGCGCTTCCTGCCTTGCAGGGGGCTGGACTAGATGACCCAGGGGAGTCCCTTTCAAGGATTCTGGGGGGCAATACGCCAATCCCCCCCCCATCTAGCTTACCTCTCTTCACAGGCGCCAAACGCCGCCAGGAGGGGCAGCAGCAGCAGAGGGGCAGCTTTGGTGTGCAGCATTGCTGGGATGGGGGCTAGAGAGGGAGAGACCCCCCAATGGGTTAGGAGACCCAGCGACGGAGCCGCAGACCCAGAACCCCTTCCTCCCTGAGCAGAGCACCCCCCGGCCTTCCCTGCCCCCAAACCCCGACCCACCTTCCCTCCAGGCGACGAAGATTCAGGCGGGCTCCTCTCTCTCCTCTCGAAGATGCTCCCATCACATCCACCCCGAATTTAAGGCATTTTGTGGTCCCGCCCCGGGGAGGGGGTCGGTTATGAAACTGCCCTCCTCCTCCTCCCCCAGGATCCCCTGGCGCAATCCCAGGAATGCAGCCTTGTGTAACGGGAGAGTTTTGTAAGCTGGAAAAACAACAACATGCTGGGGCCTGGCCTGCGCTGGGTTGGCACAGGTTGGGATGCTTTGGCCCAGCCGAGCCCCTATCCAGGATCACCCAAATTTGGGTGTCTATGCTCCAGGGACGCGGGTGATCGGCGGTTTGAATCCCCGCGACGGGGTGAGCTCCTGTTGCTCGGTCCCTGCTCCTGCCAACCTAGCAGTTCGAAAGCACGTCAAAGTGCAAGTAGATAAATAGCTCCGGCAGGAAGGTAAATGGCATTTCTGTGCGCTGCTCTGGTTCGCCATGCTTAGTCATGCTGGCCACAGCGAGATGAGCGCCGCAACCCCAGAGTCGGTCATGACTGGACCTAATGGTCAGGGGTCCCTTTACCTTTACCCTCCGGTGATCTCTACGTTGGATTATGGCAATGTGTTATACATGGGGCTGCTTCTGGAGACAGTTCAGAAACTTCAGCCGGCGCAGAATTGGGCAGGTTGCATCTCAGACTGATTCTGGTCCAACTGCGCTGGCTGCCCATTAGTTTCCGGTCCCAATTCAAAAATTGAAAGCCTTAAAGGGCTCAGGACTGCAACACCTCAAAGACTGCCTCCCTCCATATAGGGCTGCCAGATTTCAAAATCTAGACACAGTTGTGGAGCTATTTTTGCCAAAGGAGCTACTCTCTTTTTTTGCAGAACCTCCCCCCTTCCAAAATGAAGCCTTGGAGCTCTTTTTAAGAAAATCCGCCCAAATTGACGTGGGTTGCCATAAATCTGGATTTTCCCAGACATTTAAGCGAATTCCACCCAGACCCTTTTTCTGATGGCCGAATCCCAGCTCTGTCCAGAAAATTCCAGACATACGGCCAGCCGACCCCCATATGAAGTGACCCGGATGCCGTGACCATCCTCTTGTCCATGAGAGGTCCAGAGGGCGGCAACTGGAGAGCAGGGCCCTCTCTGCATTGGCCCCCCACTTCTGAGATGCTCCCCCCAGGGAGGTCCGCCTGGCGCCTTTGTTGTGTCCCCATTCCTCTTCAACCAGGCCTCTGAATGATTAACAGTTTATATCCTTTTCAATGTCTTTGTTGGAGGGGCAGCTATTATTCTATTTCATTATTGTTTTTATTATGTATTTTGTGTTTTCATCTTGTATCTTTAGGCTCTGAACCGCCCTGAGAGGTACGGATGAAGGGTGGTATACAAATTTAATAAATAAGCAAAACAAGTCAAGAATCTCTATGCAGTTGTGTTACTCTTTAGCTGAGAGTCCTGCCTTCATAGAATTGCAGAATTGGGGGGGGGGCTCTACGGGGGTCGTCTAGTCCCACTCCCCGCGATGCAGGAATCTTTTGCCAAACGTGGGGCTCAAACCCACAACCCTGAGATTAAGAATCTCTACCTCTACCAAGGGAACAGGGGGTTGGGCTAGAAGACCTCGGGGGGGTCCCCCTTCCAGCTGTACAATTCTAGGGTTCTCTGAACATCAGCCTCTTGGTGGAGGTTCCCAAATGGCAGTAGGTTTTGTGGGGCTGGGAAGTTGGTGTAGAAATATACAAACTGTGTTCAGGGCCACAAAAGAGATCAATAAATATTTATAGAGAAGGTTCAGTTTCTTTGTTTTTTCTTAAAAAAAAAAAAGAGAGACTCAAACGAAGTTAAGTTACAAAAATCTCAAAGGTAAATGGAGGCAGACAGAACAAGATGCGGAACGGGGGGGGGCAGATAAACAGCATTAACTCTGGGAAGGGCAATGCAGGGGCAAGTGTTCTGCGCCCCACGTTCTCCCTAGAGGGGGGCAGAAAGAGGCCTCCCCAACCCCGCAATTATGACAAAGGTCCTGGTCTTCCCTCTTTCCCTGGGGGGACAATTTGAATTTCACAGACACACACACGCACACACACAAAGACATGTTGGTTGGTGGCACTCAGCTCAGAGTTGCCACCTTTCCTGACGGCTGGCTGCTCCTCTGCTGGGTTTCTGGCGGTGGGGGGTGTCCTTGCTCAGATGGGGATGTGAGCCCCCTCCCCCAAAGTGACTGCTCTCCTGAGCCACGGACCGCCCCCCCGCTCTTGACACCCACAGGACAGACACAAGGGGGGCGGGGAGAGGAAGGGTGCTGACTGCTACATGACTCCCCCAACTGAGACATGGAAGGTGAGGGGGGGTATTTAGTGTTCAGTCCCCCACGGGGTCCCTTCCAACACTACAACTCTATGGTTCCCTCCTTGCAAGGTGCAGACAGGGGGGACATCGACTGACAACGGAGAAGGGTGGGGGGCTGTTTACAAGGAGCAGCAGGGGGTCCTGATCCTTCCTGGGGGAGACGGCGGCAGCAGAGGACCCGCTCCGGACGGGGTGGGGGGATCAGTCCAGTGGTGCTGTCCTGCCCACCCCCTAAAACTCAGTCTGAGGTGGGGGACTTGCGCCCAGTCTGGGTGGGGGTCCCTAGCGCAGGCCGGCTTGGGCTGGGCTGCCCCCTGCTCCCCCTCACATCTTACTGCTCCCCGCAAAGCCCACTTCGCTGCGGGGGGACCTCCCGGTGCCCCACTCGGCCTCGGCCCCCACCCGGGAGGGCGACGCCGCCTCCTTCTTGGAGGCTGCTGGGCCGCCGGTCCCCCCTCCGAGGCGGTGCCTCCTCTCGCAGTGGCCCTTGTGGCGCATGAAGCTGTCTCGCCACATGAACTTCTTGGCGCAGACGTCGCACTCGTAGGGCTTGAGGCCCGTGTGGGTCTTCATGTGCTCGGTCAGGTGGTGCTTCATCTTGAACTTCTTGTTGCAGACGGGGCAGTCAAAGGGGCGCAGGTTGAGGTGCATGTTGACGTGCCGGTCGCGCATGCTCTTGTGCGAGAAGGCCTTGCCGCAGTGGCACATGAAGATCTTGTTGCCGTCGCCCGAGCCGGCCGCCAGCTGCACCGCCCCGTGCTCCACCGGCGCCTGCGGCGGGAAGACCACGATCTGGTTGCCCTGCATGTCCATGGGCAGGAGGGCGCCACGCGGCGCAAAGGGGGCGGCCTCCTCCAGGCCCTCGTAGGCCGAGGGGAAGTCCTCCGAGGACTCGCAGAAGTTCACCTGCTCCTCCAGCTTGCCCCCCGAGCCGCCCCCGCCAGGCTCCGTCAGGGTGCGGACGTCGCTGATGCTGAGCGCCGCCTCGGGCGCCGGCCCGGCCACCTCCACGGGGTCCTCGTCCTCCTCGCAGGTCAGCACCAGGTCCTCCTGGGAGCGCTCCTTCTTGACGAAGACCCACTGCTTCTGGGGCATGATGCTGGGCCGCACGTAGGCCGGGCGCCGGCCCTCGCTGCTGTCGCTGACGTCGTCGTCCGTCTCCAGGACGAACTTGCTGCCGCCGGCGAAGGGGTCCGGGCAGCGTGGGGGCCCCTTTTCGGCCTGGAAGATGACCTCCTCGTCGTGGTCGTCGCGCTCTCCCGCCAGCGCCCCCCGCAGCGGGTGGAACTTGCCATGTTCGGGGCCCTCGCCCGAGTCGCGGGGGCTGAAGTAGTTGCTGCTGCTGGGCGACTGGTTGTCGCTGGTGCGGCTGGAGTGGGCGCGGAAGGAGGAGGACGAGGAGGAGGAGGAAGGCCCCAGGAAGGCCCCCCGACGCTCCTTCAGCAGCTCGGTGCACTTGTCCACGATGTGCCACATCTGCAGGACGCTGCCCACCGTCAGGTAGTTGACGATCTCGTCCGAGGCCATGCTCAGCTTGCCCGTGTAGGCCGAGCCCAGCACCGTCTCGAAGGCCACCGGGTCCATGACGCTGGGCAGCACGATGGACGTCATGTTCTTCAGGAGCACCTGGTCGTGGAAGTAGGGCGAGGAGGCGGCCAGCACGGCCCGGTGGGCCCGGAAGACGCGGCCCTGGACGTGGATGGCGATGTCGCACAGCTTGCCCTCCACCCGCTGCTGGTTGAGGTTCTCCAGCAGGGCGCTGGTGACCTCGGGGAAGTCCACGTGGACCACGGGGAGGCCGGAAGAGGCCTCCATGGCGCTGGGGAGTGGAAAAAAGGAGACGGGAAAAGAACTTGCGTTAGAAGGCTCCAAAAAGGAAGGCAGCTCAACTGATGGCTCGGAGGAGGAACCAAGAGAGCCCCCTAATGTTTAAGGCCTCAAAAGTAGGTTGGGGGGATACAAATTAATGGAAAAGGAGAAGGCTGTGAATGGCTACTAGCCAGGATGGCTCTTCTCCGCCTCCACAGTTGGTGGCAGTGTTAGAAATTTGCCAGCTGTGTCTTGCGACTGGCATGGGTTCCACCGCCCCCTGTGGAGATCTCTGGGTGCCACGTTGGCAACGGACTTCTCCCTCTGGCTGCATCCCCAGCTTTCTGAAGCAGCCAGCAGAAGAGCTTATTTCGTTGCATTTATGAAAGCATATTATCCAGTTACTCCCTACAAGGACCCTGTGAGGTAGGCAAAGAGGCTGCGACCGACTCCAAGGTCCTCCAGGGAGTCTGAGTGGGGATCCGAACCCTGATCTCCTGAGTCCGACACTCTCAGCACCACACCCCCCAGGTTTCCTAAAACTCTTCTGCTATGGGGCAGCTCTATGAATTAAGTAGGTAAAATAAATACGAGGAAAGCCAAATGTCACCTAGAGAAGGATCTGAAATATTTTCCTGTGAGACTGATTTCAACAGGCAGGGAGTTCCAAAGGGTAGTTGATGCCACTCTAAAAGGTTGAGTATTATGTGGGGTGAGGCGATCACAGAATTGTAGAGTTGGAAGGGACCCCCAAGCATCATCCATTCCAACCCCCTGCAAATCAGGATCTCGTAGGTAAACTAGTCCCAAACTGCACAGATCTCCGAGGAGCAAAGACGTCCATGGCCTCATTCCCGTCAGCAATTGCACTGCAGCATCCTCCCCAAATGCAGCTTCCGGATCCGCCGCGAGGGAAGCCCCACAGAAAGAACCTGGCATGAATGGAGCACATATACTCAGAAGTAAGACCCCCCACCGGTCCATGGCGCTTGTTTCCACTTGCACGTGCAATTGTGATATAACATTATTTTATTGCACGGATTGTGATATAACATTCTTTTATGCAAGTGCAGCGGAACCAGAGCTGCTTGACTTTTATAACTCCCTGGGCTGGCGGGAGGCTGCTCAGACTCTTGGCACGAGAGCCGGTGATTCATTTCGCTCGGCTCTGAGGCCACCCGGAGCTCTTCATTTTTCCCAGCCACTACACCTATTCTATTCAGATAAAACCACCAAAGGGGGTGGGAACTTTGAACCCGCTTCTCAAAATATCCGTGACAGGCCTGTGGAACTCCCTGCCTATTGACATTGCTGGGGTCTTTCTGTGGCCTCCTTAAAAAACAGTTATTTAAGCAAGCCCGGTGTTATATACTGAGTTGAATAGGATCCAAAATGCAGCAGTCTGATTGGTCCTAGAACAATGCAGCAGTCTGATTGGTCCACAGGAGCCACCCAATCTAGCTCCAGGGGGAAGTGAATCCGCGACCCGATTGGCCTACAGGAGAATCCCGGAATTAGCCAATCACGTGGGGCCCATTGTGTAAATAATGTATATAAAGCAGATACCTTGGGGGGGACTTCCATTCCTCCTCACCACTATGAGCTGAATAAAGAGCATGAAATCCACACTTGACTCCGAGTATATTTCACCCATCCACACAATTTTCATTTCTTCTTAGCTGCTGTCCATTTCAAATACCTGTCTTTAACCCAGCAATTCCAGTATCTAGTTTTATATGTCAGGGGCACATGTGCTTCAGCTGCGATTCCTGCGTTGCAGGGCGCTGGACCACACGACCCCTTGGGGTCTCTTCCAACCTTACAATACAGTTCTAGATTTTTCTAAACTGCTTATAACGGGGTGCTGCTGCTGCTGCTTTTTAAACAAGCAATTGGGATGTACGTTTCATTAAATTAACTAAAAAAGGGGTCTGAGTCCCAGGTAACACGACTGCCAACCCACTCCTGTGGGGTCAGGTCATTGTTTTGATCCTTTTACAGTTTTCTGTGTAGTGCGGTATATTATGGATTGTGACTTGCTGTTCTTTTTATTGATTATATTTTGGTGATAATTGTATTGTGCATTATTACATTCTAATGGGTTACTGATTCTTAGTTTATTTGCTATAGGTAAAGTTATGTTTTTAGAAGGACTTTTTTTGCACTGGATCCGATTGTCGTAAGGCTTGTGACCTTTGCTGTATGTTTTGCCGTTTCTCCCGCTCACAAACCGCCTCGTGCAGAAGAATATGGAACGGCAGCGTACAAATTAAAAAGGAAATGGAATGCAAACAGTTCTGCGGAGACGGGGCGTTGCGAACAGAGAATCAGAGGATCGCAGGCTTCGAAGGGGTGCTGTGCCGATGCTTCTGGGGGGGCAGGAGGGGGGCAGTCGAGATGCCGCCCAAATCTCAGTGTTGGAGGGCAGGAGAGGGAGGGGGCTGACCACTTTGGGGGGCAAAAGCCTTTGGGTTTGGTCTCCGTTCCTTGTCCCAGGCCTCTCACCCCACCAGAAATGACCGGTAGCAGATCTGCTGAGTCCTGAATGCCAGATCAGTCCACAATGAAACCTTGTTCATTCACGATCCGATTCTGGGTCAGCAGGCTGCTCTGGCTTGGGGGAGTCACCTGCGTGGGCCTGGCCTTACCCAGCTGTGCCCACCTCTGTTTCTGGTGCCAGGGGGCTGAAATGAGGGTGTTGCCCACCCCCTCCTTGACCAGCGAGCCTCTTGACCTTGCGATGGGCTTCGAGGGCCTGGCGTGAGGCTGCACCAGAGACGGGGGGGGGGGGGTTCTGCTGCTCCACCGCCCCCCTGGCAGCACCCCTGATCTGGCTGGCCGAGGCAGTCCCTGAGGGATTGTTGGACCCCAGAACGATAATCCTGGGTGACTTCAGTAACCAAGCAGAGGACACCTCGAAGCTTCATGGGTCTCTCTCAGGTGGTCCAACACACCCGGAAAGGCACTCTCTGGATGGGATATTGGCCCCAAATGCCACAAGGGATGGATGAAGATGAGGGGAGGGAAATGGGCGCTGGCATCCGATACCACTGGCCACGGTCTCCTCTGGGGAACTGGGGAAACGGCTCTGTCATGCACCGAGTCCAGAGAGCAGCATGGCGGCTGCGCTCTGGGATGCTGCTGGGAACTAGATCATCTCCAGTCTATTTAACATCTACATGGCAGCAGGCATGAGGCCCCGATCTGGTGGAACGCTCTGTCCCAAGAGACCAGGGCCCTGCGGGACTTGACCTCTTTCCTCAGGGCTGCAAGACGGAGCTGTTCCACCAGGCCTTTGGCCAAGGCACAGTCTGACCCCCTCTCTCCTTCGGTAATCCTCACAGAACTCTAGCCCAATGGTTGCCATGAATTTGATTTTGAATTGATTTTAGAATGAATTTTAACTAATTGATTGTGATTTTAGGTAAACTGTGTTACTTTTATTGTTGTTAGCTGCTCTGAGCCCGGCTTCGGCTGGGGAGGGTGGGATTTAAATAAAATTTTATTATTATTATTATTATTATTATCATAGAAGGGACCCCAGGGGTCATCTAGTCCAGCCGCTGCAATGCAGGAATCACAACTAAAGCATCCATGACAGATGGACATTGAACCTCTGTTTAAAAACCTCCAAGGAAGGGGAGCCCACCATCTCTGGTGGGAGTCTGTTCCCCTGCCAAACAGCTCTTACTGAAAGTTTTTCCGCTGTGTTCAGTCGCAATCTTCTTTCTTGTAACTTGAAGCCACTGGTTCGAGTCCTACCCTCCAGAGCAGGAGAAAGCAAAGCAGCTCCATCTTCCGTGTGACAGCCCTTGAGATCGTATCTCTCTGTCTCCTCTTTTCCAGGCTAAACATTCCCAGCTCCTTCAACCGTTCCTCACAAGGCTTGGTCTCCAGCCCCTTGGTCGCCCTCCTCTGCTCACGCTCCAGCTTGTCCACATCCTTCTTAAACGGTGGTGCCCGGAATCGGACCCAGTATTCCAGGTGGGGTCTGACCAAGGCAGAAGAGAGAGGGACTATGACTTCCCTTGATCTGGACACTGGACTTCTGCTGATGCAGCCGAGAAGTTCCAGGAGGTGCCGTCTGTACGCTGATGACCCTCAGCTCTGTTCCTCCATAACATCTGAATGGGGAGAGGCCACTGTTGGGACGTAGTGGCGAAATGGATGAGGAAAACAAGCTGAGCTTGAATCCTGGCAAGGACTGGATCCTGTGGGCAAGGAGCTCCCAGAAATGGCTGGGCTGGCTGGCTGGGCTGAGGGAGCAGGTTCACAGCTTGGGGACTTCTGGAGCCCCTGTGACCAGGAGGGCCTTTGCGCAATTGCAAGCGGTTCAGTGGTGGCGACCATTCCGGGACCAGGAAGGCCTGGCCACAGCTGCTCAGGCACCGGCTACTTCAGGGCTGGATCACCGCAATGCGCTCTCCATGGGGCTTCCCTTGCAGTTAGTGGCGGATGCTGCAGCACGAATGCTGACAGGAGGGAGGCCCGGCCAGGAGGGCACACTTGTGCGCAGAGGTTTGCCCTGCTCACCAACATGCTGCTGGGCAGAGTTCAAAATGTTACTATTAACATAGAAAGCCCTGAGCAGCTTGGGACCAGTTCACCCGAGAGACTGCCTGCCCCACCTGCCCCCCTCCAAGTGACCGGTTTGTCCGGCGGAAGTGGCACCTCCGCAGGAGCCGCAGAAGACCCATTTCCTGCATTTGTAAGACCACGATCCTTTCATGCCCAGGCTGCAGCTTCGATCCCCCTACGGGACGGCTGCATCTTCCTGCCTCGCAGGGGGTGGGGCTGGATGACCCCCGGGGTCCCTTCCCACTTTTGGTGCGGCAGCAGCTGCACTTTGGAACTCCCTGCCTCTTGAGATCTAGCAGGTGCCTGTCCAAAGCCTTCTCGCTCAGCCGAGCCTCATCCGTCTCCTGTCTTGGGATCTGAACTCTGGCGCCGCCGCCCGCCGCCCCCCCAGCCGATTCCGTAGCAGGAGCCTCCCCACACCCTGCCCCCTTTCGGAGAGAGGGCAGCCCCCCAAGCAGCGGGCGCCTGGATGGGCGGGCAGGTAGACTGCGCCTGCAGCTGGAGCCCCCCCGCCCCCGCTTTGTCCGGCCCCCCGCCCTCTGCCCGCGCCCCGAGGCGCCCCGGCCGCTCCTCCTCCGCTCACCCTCCGCGCTCGCTCTCTCGCTCGCCCGCCCGCCGCGGCCTCTTCCTCCGGCTCGGCTCCCAGGCGCAGCGCCGCCCGCCCGCCTCCCGCGTCGCCTTTAAGGCGCGCGCATTGGACGCCCGACGCAGAGCGCGCTCGCGGCGGCGGAGGGGAGGCGGGGCGGCGCATGCGCGCGCCGGCGGAGGAGGCAGGCAGGCGCAGGGCCGGGCCGCATTTGCATACGCCTCGCCGGGGAAGCGCCTCGAAAACCCGGCGCCGGAGCCGAGACGGGATCGGGGTCTCCAGGGAGCCACCTGGGTCTCCTGGCCCGGCAGCCGGGACGGAGAAGACAGGAGATGATCGACAGAAAGGGCGGAGGAATTTGGGGGGGTCTCCATAACGAGTTCTTACAGGTTCAGGTAGGTGGCTCTCTTGGTCTGACACAGTTGAAATAAATAATTTTTTTAAAAAATTCTGGTACCTGAAGCAGTGTGCATGCACACAAAAACTTACACCCAGAAGAAACTTCGTTGGTCTCTAAGGTGCTACAGGACAATTGTTTTTTTAAAAATTGATTTTTTAAAAGGATCTTTCCGAGGAATTTTAAAGGAAATTTGAAAACAGTTTTTAAAAAATCTAAAAATTAAAAAAAAATCTTTGTATTTATTTTGAGTTTATGCAGGTTATAGTTGATATTCATAAGAAACGGAAGCTGGATCCGGGCAAGAAGAAGGGGTCATGTGCCCTGCCTGCTCTGGGAGGATCTACTTTCTGAGGGTCTCACTGGACTAGACGGCCCTTGGGGATACCAACGCCCCAATTCCGTCCTGTGCGTGGCACCCAAAGCCCTAAGAGCATCTCCCGCCACATCAACCACCTCTGGGCCCCGCAATGAGCAGGGGGTCTCGGCCGAAGGACTGCCCCCTAGGGACCCCACAGCAGGGCCTTCTTGGGGGTGGCTCCCCAGAAGGGTCTGGAAGGCGCTCCCTGCTCAGGCCCCTCTGCCTCCCCTTGCTAGTAACCTCAGGTCTCCAGATTGTGGGTTCGAGAGCCATGTGGGCTGAAGGATTCCTTCAGGGGAAACCCGGAACACCCCGTGTCTTTTTCCAGTATTGTAAAACTGTATGTCTCCCGTTCCTCTGGGTCCCTGGAGTAGAGCAGGATTATAAGCTGCCTTTCGTCACCAAAGTAAGGGGCTAAACCCACTCCCCACTCCCACTTGGGGGGGGGGGGAGAAATAATAACAATTTTATATGTGTGTGTGTGTGTCTGTAAATAAAATGAAATAAAAATAAGTTTTCTAATTTAGGCCACCCATCTGACACGAGTTGTCCTAGCCACTCTGGGCTGCTCCCAACAAAATATAAAAACACAAAAAACCCTCAATGGAAAGCACAGAAACAGGGCCACATGTGCTCCCCCCAAACCACACCTGTCTCCCTTTAACAGAACTCACACTCACAGCAGCCTACAGAAAAATATTTGCCTATTTTTAATTCCCCCTGCTTTTTTTTTTTTTTTTTTTTGCAAAATGAGCTCCCAAACGGACAGAACATCAATACACCCCCCACCCCCCATGGCAACCAGAATACAAACACTGCAGTCCCCGCCCTTCGTCCCCCTGCCCCCCCCATGCATCACGCAGAAGCCCCCCCACCCCTGAGTCCATGGAGGCAGTCACCATCTTCCAGCAAGCCAAGATTTTTTAGGGGGGGTTTCCACCTGTCCTTCTGCTCCCCGCCCCCCAAAGTCTGTGTCAGATTGTGGTGAGGGGGCTAATCCGAGTCTGACAGGACGATGATCTCTTCCGGGTCGCACTGGGTCGCCACGCTGGCCTGCGGGGGTAGGGAGAGAGGGGGGTCAGAAGAGGAAACCGGTGCCCTGCACCCCCTCCCTCCCCAGAGCAGCACCCAAAGGCCCCCGGCTGCCCCACCCGGCTCACCAGGGACCTCCCTGAGGCAGACCAGCTGGGAGGAGGGGGGCAAAGTTTAGGAAAACTCTTCTGGCGTAAAGAGAGAAGTTTTCCTTCCTCTCACGTCACGGCTAGAACTCGCGGGCATTTGAAGAAGCTCAACACGGGAAGATTTGAGGCGGGCAAAAGAAGGTCCTCCTCAGTTGATGTGTGGAACTCCCTGCCACAAGAGGCAGGCACAGCCAACCAGCTGGGTCAATTGAAAAGGAGATACCTAGGCGTATTTGGCCACTATGAGGAGGGGAGGCTGGAGCAGCCACTGGCCGAATCCAGGAGGCTCTGCTCAGGCGCTGACTCCCAGGGGAAGAAGCAGGAGCTGAGCTCCCCCAGGGCTGGTGCTGGGAGAGGAAGGAAGAGGCAATCTGGGGCTCCCGATCAGGGCTCTTGTCCCTGGGGCAATCCACCCCCCCCCATTTAGTACCTTCCAGATGGCTGCAAGGAGGTGGCCCTGATTCTGCGGCTGGGGGCTGCCCTGGGAGCTGCTGACCAGCCCCAGGCCTGGGGAGTCGGCGCAGGTGGAGTCGGCCAAGGGGGCCGGGCTGAGGCGCCCCTCTCCGTCCTCGTCTTCCTCCTCCTCCTCCGAGCCAGTGCTGGGCACCTCAATGCAGCTGCCAGAGAAGAAACACAGATTCAGGGGGCGCTTGCACGGCCTGACTCCCCCCCGGGGGCTGAGGCGGCTCAGAGCGTTTCGCAGAGTTGGAGAAGGGACCCCGAGGGGTCACCCAGCCCATTCCGCCTGCCCTGAAGGAATCGCCCCTCAAGCATCTCTGACCGTTTCCAAGCGGAGGTTGGGAGCCCCCCTGACAGGGACCCTTGAGGGGGTTGGGCTAGATGACCCTCAGGGTCCCTTCCAAGTCCACCCTTCTCTGATTCCATGACCAGTGTGGGGGTCAGGTGGGATTGCTAGGAGGAATTATGAAATATGGAGCACGCCATTGTGTCCGCGATGAACGCGTGGCGTTGACTGGGTTTGATTCATTGACAATCGTTTCTGATCGAATCCCCCAGGCCTCTCCACCTCGGCCATTTGCTTTCTCTACACCTGACAGGCACATATAAGCATTCTGAACCGCAGGCCACTTGCTTCATCAGACATCCTCCGCACATAAAGATAGTAGGCTACTTTAATGTAGTTTAATCTTTAGATAGATCTTAAAGGCCAGGAAGAGAGTTCACAAGGAGCTGGTAAATACTGCCATCCTGTCTCTCCTGTTTATGACCTCTGGGGTTTTGCTGAATGCATTCCTCCTTTTATTCCTATTTTATTTACTCTGGACTACTATGCATGCCCAAGTAGGAAATAGTTTCTTTGTAGTTTGAACTTTAACTTTGTTCCCACGTGGGGTTTTTTGAAATGCTCAGAGGAAATCTGATTGGTTCTTACGAACACTGTGTAAAAAGTTCTTTTGTGAATAAAACGACCTGGGCCAAGGGGTGGACAGAGGAGAATTATTATTATTGGCACCTCCTCCCAGAATCTTGCTAGTCAAGCCTTGTGTGGATTTTAATAATCAGAGTCCAATCCTTCCTTGCTCTGGGAAGGCTACAACCAGCTCTCAGGGACTCCGTGACATCCCTGGGGAAGGGGGCTGCCCTTCAGCCTCAGGTCTGGGCCTGGACATCTCAGGGTCTGGGCTACTCCTGATCTGGCCACCCCAAGAAGCAGCAGCCCCCACGGAAGACCCACAAATGGTGTCTGGCCAGGATAACGCTGAGAGTCAGCAGGAAACTTACTCTGCTTTTGGGCAGAACTTTGGGAAATGCCATTTGGGATTTGATCTGGACTTGTCCAAAGAACCCCTGGCTCATCCCAACCTCTGCTTAAAAACCGCCAAGAAAGGAGAGTCCAGCTCCCTCTGGACTAGGCTAAAAGATCACACCAAGAGTCAGAGCACATTTCAAAACAGAAATCAGTATCCGGTTTCCCCCGACAGCAGACTAGTAGTCGGTTGCCTTTGCACCTGCGTTCCCAAAGGCCGCCAGGAAAGGAAGGCCGTGAAAATAACAATAACAGCAGCAGCAATAACAACAACAATAGTAATAAAACGTGGCTCCTGTCCAGGTTTGTTAATTGTCTTACTTTAAATGTTGTGAGGATCCTATTCCCTTTTAAAAGGTGGTTTTTGGCAGGGGGGATTTGCTATGTTGTTTTTATTTTATGTATTTTGTGGTTCAATATTTTGATTTTATTCTGTGAAACGCCCTGAAACCTCAGGGTATAGGACAGTGTATAATAAAATAATAATAATAACAACAACAACAACAATAAATAATCTTCTGGCGGGACAGCAAGGAAGGAGCCTCTTTTGTCAGGCAATCCTGCACTCTGAGAGCAGTTGCAGAAAAGACCCAGAGGCGGAATTTTTAAAAAATGTGCAGATGAAACATCTCTGCAATTTACTGTGTTTGCCGGACCTATTGAAGTAAGGAAAGGCAAAAACATTCCTCTTCCACCGGGCCTTGGGCGCAAATGGGTCAGCGACTGGTATTGTGCTTTTGGTCATTATGTTCTGCATTTGCCTTTTATCTTGCCAGCGCCCGGTGCTCTTTGGATGAAGGAAAGTCTATAAGTTAGCATTTCTTAAAAGAGGCTCTCCCTCTGAGGGCTCAGCACCCAGGCAGGTTCGGGGCAGGACCTATAGATTCCTTCTGGGCCAGCCTGGAAACCTCAGCCCCCTTGCAATCACAGAACTGCACTTGGAGGAACAGCCAAGGGCCCTCTAGCCCGCCCCCCCCGCTTGCCCCCCACTTTCCCATGGAGTCTCCTCTCCCCCTTACCACCTCCCTGCCCCCCACTCACCTGTTGGAGTCCCGCCTGCTCCGCTTGCTGGGGGGCTGCCCGTTCACCCCACGCAGGGGCCCCCCGCCCGCCCCGCGGAGACTGCCGTTGTCCTGCACATGGCCGTGCTTGGCCGGGGGCCTCTGGGGATGGGGCAGCTTCTGGCGCGACCGGAAGACGGGCGAGGCCCCCCTGCCCTCTGGGGTCTGGTGCGGGGGGGAGGGGGTGGGGGGCGGCGTCTCGCCCGCCTCCAGCGTCAGGGCCTCCTCAATCTCCAGGAGGAACTGCTGGGAGGGGGAGGTGCCCACGGCAGGAGGGGGGTCCGCAGGGGCCTGCCCCACGCGCTGTCCACGTTCCTCTCCTTGGCGCCCCTCCGGGTTGTGCTCTTCCTCGTCCTCTTCGTCCGGCTCTTCCTCCGAGGAGGACGGCACCAGCTCAGGCGCCTCCAAGTCCATGTGCTGGTCGGCCTCCACTTCCTGGACGCGGGGGTCATCATCTGGGAGGGACAGCAGGGTTATGCTGTTTTAATTTATCATTTGGCCAATTATTTTTATTGATTTACCAAATTACTACAAATCAAACCAAATTAATTCAATTTAATACCATTTTCCCGCCCTCGCTACAAAATGTGAACAAAATACAGAAGTACTGTTTGGGGTGGCAGGGGGCGGACAGGTGTGGGGGGCTCCCTGGTCCTGAATGGAGCAATACGTGCTACATACTCTATATTGCTTTATTTACAGTTCAAAGCAAGTATATTACAGAAAGACATCTTGCCTCTGCAGGAGCAGAAAAATGCATCCTCTCTCCTCAACAGCTCGGAGAGAATCACACAGTGAAAAACAGGAAACCAGTGTACGTCACATCCAGTCTCCCTTTCCCGTGAGAAACTCCAACAGTACAGACTGTGGAATGTAAACACCTGTCTCGTGACAAGTTAGCTGCACAGTGAAGGAAAGCAGAAACCAACATCCCCCCCTTTCTGTGAACATCACTGGGCAGCGTGTTTGCACAATATCAGTACAAACCCAACTTCTGCACATAGGTACAGTGTTGATCCCTTGATACAATCTTGGACAATACATCAGCAGGAATTTCATTACCTGGCATATAGGACACCGTTACGAGTCCCTTCTGAATACATTCCCTAGCATGCTGCAACTTTAATTGTAAGTGCTTTGTGCTTTGCTTACAACCTTCAGACTTCAGCAAAGCCAAACATGCTTTGTTGTCCTGGTAAACCTGGATTGGACATTTGACAGGAATTTTCATATCTTTGCACAATTGTACTAACCATTCACAATCCTTAAGTGAATAAGACAGTGCATTCAGTTCAGCTTCACAAGTACTTAAGCTAACTGTTGTTTGCTTCTTGCATGACCAATCAAAAAGACCCTGATTGTACATGTAGCAAACTCCAGACGTACTTTTCCTGTCTGTAGCGTCACTTCCAAAACTTGCATCTGCAAATATCTCAAGACCACCAGACTTCTGATTGTTAAATCTCAGTCTGTAATGCATAGTGCCTTTCAAATACCGCGCTATGCGTTTCAGAGCTTTCCAATCCTTGACACTAGGATTGTTGACTTGTCTGCTTAGCAAATTACAGCTAACAGCAATGTCTGGTCTTGAACATCTGGCAATGAAGTTTAGCTTGCCTAGCACACTCCTGTACAGTGTAGTGTCAGAAAATGCTTCTTCAGTGTCATCTACCTGATAACCTGTTGTCATCGGTGTGTCTATAGGGTTAGCATCCATCAGATTTAGTTTGCTTAACACATCAGCAATTTTCCGTGACTGGTGTACTAGAATGTTACCATCTTGATCTCTCTCTATTTCCAGAGATAGGTAGTTGTTTACCTCACCAAGATCTTTCATGTCAAAGTGCTCTTTCAGTTGAGCTAGGGCGCTATTGTACATTGCGACATCTTTCCAAAAGAATAATAAATCATCAACATAAAACAAACAGTACAGTTTCTTTTGCCCCTCCTCTTTGACAAATACACATGGATCAGCTTTCCCTTGCTGAAAACCTAGAGAAAACAATACTTCAGTGAGTTTTGTGTGCCAACACCGTGCACTTTGTTTGAGACCATAAAGGGATTTCTTCAGAGCACAAACAAATCCCTGTTTTACCTGTACGCCATCAGGTGGAAGCATATAAAGTGATTCATCTAGAGATCCGTACAGAAAAGCTGTATTAATATCATGGTGACTAATGTGTAGATTTTCCTCTGCAGCTAGCTTGAGCATAAGCCTAATGCTTTCATATCTCACTGTGGGTGAATAGGTCTCGTGATAGTCTTCACCTGGTACCTGTGCAAAACCTCTGGCTACCAATCTGGCTTTGTGTCTGACTATCTTGCCATTTTGATCTGTCTTCGCTTTGAAGACCCATTTGCTTCCAAGCAGTTTCATTCCTGGAACTACTGGAACTAGCTCCCATGTTTTGTTCCTTTCTAAGGAATCAAGCTCAGCCTTCATGGCATTTAACCATGGCTCAGCTTCCTTTGAATCCAAACCCTGGATTTCTTGGAAACTTGAAGGTTCAAATACCTTCTTGGAGCTTTTAACAGCTGTTACTGCTATCTTAGCAAACTCATCAGCAAATCTCTTTGGAGGTTTGCCTTTTGTGGCTCTCTGTGACCTACTGAATTAGCCTTAAGTCTTCAACACTCTCCTCTTCCTTCTTAGGAGAAAAACGACCTATTGTGAACAATGGTTCCTCCAATTCTTGATCAGAGCTTTCAGAGGGTCGCATAGAGGCTTTCGCACTCTTGAAATCCTCTGAATCACCCGATTCAGTTTCAGATTCAGACTCAGAACCTTCATCAGTGGGTGTGGGTTGTTGTGGTTGCTTTTGACTATCCTCAGTCTCATCACCGTCATCAGGATAACATTGGAAAATTCCCACATTCTCCCCCACTTTGCATTGTACTCAACACTTCTCGTGAGCTTAATTGTCTTAGAGTCAGTCATCATTATTCTGTAAGACCCTTTCTGATAACCTAGAAAGATACCATGCAATCCACGCATGTCTAACTTGGAGTTTTGTGGTGAGCGAACCCACATGTCAGAACCAAAACTCTTCATGTGTTTGATGTATGGCTTCTTGCCAAACATCTTCTCATAGAGGTACATCCAATCGCTGAAGATAACCTGCGATTGTAACTGTAAACAAAACACGAGAGAGATTCGGCCCAATAACTCTCTGGAAGATTGGCATCATGCAGCAAGGTTTTTAACCCTTGAAGCAATGTCTGATTTGCCCGTTCCGCAAGTCCATTCTGCCATGGCGAGCGAGGACTAGACAAATCGTGTTGAATTCCTTTCTCAGTCAGAAAAGCTTCAAACTGCTGAGAAGTGAATTCCCCGCGATCACTGAAAAGAGTCTTTATCTTCTTACCATGCACATTTTCCAACCAAGCACAGAATTCCTTGAACCTAGGAAAAGCCTCCGATTTCTGCTTGAGATTGTACACAAAAATATATCTAGAAAATGCATCAATGAGAACCATGAAGTATCTATTTCCACCCAAAGAGGGCGCAAGTGGACCAACCAAATCAGCATGAACAACCTGGTATGGTTCTGTAGCTTTCCTGCTAGACACCTTACCTTTCGCAGCCATTTTCACTTTGTTTGCTGCGCATGCTTTGCACTTCATGTGGTACCTGCAGGGTTTAATAGTCATACCTTCAACCAAGGCAGGCATTTTAGATACTGCCTCAAAATGCAAATGACCAAATTTTCGATGAAAATCGTGAATACATTCTGCATGCAAACTTTTGTTAGAACCTGCAATGCAACAAGTGTCATCCTGCACCACATCATCATAATACAAAACAAACAAATGATCAACATATTCTGCATGCAATACATAATCATTTTTCTTTGTGATGATGCACTTCTTGTTCTTGAAGGAAACGTCAATGTTCCGCTCATTCAGCTGTCCAACGCTGAGCAGATTATGTTTGGCGTCTGGCACGTAAAGCACATTCTGTATCGATAAGTCCAAACTGTGAAGAACAACAGTTCCGTAGCCTTTACTGGGAATAGTGTGGTCATCCGCCTGGTGAATCGCACCTTCCTGCGGTGTAAAAGACACAAACAGTTTCTTATCGTTGCACATGTGGTGGGTGGCCGCTGAATCAACAACGAAGAAAGATCTAGACGTCTTCTGGACCTCTGCAACCTTTGGAGTGAAGCGTGAAACCATAGCCTTGTGCTGCGTTGTCTTAGACACCGGACCTTTGCCTTTGCCTCGGCCTTTTCCGCGCGATGAGCTTTCGCTGCGCTGCTCTGTCTTGGCCCTGGGATGTCTGCATTCCCTCTTCATATGGCCTAGACGTCCACACGAGTAGCATTTCACTGCCTCCAAAGCTTTGGCGCCATCTGGTGGTTCCACTGCACTATGGGATGACGTCTGTGAAGACTCCCCTTTGCCCATGCAGCTAGCACCCCGGCGATCTGCTTCATTTAAAATCACGGCAGTAACAAAGTCCACTGTCAGCTGAGCAGTTGGTTGCACAGCAATCTGGGTTGCAACAGACTCCCAACCTGAACCCAAAGATTGTAGTATCATGAAAGAATACACAGCCTCTGGAAAGTTGAGTCCTCTCTGTTGCAGCTCATGTCTCAGATTTTGCATCTGCATCAGATGTAAACGCACATCTCCACCTTCAGCAAGAGCCATATTATGCAGCTTGTTAAAATAAAACATAGTGGATCCAGCTTCTGTCCTTAAGTGAGCCTCTCTCAGAGCGTCCCAAATTTCTCTGGCTGAGGTCTTATCACGCAATAGACAGAGCTCTTCTGGGGATACTATCAATGTAAGAGTTCCCCTTGCTTTGGAATCCTTAGCTTTCCATGCATCTGTAACTGGAACTGGGGGTTCCTGTAATCACCTCAAACAAACCCTCTTTCCGCAGAATTGCCTCTGCATACTGAACCCAGTCGCTGTAATTTTTCTTGTTGAGCTTAGGAATCCCACAAGCATCCTGAAGGGCCATCATGACTCTGGCATTAGCCTTCAGCGTCATATGCTGCTTTAAATCTTGCTGCGTCACTGCTGCAGCTGCCTTATTACAAAGGCACACTTAAAAGTTACGTTCGAGTTCCCCAGCATAGTGACTTGTGCCTGGGAGCCTTTTGCCTATTCCCGGCAAAACCGGCTTTAAAAGTTCAAAGTCCAGCCATAAAGCCATTAACTTGAAGCTGGCAGGCTGCCCGGAGCAGTAGCACACACCTCATCAATCACTTCTACGCGCAGAGCAGATTCCGTTCCGATCCGTCCCTCTGCATTCCGATCCTTTGCCGGCACTCCGATTCGACCTCTGGGCCCATAACCACGTGTTGATTTAAAGCAGAGTCTGTCGTGCCCAGCGGAAGGATGAGCAATACGTGCTACATACTCTATATTGCTTTATTTACAGTTCAAAGCAAGTATATTACAGAAAGACATCTTGCCTCTGCAGGAGCAGAAAAATGCATCCTCTCTCCTCAACAGCTCGGAGAGAATCACACAGTGAAAAACAGGAAACCAGTGTACGTCACATCCAGTCTCCCTTTCCCGTGAGAAACTCCAACAGTACAGACTGTGGAATGTAAACACCTGTCTCGTGACAAGTTAGCTGCACAGTGAAGGAAAGCAGAAACCAACAGTGCGCAGCCTGGGAGTCATTCTGGACTCACAGCTGTCCATGGAGGCACAGGTTAATTCTGTGTCCAAGGCAGCTGTCTGCCAGGTCCATCTGGTACGCAGGATGTGACCCTACCTGCCTGCGGACTGTCTTGCCAGAGTGGTGCATGCTCTGGTTATCTCCCGCTTGGACTACTGCAATGCGCTCTATGTGGGGCTACCTTTGAAGGCGACCCGGAAACTACAACTAATCCAGAATGCAGCAGCTAGACTGATGACTGGGAGCGGCCGCCGACACCATATAACACTGGTCCTGAAAGACCTACACTGGCTTCCAGTATGTTTCAATTGTTGGTGCTGACCTTTAAAGCCAGAAAACAGCCTTGGCCCAGTATAACTGAAGGAGCATTTCCACCCTCATCATCCAGACCGGACACTGAGGTCCAGCGCCAAGGGCCTTCTGGCAGTTCCCTCCCTGCGAGAAGCCAAGTTGCTGCTTCCTCCTCCCACTCGGCTCTTGGCCATATGCGGCCGCCTCCGCAGGAAGGAGGGAGATGTCACCCAGAGATGTCCACGGCTTCAGAATGGCTGCAGGAGCTTCCTGCTGCTAATCCAAAGCCGTGCCAGCGTCGCAGAAGTCAGTCCCTGCGCGCCATGCCGGTTTAGCGCGGGGACTGACTGGGTGGGCGGCAGGGTCCGCAGGCTGGATTTACGAGCCCGGTGGGCCGCATCTGGCCCCTGGGCTGTAGTTTGCTGCCCCCGATCTAATCCATAAGAGCATGCGTAGCTCGATTCCGGACTCTGCGCTCCTTCGTTTTTTCTCTTTCTGCTTGTGTGTGAAATGGCAGGACCCCCACCACAAAGGCCCCTCAGGGTGGGCCCCCAGGGTCATGAATCTCAGCCAAAGCATCCGCACAGCCAATAGCTCAGTCGGTAGAGCCTGAGACTCTTAGGGTGGCGGGTTCAAGCCACGTGACAGACGGCCTCCCAGCCTCTGCTTAGAAACCTCCGCAGGAGGAGGAGCCACCCCCTTCCAAAGGAGGGACAGACTCCTTCAGAAAGTGGGGGGTCCCTTCTGATGCCACCCTAGCCCCCAGCCTACCTGGGGCAGCCCCTTCCTCCTCCTCTTCCTCCTCCAGGCTCTTCTGCAGCTCGGCTTCTATGTCCGACTCTGACGAAGACTCTTCCTCCTCCTCTTCTTCCTCGTCCTCTTCTTCCTCCTCCGCCCCTGCACTGGCCACGCTCCGGCCGGGGCTGCCCTAGGGAAGAGAGACAACGAGGGTCACCCTCTGATCCTGACAATGCCAGGGATGGACAGACCCGCCTCCCAGAAAGTGCTGCACCCCATCAAGATCCCAGAACGGTGCCCAGAGCAAAACGCCCCAGAGAGACCCTTCCCCTCTAAGGAGGGGGGGTCTCAAAGCAGCAGCAGCAGCAGCTGCCCAGGCCCCCACCTGTAGGAAGCAAGCCCCCAAACAGCCCCTCCCTGCCCACACCTGGATCCACCCTCACAGGAGGGACCCCAGGGGCCATCTAGTCTACCCCCCTGCAATGCACAAAAAAATGCATTTATTCATTTACTACGTTAAGCATGCATGGGTATAAAGAAAATATCATCGCCGTCGGGGATCTACGTGTGATGCCTGATCATTAAGAAGAGCTACTGGCAGCAATATTAAGAGAGAAAAATAATTAACTTTTTGTAGCAGAATGTCTGGAAAAGCACTGCAAACAAATGAAATCACAGGCAGGATTTGAGGTAGGACTAACAGAAGAAAAACGATAAAGGAACTGTACTAGGGAGAGGTTGGTAATAGATGAGAAATTGAAATATAATGCAGTAGAAAAGAGTTTGAATAAAAAGACTAGGTGCTGGGAAGTCAATACGCAAAACAATCTCTCTATATAATCTGAAGTTAGCTTGTAAAAATTTGGAAACTCAATGAACATTACATGGGGGGGGGGAGTGTTACAGTCACAAATCTATTGCAGGAAACTGGTATCCTTAATTTCCCGGTGGAATACAGAGGCTCTCGGCAAGCCTTTGAAGGATGGCTGGAAGATGCCTGCTGAATCTCCAGGGGCAGGGAGTTCCACAGGGCTGGGCCATCAACACTTTATTATTATAATTATAATTATTCTTTGTTGATCGACATAAAAGGCTCCGCTTCTGAGTGTTGTCTGGCTGACTTAGGGAATGGCCAGTGATGCTCCTGCAGGCGGGCCCAGATGGGCTGGAAGGGTTCAGGCGCAGGCCTCTGTGAATCAACGCTGAGGACCTTGAACCCAGCCCAGCGCGAGAGAGGGGGTCCTTTCAAAGGAGGCGGGTGGGGAAAGGCCCCCGCCCAGAAAGAGCCCCCTCTGCCGGAAGCCCAGCCTGCCGCGAGGGGCACCATCTTTTCCGCGCCAAGCCCCTCACCTCCTGGGGAGAGGCTGGCTCCCCCTGCTGGCGCCCGGGGGCATCGCTGGGCCCGGGCCCGTCTCCGCCAGCGCTGCCGCCCCGCGATTCCCTCCGGCGCCGCTGCCCCTCGTCCTCGCTCCTGTCCTGCAGCTGCGCAAACTGGGAGGTCACCTCCTCCAGGCGCTGCAGGGCCTTCTCCCGGTTCTGGCGCAGGCGCCGGGCCAGCTCAGGGTCCGACAAGGCCGGGTCCGAATCTGCAGGGGAAGAGATGGGCCGGGCGTTGCAGCGGGTTGGGATGGATGACCCCCAGGTCCCGCAAAGCTCCACAATGCCAAGAACCCCCCGAGCCCCTGCCTGGCCTGGAGCTTTGTAAGAGTCGGACAATCTGAAATACGCTCAGGTGCCAGAAGGGGTCTGTGCACCCGGCTTTTAACCAGAAAGGCGATGGGATGGCCGTGGGCAGGAGTCCTGCACTCCCCCCTCAAAATGGCCTCCTCTGAGGGAACCGCCAAGATCTCCCGCCACTTGTTTCATTTGTGCATTCGATGGCAGTTTCCCTCAGAATGGCTTCCTCTGAGGGAAATTTTCAACAATTCCCACTATTTCCATAGTGTGTGCATGTTTCTGAACTTTGAAACATCTTTAAAGCCCTACGGGAATGATGGCCAACTCCCCCCCCCCCCACGGCCTCCTCGGAGGGGAATTTCCATTTCCCCGCTATTTTTATTATGTGTGCCTTTGTCTGAACTGAGGCACCTGCGTGTGTTCAAACAGGCCGGGGAACATGGCGGCCGGCCTGTTGTGCCCCCTGCGCCCCCCGCCAGTGCCCCTGGGTGCTCACTGGGCCGGTACTGGTCGGTGAGGTGGCTGCCGAAGTTGTAGACGAGGTCGAGGTGGCGGCGCTCCTGGAGACGGTTGCCCACCTCGCGGAAGGCCTCGGCCGCCATGCTCTCCATCTGGCGCTTGGGCAGGCCCAGCCTGTGGCGGGTGCTGGCCTTCTGTACGGCCTTGAGGATGTCGGCGTAGTCGGGAAAGGCCTCGGGGCGGTTGATGAGGCGCTCGATGCGCCGGTTGACCTCCGGGTAGCGGGTGCCGCGGTAGGGGATGCGCTGCTCGATGACGCGCCCCGTCAGGCTGCTGCAGTCCTTCAGCTGGCAGAGGCGCTGGAAGATGCGCACCATGCGCCGCTTCAGCCGGCTCTCCTGCAGGTACGTCGAGTCCTCGCTGTCCAGCTCCTCCAGGTCCAGCTCCCGCTCCTGCAGCTTCCGGATCTCCACCTCGTGGAGCCGCAGCAGGTCCTCCAGGTAGCGGATCTGCCGCTTGGAGCCCTCGCCCGGAGCCTTGGCAGCGGGGCCCGGAGCCTGGGCAGCAGGGCCCGGAGCGTTTGCGGGGCCGGCAGGGGTGGCGCTGGGCCCAGGGGCTTCTGGCTCTGGAGCCGGCAGGGGCAGCTTCTTCTTCTGGCTGTGGGCCCGGAAGACGGTGCAGAGCTCGTTGATGTAGACGTAGACCTTGGTGCTGCGCGCCTGCACCCGCGCCAGGCAGCGGCCCAGGACGTTGCGGAACTCCACCGAGGAGAGGAAGGCGGGCGCTGCCTTCTGGTGCCGCCCCGTCAGGTAGGGGATCACCTCCGGGTGGTCGGCCGTGTGCAAGGAGCAGAAGGCCACAAACTGCGGAGAAAGGAGAGGAGAGGGTCAGGGGCGCAGGGAGCCTACCCACCCTCCGACCGAAGCCTGCACCCACGGGAGTCCCCACCAGGGACTAGAAACTTGGAGGGGCCCCCTGGAACTGGCCAAGAGAGGGGCCATTTTGAAAGGCAATCCTCTCCTGCGCCTGGGGCTTTCTGGTAGCAGAGAAGGCAGCATGATGGAGGAAGCAGGGAGAGAAAACCTTTCTTCTCTCTCTCTCTCAACACTCGAACTCGACCTCCAAGGAAGCCGGATGTCGGGAGATTCGGGGCAGATCAAAGAAAGGACTTATCTGCGCAGCACATTGTTCAACTGTGGAACTCCCTCCCACAGGAGGCAGGCAAGGCCACCCGTACTCCCTCCTACAAAGCTGCCCGAGTTTTGTGATCTTCAGGCGAGGTCTCAGGCACGTTGGAAGAGAAGGAAACAAACCGCATTGAGGACGGAGCCTGCCAGGGAGCGGCAGCCCTTTGACAGGCCCTGCACAGAGGAGGCTGCAACGCCCCTGGAAGACTTCCAGCGTGGCTTTGAGAGAAGGTGGAGGGACTGCGCAACGGAGGAGGCCTTGTCCGTGGCGCATCCACCCTCTGCCAGCCAAAGGTCGCTCCCAACCTGAACACAAGACACCGGGGGGGCAGCTTCCCAGTCACAGAATGGTCATCTAGTCCAGCCCCTGGCAATGCAGGAATCTCAGCTCAAGCATCCAGGACAGACGGCTGCCCAATCCCTGCTTAAGAGTCCGCTACCTTCCTGTCCTGTGCCCCCAGAACATTCTTGGCAGAGGAGGCACCTGGTTTCATTTCCCCACAATCAGCCTCCAGAAGTGGCATCGTCCTGCTGGCCACCTGACCCGGAAAGCTGCCTGTGGACCAACGCCGGCTCCCTTGGCCTGAAAGTGAGATGAACGCTGCACCCCAGAGTCGCTTTGGACTGAACTTCACCGTCCCGGGGCCTTTACCTTTTTACCTATATGCTGATTGGCTCCCTTTCACACTCTGCTTAATTGCAGACTTTGGGATGCTGGGCTCTAGGCCAGGGTCAGCAAACTTTTTCAGCAGGGGGCCAGTCCACTGTCCCTCAGACCTTGTGGGGGGCCGGACTATATGTTGCCATGATTATGACCCGCATTTTTGGCAAAAACTCTTATTTGGACCAACCCCAATGTTACCCAAATGTGATTTGCAGGGGGGGGGGTTTCCCTCACACACCCACACTGCTTCCTTTGCATTTTATGCATTAACAGTTGTTATTTCTCTCACAAGGCGGGGGGGGGGGGGGCTGAGGTAAGCGCGCCATTCTTGGATCCTTTTCCCTCTTCCCCACCCTGGAAGAAAAGATTGCAGTGCGCGCACACGATGGACAGAAAAGGGACTTGTTTCAAGCAGCCGCCCACCTCACTTTTGACCCCCAAGCCTGGATGAGTCACAAAAAACATCGCGCGCTGGCTATGCCAGCTGCCTGGATTCCCGGTCTGTCCGCAGGCTGGATCTCGAAGGCAATTGGGCCTGATCCGGCCCACAAACCTTGGTTTGCCAACTCATGCTCTAGGCCCAGAGAGGGGAGAAGCTTTGGCCCGCTGAGGCCTTGCCACAGTGTTAAAAGCTCATATACAGAATATTAGCAAATCACCAAATGCCACCTTAAGCCTAGGTTACAGTCGCCACAACGAAACATCTAGGCACCTTTTGGCAACCAAATTTCTTAATAATAATAACAACACGTTTCTAAATGTCTGGGCAGGTTCACCTGCCCAGACATTTTTTGAGCAGGAGCCAAAAAGAGCACAGCAAACACACTACTCCTGACATCAACAGACAGGGAATTCCAGAGCCGCCACTAAAAGACCAGTTTCTGACAAATGTGGAAGAGGCGTTCTGTGAGACCTGCAACACGGCTAGCAATGACCGCCCTAAGAATGAATGCCTGAGGCTGGGAGCCCTGCTGCCCCGATGGAACGCAAACCTGCAGACACCCATCCCCTGCGGCTTCAGGTGGGCCTCCGTCAGGAGCCCAGGCAGACCAGCTCCCCAACTCCTGGCGGAAGGGGAAAGGCAACCCCCCCCACCCAAAAGCAGTTCTGAGTCACTAAGGCCAGCCGAGAAAGGACTTGGGGAAGGAAGCCCAGCTGGGGGATACGAAGTCCCCCGCGCCCATCCCAGGCGGCAGAAGAGGAAGCCCAGCTGGGGAGGGGGGGGAAGAAGATCCCCCCCGCCCCATCCCCAGGCAGAGAAGAGGGTCTCCCCACATTCCCCCCTTGGGCTGGGAAGGAAGCCCAGCCGGGGGGGGAAACAAGAAGATCCCCCCCCGCCCCATCCCCAGGCAGAGAAGAGGGTCTCCCCACATTCCCGCCCGCGGGGGCCTCCCGACCTCACCTCCGCAAAGAGCCGCTGGTTCTCGGCCTCGAGGCTGGCGGGGTCCTTCTGGGACGGAGGCTGCGGAGGCGCAAGGGGGGCTTCCCGGCTGGGGGGCTGCGGGGCCTCCTCGTCTTCGTCCAGGATGATGATGCTGCCGCTGGGGGAGGCCATGGCGGCGCCGGCAGGTGGGCAGGAGGGGCGGGCCGAGCGGGGCCCAGGAGGGGCCCGGCACAGCACCCTCGGGCGTCGCCTGCGGGAGGAAAGAGGACGTCACTCGCCCGCTAGAAAGACCGCACCCCGGGCTGTTCTTGGGGGGTCTCCCCTCCCCTCCCCCCCCGCCCCCAACAGCGGGAATCTCCTCCCTTCTCCCCGCCCACCTGGCCCAAGAACAAAGGCCCGAGACCCGGCCCCGAGGGCTCCCCGACCCCGGCCCGCCGGCTGCGGCCCTCTCTCTCGGCGCGCCCTCGCCGCCCTCCTCCGGCTCCGCTTTCGTGCCCCTTCCCTCCTCCGCGGCCGGCCAAGAAGAAATGCCTCCCTTCCTCCCGGCCCACCGCGCGGGACCGGAAGTTCCCGCCTTTGCCGCCATCTTGCCGTACGGCGAGGAGCCGGGCGCCGGAGGCGGCTTTCCCGCGCTCCCTCTGCGGCGCTCGGCGGCCCTGCTGAGGCCGAGCGTCGGGCGCTCCGCCCGCGTCTCCGCGGCCCCCCCGGCCCCTGCCTCGCTCCTTCCCGCCCCGAACGGGAGGCCTCGCCGAGGCCCCGGGGCGCCGCCACCTTGCCGTACGGAGTCGCCTCTTCCGGCCACGTGACCGCGTCACGCGCCCGCGATTTGAATCCACGGGAGCCGTTGGGTTGGGCGGGCCCCTTCCGGCCGCCGCGCGCCGCCTTGCCTTAGGGGAAGAGGCCCCCGAGGAGCGCGCCTCGTCCGGGCCGGAGGCGGGAAGGGAGGCCGGGCCGGTCGCTTCCCTCCATTCCGCGGGAAGGAATTCCTCGGCTCTGAGGTGCTCGCGCACGCGCCCCGCGCCCTCTTCCTCGGGAGTTTCCTATTGGTCGCCCTCGTTTCTTCGGCGCCGCTTCTCGGCCTCTGCGCATGCTCACTTGTTCTTCCCGCTTCGTGGAGGCAGCCATCCTGTTGTACGGAAGCGGAGGGCGCCGGGAGAGACGCAGTGTCCGAGTTTTCGGGGGAAGCCCGAGGGCCAGGCGCCTCTCCCCGCCCCAGCCAAGCTTGGGCCAAAGCAGCGGGCAGCAAACGGAGCCCTGGATTAGGGAAGTTTTTAAGGGCTGATGTTTTGATGTCTTTTTAATCTTTTGTTGGAAGCCGCCCAGAGTGGCTGCGGGAACCCAGCCAGATGGGCGGGGTATAAGTAATTTATTATTATTATTATTATCATCATCACCACCACCATCATCATCTCTGTCTGTGGACAGCCTGGCACTGAAAACTCTCCCAAAGAGAAAGAGCAGCCTCTCGACAGGCAGAAGTTCAACAGGTGGAGACACAGGAGAAGGTTCCCCTGGCGAATTTCTGTCTGTCGGGAAGCCGCAGTTCTGCCCTTGGGAGAAGGGACCTTTGGGTAGCCTCCCGATGCTCATACGTTGAACCTAAGCCCTAAGCAGCCTTGGCCCAGTATACCTGAAGGAGCGTCTCCACCCCCATTGTTCTGCCCGGACACTGAGATCCAGCTCCAAGGGCCTCCTGGCGGTTCCCTCCCTGCAAGAAGTGAGGTAACAGGGAACCAGGCAGAGGGCCTTCTCAGTGGTGGCACCTGCCCTGTGGAACACCCTCCCATCAGATGTCAAAGAAATAAACAACTGTCTGACTTTTAGAAGGCAGCCCTGTTGAGGGAAGTTTTTAATGACTGATGTTTTACCGTGTTTTTAATATTTTATTGGGAGCCGCCCAGAGTGCAGGGTATAAATAGTTATTGTTACCTAAGGGCGCCAGGAGAACCTGCAGCAGCTGGATCAGGCCAGAGGGGCACACCTGCAGACAGAATCCGAGCGCAAGAGCAAGCGTCCCCTGCTGCGGTTTCCAGCCATTGTGGCTGGTAGCTCCTCCTCCGTGAACTTCAAACTGGGCTGTCTCCTTTGGGAGGGAGTTCCATAGATTAACCAATAAGTCCTTTTTTATTGGATTCTGAATCTTGCATTGCTCAGCTTCATGGGGTGTGTTACGTTACAGGAGAGATAGCAACTTTTCTCTATCCATTTTCTTCATCCATTATATTTACCATGTCATTATGTCATTTGCCTTTTTACTAAACTGTGTTAGAAATATGTGTATTAGGGGGCATGCATAATGTTATTGTTAGAAAAACAGAGACGGCTCTGGTTGCCCTAACAGATGATCTCCGTAGACAACTGGATCGAGGCGGGTCAGGACTGGTGATCCTTTTAGATTTGTCAGCAGCCTTTGACATGGTCGATCATGATCTTCTGGACCACCGCCTCGCAGACGTGGGGATACAGGGCATAGCCTGTAACTGGCTGTGCTCTTTTATCTCTGGTCAGGGACAGAGGGTGGCACTAGGGAGGGAAATGTCGTCGCGCCATTCCTTGGTGTGTGGAGTGCCGCAGGGCACAATCCTCTCCCCAATGCTTTTTAACATCTTTATGCACCCCCTTGCCCAGATTATCCAGAGCTTTGGGCTGGGCTGTCACCAATATGCTGATGACACTCAGCTGTATCTGCTGATGGATGGGCACACCAACTCGGCCCCGAACACACTGACCAGATGCTTGGAAGCTGTGGCTGGATGGTTTCGTGGGAGCCGATTGAAACTAAATCCTTCGAAGACAGAGGTCCTATGGCTGGGTCGGGATGGCATGGGAATGAGGGACCAACTCCCTTCTCTTGCGGGGCCCAATTAGTGCCATTGCCTTCCGTTAAGAGTTTGGGTGTAATCCTTGACGCCTCCCTTTCCATGGAGGTGCAAGTTACAGCAACAGCCAAGGCAACATTTTTCCACCTTCACCGCATCAAGCAGTTGGTCCCTTATCTTTCCCGCCCCGCCCTGGCCACAGTGATCCATGCAACGGTCATCTCCAGGCTTGACTACTGTAATTCGCTCTACGCGGGGCTGCCCTTGAAGCTGTCCCAGAAACTCCAGCGGGTGCAGAATGCTGCAGCGAGGCTCCTCACGGGGTCTCTGCCAGGGGAGCATATTCACCCAGTGCTTTTCCAGCTGCACTGGCTCCCGGTAGAGTACAGGGTCAGGTTCAAGGTGCTGCTTTTGACCTTTAATAAATATTCATAAATGCACACATATCTAAATATATGAATCATGTGTCTGAAATAGTATGGGAGAGCAATGCAGCAGCCATTTTGACTCTCCCAATGACCTCAAATATTCCTCTGCAGTAAGGGAGGCAAATAGCGAAAGCCTTCCCATTGTCTTTTTGATTTCAAATCCTGTCTTAAGGGCATATTTGTGTATGAATGGGGTGACCCTGTTACCTGGATTCAGGAGCTAAAGTATTAACCATCACAAAAGAATGGCCAGGCTGCCCAGGTAAAGCAATCAGTGATGGTTGTCAGGTATCCTGGCAGGCAGGATTTCTGCTGGAGACTGCCTCCTTCTGTTATGTATGTATGTATGTATGAGGTGTGGTCTTGAGCTACTGGGGGGACAATTGCAAGTCTATATATGGGCTTGCACACCATTGTTCAGGGTTCTCCTCCCTCGCGTGTGCTGAGTGGGGACGCTATTGCAACAGTTCCTTGAATAAAGATCAGGCTTACTAGCTGCTTTGCTTCTCAATATACTCTGGCTGGCCTCTGTTATTTTCTCCTACCAATAGGGAACCCACATAAGGACTCTGTACGGGCTCCGGAATACCCCATAAGGGAAAGGGAGCAGTTTTTTCTGGATACGTATATAGAAGTAGTTAAAACTGAAATTACTGCCTATGCTTAGGAGTCAGAATGGTAAGAAGCCCAAACCTGCTGAAAAGGAATGATTTGAGGATGACACCTTAATAAGGTAACAGGAGTTTCTAAGCAGAAAACAATTCCAAATATGGTGTGCCCAATTGGAAGGCCAGGTAGTGTGTCCGTGAGCTGCTTACGCATTGCTTTAGCCAATAATATTGCAAAAATGATATGGGCGCGAGGATTGCATATATTTACCTGATAGAGGAGTAGCATATAAAAGCCTGAGGGCATGTACTGTGGTCAGACCATGATTGTGGCAACAGCCTTGTGGTTGACCATTCAGCGCTGTCTTAATGATGAATAAATCTCTGTTCAGCCTACCTTGTGTACCTGACTCCTCTTTCCTTAGAGGTTTTTGGCTGTCTGCTCCAAGGAAGGAACCCTCCAAATTTCCCTAACTACTGAAAAGACCCAAACGCTGCAAATGAGCAGGTGTGTGTGCGTCCCAAGGGCACATGGAATCCAGAGTCCTTGAAGTACCTACTTGGTGCTGCTTTAAAAACATTGGCGCTGGTGATCGCCGCTGCATCTTGTGGCAGCAAATCCCACAGTGGCCTGAAATCTCCCGCCTTTCAGCTTTGCTGGGTGCCCTCCTGCCAGGGCTCAGAAAATCTCGCTGGCCCAAACTGCTGCAGCCAGATTGCTGACCAGGACCGGTTAGAGGGAGCACATGGGTCTTGCTAGAACAGCTCTGGTCGCAACCCAAAGGGCTGGCTTTCATCTGTAAAGCCCAACATGTCTGAAGGATCCAGTTGCCTCCTGTGGAAGCTGCCCAGGCTCTGAGATCTCCAGGAGAGGCCCTTGCTTGGAAGTGCTACGCCCCCAAACAGGCCACTGGTCATCAGGCCCACAGGATGGGGGAGGAACCTGGGGTTGCTGTTTCTCTGCTGCCCCCACCCCACTGCAGACAGATCAGTGTTTTGCAGTATCTCCTCCCTGGCCTGAAAACGAGATGAGTGGCGCAACCCCATCGTTGCCTTTGACTGGGTCCTTGGCCTTTTTATCTTCTCCTTGCCACCTGACAGTGAGGCAGGGGTTGTGCTGGACTCAAGAACGACTGGATGAGAACCAAGCAAGGAAAGCTCCATCCGGACAAGACTGAGATCCCCGAGGGCAGGCAGCTGGGACACGGCCTGCTGTTGATGGGGTCCCTCAGGAGGAGCGGGGACATAGCTTAGGGTCTTCCTGGATCCTTGGCTGGCCCTTGAGGCTCCCTTGGACTCGGCGTTCCCCATCCAAGGCCCTTCTTTGTGTGTCTCCTCCGCGAGAGATCAAGGGGGTGGCAAGACAAGAGCAGGTCCTTTTCTGCAGTGGCTCCCCATTTGCAGGAGGCTCGCCCGATGCCTTCACAAGACACCTTTGGGCACCAGGCAGAAACGTCCCTCTTCAAGCAGGCCTTGGGTTGATTACACAATCTGTGGTCTTTTAAAGTGTGTGAGAGAGCGGGAGCTCTTGTTTTGTTAGTTGTTATGATATGCATTTGTGTGTTTTGTCCTTTGAAGGTGGTAGGAAGAGGTTCTTGGGAAAGGGCTGGCACTGTCAAGGCAGCAGGCTTGGGGGGAACCTTTTCTATTCCCTGCCCCACCACGGATTTTCCCACGCAAGTGCTGTTTCAGCAGACCTAGAGGAGGAGCCTGGCCTGTTTGTGAGGCCAGTCCGGGGTCCTTTGTCTCCTGACCTAACCTGCTGTAAGGCTGCTCTTGCGCCTGAGAGCTGCCCCAGGAGGGGGCTGGCGGCTGCTCGTCTGGGGAATGGTCTCCTCAGGGAGAGGGACTCTTCTTCCATGGAGGTTTTCAAGCAGAGGCTGGGTGGCCTTCTGTCAGAGATGCTTGAGCTGAGATTCCTGCATTGCAGGGGGTTGGACTAGATGACCCTCAGGATCCCTTCCAATTCAACAATTCTATGATTCTGTGATCCACAATCTGAGTAAGCAAGCACAGAAGCACCCAAGACCCTGCCCTTGAGGACCCCCCCCCATTCCAGCCCCCCTCCCAGGCTCCCTCTGTTCTGGCCCCCCAAGCAAAGCACAGTGGAGAGCTTTGCATCCACCTTCCCTCCTGCTCTGAGCTGCTGCTTTTATATCTATATATATCTGATGCTTTTATCTTGCTGGCCATTTTTAGAATTGCACTCTTTCATGCTTGCAAGTTGCCTCGAGGTCACTTGCTGCAAATAAATAAAAGGTGAGGTCTGCAGAATAAGTGCCACTCGGTATCTCTTGCGTTATCAGCAAGAGGAATTCAAGGGCCCAGATCCCTGCCGCTCGCCCACTTGCGCCCTGCATGGCATGGCTGACAGAACCAGACCCATGGCACTTCCCTCCCTCCGGGGGGCTGACCTCTTAGCCTTGGCTGGCCCTTCCAGCAGCAGTGTGGGTCACCCAAACAACCCCCATCCCCATAGTGTCTGAGCTCTGGGGCAGGCTGTCTTTGATGGAAGAGTGTGAAAACCCACCTCTCTTAATAATAATAATAATAATTTATTATTTATACCCCGCCCATCTGGCTGGGTTTCCCCAGCCACTCTGGGTGGCTCCCAACTGAATTTCAAAAAACACAATACAGCATTAAACATTAAAAACTTCCCTCAACAGGGCTGCCTTCAGATGTCTTCTAAAAGTCAGATAGTTGTTTATTTCCTTGACATCTGGTGGGAGGGCGTTCCACAGGGCGGGTGCCACCACCGAGAAGGCCCTCTGCCTGGTTCCCTGGAACCTCACTTCTCACAGGGAGGGAACCGCCTGAAGGCTCTGGAGCTGGACCTCAGTGGACTGAGGTCATGGGCTGCAGAAGGTGGGGAAAAGCTCCAGAGCGTCTTGGGGGCAGCAGAGGAAGGAAGCCACCCCTCTCCCTCCCACGGGATAGGGGTGCTTTCGGTTGGCAGCGTAGTGGCAGGTTCCGAAGTACAGGGTCCCTTCCCAGCCACCCCCTTCCAAGGTAATGCAACCTTCTAAGAAGATACAGTCATCATTGAACCGTAGAACTGTAGAGTTGGAAGGGGCTCCAGGGGTCATCTAGTCCAACCCCCTGCAATGCAAAAATTGCAGCGCAGTCACCCAACATCGGCTCTAAAACCCCCTTCCCAGGTCCCCCGTCAAACAGCTCTTATGATTACACAGTGACAACGATTAGGAGTGTATTGCACGGATCAGCTGCGCATCTCCACAGGTTGCCTTTGGGCCGGATCACACCCTTTCTCTGCAAATAGTCCGCTGGGTGACAATTTCTGTTGGAGACTGCAGTCAAATCTAACTAGCAAACTGAGGGCTAGTGAATGCACGAGGGGTTAAGACTCCGGTGACAAAGTGAAGCTTCTTTCTTCTTTCTCTTCTGCCGCGTGAAGCTGACCAGGGACTGTGTCTCCTAAGTTCTTGCTGCTGCATGGAATAACGCATGAATCTGACCTTTGGACTTTGTAAGTAAAGCATTCCAAGGGACTAACAGTGGGGCCTGTTCACTGCAAGGGGGCTGGAAACAAAGCCCTGCCTATTTGAAAGGTAGAACAGCCTCTTATTCCTGCGCTTCGCTGTGCTGCGTAATTCTGCGATTCTCAACTGCTGGGGGCTCCCTCTTGCTGGAGAGAGCGCTGAGTCCCGTGCCTCAGATCTCAGGATCCAGCAAATTCTTTTATGAACTAACCTGACATGGGTCATATACCTTTCTTTTTCGGGTGCGTCCCCCCCAATAGTATTATGCCCGACAGAGCTTGCTCAACCTTCCCTTGAGAGTGAGGCCCTTGCACACTCGCGCTCCCAAATACTTTGCTCTGGCCACCCACAACTCTGGAACCCTTCCTGGGGGGGCAGAGAACAGTTGGGGGGCTTCTGGCTGAAGTTCTCTCTCTCAGCCCGACCTGGACACGGGCAGAAGCTGCCCCCCCCCCAGCAGCCAGAAATATGCCAAGTGCCCACTGCAAGGCCCTCCACTCTCTCGTGACTCCAGGAGTGGGGAAGCCCCTGAAGTTGGGGCACTTGCCCCACAGAAGCCCCCCCATCCCACCCCTCCTCCTGCCTTTACGGCTGATGTGGCATAAAAGACCAATTGCTTTTTATTAAACATTTTCGTCTGTTTTCACCACACACTCCAGAAAAAATGAGAAAAAAATAAATTTGACATAAAATAAACTTGAGAGCTTGAGAGAGAAAGAGAGAAGATGCCTGGGGAGGCCGGAGTGACCTGAACCCCCCCTTCCAAAGGGAGGAAATATGTACACAGGCTCTGAGTTCGAGAGAGAGAGGGGGGGAAGGAGGCAGAGAGAGAGAGAAAGAGAGAGAAGGAGCAGCTCTTCATATGTACAGTACAAATCCCGCGGTAATTACACCAGGGGGGGCAAGTCCGTGGGGAGCAGGCAGCGGGGACTTCACATATGTACAATCTCTTTATATTATAATAATAATAATTCATCATCATAATAATACGTATAAATATCTACGGTGCCCGCCTGAGCCACCGTCATTGTCCGGGGGGGGGGGGAGAAAGAAAGAGGGGTGGGGGAGGGAAGGAGAGTCCTTACAAAATAAATATGGGGGTCAAAGAGGGCGGAAATGGTCAGGGGCTCAAAGCGGGGCTGGGGGAGAGGGGCTGGGGCGATGCGCAGCGGGGAGGGGGGGAGAAAACAGCCACGACAACCACGAACTCTTGTGCCGAACACTTCTCACCCTGCAGCAGCTCAGCTCAGGAACCAAAAGCACAACGGGCAGGCGGGCAACGGACAGGGGGGCCAGCAGAGCAGCAGCACCACGCCAAGTGGGGGTGGCCCCCGCCCCTTTGCTTCTCTCCAGGGGGGCAGGGGGTCCCCACCCATCTTGAGGGCCCCGCTTTGGGCTGGCTGGGCAGGTCAAACATGGCTTCTTTGAGAGACAGAGAGAGAGTTGGTCAGGCCCCCTCCCCCGGTCGGAAATGGGGGGTGGGAGCCTGGAGGGGGAGGAAAGGGAAGAAGAAAAGAGTCAACCCCCCCTTGCCCTGCCCTGCGCTGCCCCCCACAACACAGAGGAAAAGAGAGAGAAAGAGAGAGAGAAAGAATCCAGAATATCCAGAAACCAAGAGGGGGGTCACTGTACAGAGCAGGCAAAGCCCTTTGTCAGAGGATGGAGAGCGCAGAATGGGGGGAGAGGGAGGCACAGCCTTGCCTGGGGGGGACTGGGCAGTGCGGAGCTTTGGGGCCTGGGAGGGTCCTCCCCTTCCCGCCCAGCCTTCCCTCCCCTCCCCTCTGGAGAAGAGAATGAGCAGGTGGGGGGCGCGGGGGCAGCCCCACCCGTCATGGCAGCTGGCTGAGGCAAGTGCACGTGGCAAGGGAATCGGGACCAGCCTCCCCCCTGCGGGCGAACTTCCTGCCCCCCCAGGCCAGGGAGGGGGGCCCAAGAGGGAACAGCACCCTCCCCCCCTTGCTGGGGCTGCTGCCTTGGGGAGGAAGGTCAATGCTGCGATGGGGGGAGCGGGGGGGGGGAGCAAGGGGATGCCACTCCTGAGAAATACCTGGGGGGAGTGAGGGAGGGAGGACCCCCCACTCTGTTTGGGGGCAGAGCAGGGGAAGGTGGTGCTCTGTGGGGCAGGGGTGGGGGTCAGAGAGGGTGTGATGGGGGTTAAGATTGTCGTCTGTGTCCTGCTATAAAACACCCTGAAAATGCTCCCGCCCCCTCCCTGCACCCGGAGGCAGGCGGGCCGGACCCCCGCCCCGCCCCACCCACCCCACGCCGGCTCGGGGAGGTGGGGGGAGGCAGGGGGCGGCCGCTAGTGCTCAGACACGGTGTTGCGAAACTCTCCATTTTCCGTGATCTGGAGTCGCGGGGGCGGAGGCGGTTGCCCGGAGTGGATCCCGTTCCAGGGCTGCCCCATAGCGGCGCTCAGACGCGGGTTTGCTGCACCCACGGCGGAAAGCTGCCTCTCCTGTAACAGAGGGGGCAAGAGGGGGCACTTATTTATTAACGTTGGGGGGTGCTGGCTCTCGCAAGGCAGCCCCCACCCTTCCCGCTAGGGCCCCTCTGCGGCGCCACCCACGGAGGCCAATAGAAGCGGCCTCCCCCAGCAGCCCAAGGGGGTCCAAGGGCCTTCCTCCCCCCATTTGGGGGCCGCTTTGGGACTCCAGCTGTGGGCCCATGGGGCTGGCTGGGACACCCTGTGGCTCTCCCAGGGCTTGGCCTGAGAGCCGGCTCAGCCCATGGCGGATCTGTGGGGCCAGCCAGGCGTCCCCACAAGGACGGCAGGACTGCAGCCCCCCCGTGCCCACAAGTGGCCCCCGGCAGGAGCTGAGCGCCTGAGGCTGGGCTGTGTCCTTGGCTCGGCCCCTTCTTTCAGCTCCCCATAGCAACCCCCGCTGGGTGGAGACGCCCTTTCCTGGCCCTGCCCTGAGCCCCCCAGCAGGATAGGCCCCGTTTGGGTCTCAGGAATCCCCCTGCTTTCCCAGAGGCCTCCATCCTGCCCCCTTCCTTCCTCCCACGGGGAACTGCTCACCCCCCAGCCCAGCCACTCCCAGGGTGCTTCCGGAGAACAGGCCTTCCTGAGCATTGTGGGTGCAGGCCCCTCGGCTGCAGCAGGCCTTCCCCCCACTCTGATGCCCCCCTTCGTGGCTGCGTTGGGGGTGCAACTGTCCTCCCTGCTCCAGGGACCCCGAGAGGAGGCCCAGACGTGGACACGTCCACTGTAATCCATGACTACGGCACACCCCTCAGAAAGAGAAGGATCTTCCTCTGCGGACCCCGAGCTTCAAGCCCACCCTGGGGGCCCCAGGCTGGGCTGAGTGGGGCAGAACTTGAGGCCTCCCTCCCAAGCAGGAGGAGGGGGAGAGGAGGCACCCACATGGGAGATACAGGCTAGCGAGGGAATGCCCTCTGCCTTCGCCCCTTCCAAGAACACTTGACAGGGATTGACCGGGGGGGCAGGCCAGGAAGGAGAGCCAGGAGGCTCAAGGGCAACCCCATAGCCCCCCAAGAGGGGCAAAAGGGAGGGAGCTGTGGGGACACCCAGTTGTGGCAAACGGAGGGGAGCAGGACAGGCCTTTTGGAAGCACCCAGGAATCCCCCCCCTTCTGCAGATCCCACAATTCCTTTCACATCTTCCCAGGCCAGACCCTTGTGCAGGATGAGTGCCCCCACCACCTTTGAACCACCTACAAGGGGGGAGGAAGCTGGGCAGGACTGCCCCTGATTATGCTGAGCCCAGGGAGGAATGAGGCCGTTATCACCCTCCCTGGTGACCCCAAAGGTGCCCCCTCACCCATCCTGGGGCTCCCTCTCTAAGGGGTGGAGTGTCATCAGGAGGGCTCCCCCCACATGGCCACTGGCATGCTCGCCCCCACTAAACCGTGTAGGAGGGCAGCAGTCGGGCACCGGGTTCACCAGGGACAGTGCCTCACACACCCCAGCCCCACATGCCGCCACTCCCGCCCCCCTGGCTGGCACTAACCTCTTGGGCCAGCTGTCCACCACCACTCGCCCGGCCCCCCCTGTGCCTGGGAGCGTCTGGCCACCTCCTTGCCAGACCGGTGGAGGGGGGTCCTCCCACACCCTCCCCCCATGCACACAGGACCCTGCCCGCCCCCCTCCAGGCACATGCACAATCCCCTCCCGCCCGGGAACAGACAGTGCTGGGTGTCCAGTGGAATGTGGTGCGGACAGACACAAGACAAACGGGGGGCGGGGCAGCAGTGCGGGAGGCGGGGGGCCTGGGGTCACGCTGGGGCGGGCAGCATGGGTTGGGGGGCTGAAAAGGCCCTGGGTGCCCCTGTGGTGCTTCCGGCCTCCCTAGGGGGAGGGGGAGGTGGGTGTCCAAGAGGCTGCTCCTGCTGCAAGTGGACAGAACCGCCCCCTCCCTCCAACTGATGTTCAGGGGGGAGGGCACCCCACCCCTCCCCCTCCCCCCAAGGGCAGCAGGTACCCACTGCCAAGCTTTTGACTTGAGGACCTCCTTCCCCCCCAAAAAAACAAGAACCCAGAATGAGGCTGTCCTCCTACAGGTGGGCACCCAGTGGGGTCCCCCTAGAGGGTCACCCCCACACCTATAGGGACATAAAGGAGGATCAGGAAGAGGAAAGGCAGGGGAGAGGGAGGGAGGAGGAAGAGAGGGTCTACTCCTTACGGGGGGCTGGAGAGGGGCAAGGGGCGTGTACGGGACCCACCTGGTCGGCTACTGAGTGGCGGGTGTCCCCCCGATCCCTCCATGTGAGAAAAGCTGAGTCATACAGAGTTACCTGGTGAACAGCTAGGATGAAACGGAGAAAACACAGTGATTGGGTCAGGGACCCCCCAGCAGCTGTGGGGCAGGGTGGGGAGGGGAGGGCCTGGGCAGGGCAAGGAGAAGGGGCAGGTGGGCATCTCCCACAGCCCCCCGTCCATCTCTTTCCAATGCCAAGGAGGCGGACGAGGGGCTGGAGGGGGAAGGGCTCCTGTGCGCCGTGGGGAGACCCTGTGTGCCCCCCAGCCAGGCCAAACACCGGGCTGTAAGAAGAGCCTTATGGATGGTTCCCCAGGTCACCAGCCCCACAGGAGATGGGTTTCAGAGGGCAGAGACTCTGGCCCTGGGCCCCACCTGGCTCTTCGGGCACCTGCCATGCAGACAGCAAGCCCCCTGATGCTCTGGGGAGGGTCTCACTTTCCATTGCAGGCACTCCATCCACCCCCAGGGCCCCCCCAGAACTGAACACAGACCCTCCGGCTGGAGGAACTCCTGCTTGGCAGAGGGGGAGCGCCCGGGACCGAGGGCATCCCAGGCCAGAAAAGGCCCAGCCGGCAGGAAGACAGCCCCTCCCCTCCCCCCTCACCTTCTGGCACCCCCTGCAGCTCAGCGCCCCTCTTCTGACCCACACTTGGGCAGGGCCAGGCAAAGGGACTCTGAACCCCGTCCCCCTACCCAGTGTGTGGGGCCAGGTGTCAGCAGACGGGGAGCCTCCCTCCCTCCCTCCTTCCCTGCCCAGGCCCAGCCCCCTCCCGCCATGCAGAAGGGGGGAGAGGCAGAAGCGGACTCAGGCGGCGGCAGGGTGGGGGCGGCATGCCCAGGGGTGAGGTGAGCAGAGGACGGAGGGAGGGCGGGCGGGCGGGGAGACGCAGACAGGGATGGCGATGGAGACATGGGCTAGAACAATGACATTGTAATTTCCACCTGAGCGTCGAGCAGCCGCTTCCGCGTTTCGGAGGCGTCGAGGGCGGCCGAGTGATCCCTGCGCAGCTCCTCCTCCACCAGCATCAACCTGCAGGGACAGGCTTCACTGGAGTCAATCCGGGCCCCCCCACCCAGCAGGCAGGCGGCGGGAGCCGGGGCCGCCAGCAGCTGCGGGAAAGGGGGGCTCCCATGGCGGCCCGGGGAGCGGCCGCCCGGCGGGAGCCCCCCTGCCCCAGGCCCCTCCCCGCCAGGGGCCTCTCCTCCTGGGGGATCCCCTGCCCAGCTGGGGGGACCCCTGCCTGCTGCCCCCTCCCCCCGGGGCCTCCCCCTCCCCTCCCGCGGCTCCGACCTGCAGCTCACCTGCCGATGATGCTCTTGATCTGGGAGTCCTTCTCCACCTGCTGCTGCCGGAGGCGCTTCTCGCTCTGCTCCAGCCGCTGCTGGTACTGCTGGAGGATCTTGCTGGTCTGCTCCTCCTGGGTCAGCAGGCGCCGCTCGTACTCCTCCAGCTTCCGGTTGGACATGTGCAGCCGCTCCTTCAGCGAGTGGATCTCCTCCTCGTACTCTTTCACCTGCACCAGGGCGAGGGAGGGAGCTGTCTTGCAACCGAGCCCGGAAGCCGCCCCGCCACCAGCCCCACGGAGCCCACACAGGCCACTCCGCCCCAAACGTGCCCCAGTTACCCGGTCCAGCCGACTCTCGTCCATGGACTTGGAGTACTCCTTCAGCTTGTACTCCTCCCGCTCAATGTGGGAGCTCTCAATGTCCGCCGAGAGGTGGGGCATGTTGGAGACCCAGGCGACTGTCCTCTCGGAGGCCGGCATGACGGGGTTCAGCGTTGAAGGCGTGTGCGATTGCTGCAGGGGCAGAAGGGGCACCGGGGGGGGGGAGCAAGTCAGTTGGGCCTCCAACCCCCCTTCCACCAGGCCCCATCGCTCTCATCTCTGCTGTGTTGCACACCCCTGTTCTCCTCTGAGAGTCCATGGACCCCTGAAGCTTGGAAGCAACTCTCTGAGCAAAGTGATGGTGGGAATTGGGCCTGTCCATGCAAAGAGTGGACTGCAGAACATTCAGCCTCTTCCCCCGGACTGACAGGGCCCCTCAAGCCTTTTGCCTCCTCTTTCAGGGGGTGGATCCAGCCTGCCCTCCAGATCTAACTGGCAGAGCTAAGAATGACCCCTCGACCCCACTGGACGAGAAACAGCCACGGTGACCGTGCCCAGTACAAAACATGCTGCCACAGCAGACACAGACATTAGGAACACCTCCACATTTACACCTCCGTTCAAAACCCTGTGAATCCGCACTCTGTAAGACTAAGAGAATGCAGAGGAAGAAACGGAGGTGGGGCAAGTTCACAATAAGTGTCAGCTGAGGGAAAACCTTTTACTTAATACGGATTCACAAATGTATGAGGAACATCCAAGAGAAAGTCCTGCAAATGGCCGTCCAACCTTTGCTAAGAAACCTCCAAGGAAGGAGAGTCCACCACCTCTCCTGGGAGCCCCTTCCACTGTCAGAAAGCTCTTCCAGATGTTGAGTTGGAATCTCCTTTCCTGTAACTTGAAGCCACTGGTTCAAGGCCCACCCTCCAGAGAAGGAGAAAACAAGCTTGCTCCCTCTACCATGGTTCAGCCCTTCAGATGTTTGAAGATGGCTCTCCTATCTCCTCTCAGCCTCCTCTTCTCCAGGCTAAACATACCCAAGTCCTTCAACTGTTCCTCCTAAGGCTTGGCTTCTTAGAGACCCTTGATCATCTTGGTTGCCCTTCTGTGCTCACATTCCAGCTTCTCAACATCCTTCTTAAATTGTGGCGCCCAGATTTGGACACAGTATTGGTCTGCCTAAAGCAGAATAGAGTGGGACTATGACTTCCCTTGATGTGGACACTGGACTTCTGCTGATGCAGCCTAGAAGAGCATTAGCTTTTTTTTTGCTGCATCACACTGTGATCCACCAAGACCTCTAGATCCTTTTCACATGTACTGCTAGTGAGCCAGGTGTCCTTCATCCAATATTTGTGCATCTGGTTCTTCCTGCCTACACGCAGAACCTGACATTTGTCCCTATTGAAATTCGTTCTGTTAGTTTGGGCCCAGTTCTCCAATCTGTTAAGGTCATCTTGAATCCCAAATCCGTCTTCTGTGGCATTAGCTACCCTTCCCAATGTGGTGTCATCTGCAAATGGGATGAGCATCCCCTCAGTTCCTTCTTCCAAGTCATTTATAAAGACGTTGAACAACAGGCCCAGGACAGCACCCTAAGGCACCCCACTGGTCACTTTTCCCCAGGAGGACGAGGAACCATTAATGAGCGCTCTTTGTGTTCAGCCAGTCAACGAGCTACAAATCCACAGATCCTTTCAGCCTCTAAGCAGTCAGGTGGAAGACGTCTGCCTGAAGATGGAAGGCTGGATCCTGACTGAGATGGTCTGGGAGAAGGGGCGGCGTCCAGGGTTCCCACATTGATAGATTCAACAGATCTGGAAAACACAGTCTCCTGGGCCAGAATGGAGCTATTATACACCTCCCCCCCAAAAAAAAGACGGAGCCCTGGTCAGAGAAAGAACATGCCCAATGGTCACCAGGACCTCCATCCTCAAACTACCTGACTGACAAAGATGGTACCTCATCTGAAATGATTCGGGAGGCTTTAACTATGTTAGAGAAGAATCAAACAGGGAGGGCAGAAGGTTTAAGACGCTACCTTATGTGGTGGCAATGCAAAATTATCAAAATGGCCTGGGAAAAGAAATATAAAGATTTGAAGAAAATGTGGGAAATGATTGTTGTTAAAAAAATTTGAAGTTATGCTATTGAGAGGTACAGGACTTGATGGACTGTTTGAGCGAAATACTTTGTTCCGATTTGTGGGGCTGCATGCCAGGCCAAGAACAGTCAGCACCTATGAAAGGAAGAAGCCTCGGCCAAAGAAGATAAAGAAGAAGATTGACAAATTACTGAACTATGCAGGACAAATTATTACAAAAATGGGCAATTGTTCAATGCATAATTTTAAAGCTTTGCGTACAGATTTTTACATTAGTATAACTTGTAAAAGTCACTTGTAATAAGATGAAGAAGGTTTTAAAATTGGATTGTTAAGTATATACGATTTTATGGATGTGCAGAAACAAGTATATTATAATGGAACTAAAGTCGACCAAAAAATGATGGCTTAATCCGTTTATGATTTTTTCTTTTCTTTTTTTGTTGTTGTTCTGTTAGTTTTGGGAAGTCAATAAATTGTTATCAAAAAGAGGGGGGAAAGAAAAGGTATTATGGACACAGGTCCCACTTTACGAATATTCACCAAGCAAAAATTCAGTTATCCGAACATGAGGCTTTAGTACCGAAACCTCCCTAGACGCACCACAGAGTCCGTGGTCAGGAACACGGCAGACATTTCCCCACAAGAATCAGTGGGATTTGTTTATTTGCTATGCGAGCGGAAATTGTGGGCTCGCTACGCAATTCCTCACCGAAAACTGGACTCTGTGGAGCGAATTTCAGGGGCCAATGAATTGAATACTGAGAGAAAAGAGAAGAAACTATTCCTTTTCCATAGCTATAGGAGACGCTCCACAATACGAGAAAAAAGACAATTCCCTCCTGTTGTTTTTGCAGGAGGCCAGTTCCAATCCATCCTCTGGAGAGGGATGCTTTTCTGGGCCACACTTTCAGAATAAAAATCTGCTTGCACAGTGGTGAATTTTTTTCTTCTAATCTCAGCTTGTTACATACAGTGAAGATACCAGGCAGCCTGACATCCGGCTGGTTGATAGGGGATCAAATGCTGATTTCACTCATTATAATGCACATCTATCTCTGACTTTTGTCTTTTGGGTTTCTGGGGGTTTTCCTGTTGTTATTCTGTCTCTCACAGCTACAATAAACCTACCATTAATATTGTGGACTGGTCATTTATTTGTCAGAGGGCAAATTTAGCAGGGGATCAAATACTTTCCCCCCTCACTCTGTGTGTGTGTGTGTGTGTGTGTGTGTGTGTGTGTATGCATTTTAATCAATTGATTGCTTGTTTTTATGCATGTTGTATTACTTATATGATGTTAGCTGCTCTGAGCCCAGCTCTGGATGGGGAGGGCAGGGTACCAATAAAAGATTGATTGATTGATTGATTGATTGATTGAATACTATCCTTGAATTTTGACACACACCCCCTTGCCCCCCCAGCCCTCCTCTCGGACTCGTGAGGGAAACGTTCCTCTCTTTCGTTCTGCATGGAGGCGACTGAGAAGGACCTTCTTGTCCTGAGCCGCTCCGAGGTTTCCTCTCATGCCTTCTGAATCCTCCTGCCGGTGGGAGAGGGAGAGGCCGCTTTCAGCAGGGAGACATTTTGAGCCCCCCTGGGGAGGGAAAAGGCCTGGGCGAGAGAAGGGCGCCCACGTCTCTGCCCGCCTTCCTGCCTCTTCTGAGGAGAAAGATGTCTCAGCTCAACACTTTTGACTGCCAGGTAGGTAGCCGTGTTGGTCTGACACAGCTGAAATATATAAAAAAATAAAAAATAAAAAATTGTCCAGTAGCCCCTGAGAGACCAACTAAGTTTGTTCTTGGTATAAGCTTTCGTGTGTATCTGAAGAAGTGCACATGCACACAAAGGCTTATACCAGTAACAAACTTAGTGGGTCTCTAAGGTGCTACTGGACAATTTTATATATATATATATATATATATATATATATATATATATATTTCCACTTTTTTACTTTTATTCTTTCCTATTTTATTCAAAGAAACAATTCTGAAACTCATTAGATTCCTCACTAGACATCTCGCCCCTTACGTTTCTGAGTCAAGTTTCTGAGGAACCAAAAATATGGCAATATTTGGAATGCGTTTATACAAAATGTAGTTGGCTAATTATTATCCTATACTATGCATGGTATCCTATAAGAATGAATGAGGGTACAAAATAAAATAATATATATATATATATTAATTTAGATAATCTATGTAATAGGCTTATGTTAGAAAATGAATATGGATTTTGAATTTGATGTTTGTAAATTTTTTTGGTTTTGAAATAAAAAAGGGGGAAAAAGAAAAAGAATGAATGAAGGTATTTTTCATATATACTTTTTTTCTTTACACAATTTTATGCCTATTTATTTGTTCTTTTTTTCGCCTTTTCTTCGCAACATTTTATTTTTCAAATAATTGATAACTTTTCAATAAAATGCTAATACCAAATAAAGCTACTGAAGCAGGAGGAAACTGACACAGATAAGGTTTGGGGGAGCCCCTCTGGGACCCCCAAACGTAAAAGTCAGAAAAGCCACTATCCGCCATACAGAATGCAGAGATGATGCGACACACTTCCGCTGACACATACATAATAATACATAAAATAAATGTATTATTATATATTTATTTGTTTATTCCCCACCATTTCCCCCTGATGGGACTCAAGGTGGCTTACAAATAAAAATAGAAAAAAACAATGATAAAAAAGCAATTAATAGAATTAAGACTGTATGCTAGGGCTGGGCAATGTTGGGTTTTCACCAACCAAACATCAATATATCGCTCAGGCCTACTGTAAAAGGTAAAGGTAAAGGTACCCCTGCCCGTACGGGCCAGTCTTGCCAGACTCTAGGGTTGTGCGCTCATCTCACTCTAGAGGCCAGGAGCCAGCGCTGTCCGAAGACACTTCCGGGTCATGTGGCCAGCGTGACAAGCTGCATCTGGCGAGCCAGCGCAGCACACGGAATGCCGTTTACCTTCCCGCTGGTAAGCGGTCCCTATTTATCTACTTGCACCCGGGGGTGCTTTCAAACTGCTAGGTTGGCAGGCACTGGGACCAAACGACGGGAGCGCACCCCACTGCGGGGATTCGAACCGCCGACCATGCGAGCAAATGATTCAGCAAAGGAAACACAGCCCAGAATAACTAAGGAGATAGTACAAGAATACTTGGCTAGTTTAGATGTATTCAAGTCTCCAGGGCCAGATGAACTGCATCCAAGAGTATTAAAAGAACTGGCAGATGTGATCTCAGAACCACTGGCAGTCATCTTTGAGAATTCCTGGAGAACAGGCGAAGTCCCGGCAGACTGGAGGAGGGCAAATGTTGTCCCTATTTTCAAAAAGGGAAAAAGAGAGGACCCAAATAATTACCGCCCAGTCAGTCTGACATCAATACCAGGAAGATTCTGGAGCAGATCATTAAGCAAACAGTCTGTGAGCACCTAGAAAGGAATGCTGTGATCACCAATAGTCAGCATGGATTTCTGAAAAATAAGTCATGTCAGACTAACCTGATCTCGTTTTTGACAGAATTACAAGCCTGGTAGATGAAGGGAACGCAGTGGATGTAGCCTACCTTGATTTCAGCAAGGCATTTGACAAGGTGCCCCATGATATTCTTGTAAAGAAGCTGGTAAAATGCGGTCTTGACTATGCTACCACTCAGTGGATTTGTAACTGGCTGACTGACCGAACCCAAAGGGTGCTCATCAATGGTTCCTCTTCATCCTAGAGAAGAGTGACTAGTGGGGTGCCACAGGGTTCTGTCTTGGGCCCGGTCTTATTCAACATTTTTATCAATGACTTGGATGATGGACTCAAGGGCATCCTGATCAAATTTGCAGATGACACCAAACTGGGAGGGGTGGCTAACACCCCAGAGGACAGGATCACACTTCAAAATGACCTTGACAGATTAGAGAACTGGGCCAAAACAAACAAGATGAATTTTAACAGGGAGAAATGTAAAGTGTTGCACTTGGGCAAAAAAAATGAGAGGCACAAATACAAGATGGGTGACACCTGGCTTGAGAGCAGTACATGTGAAAAGGATCTAGGAGTCTTGGTTGACCACAAACTTGACATGAGCCAACAGTGTGACGCGGCAGCTAAAAAAGCCAATGCAATTCTGGGCTGCATCAATAGGAGTATAGCATCTAGATCAAGGGAAGTAATAGTGCCACTGTATTCTGCTCTGGTCAGACCTCACCTGGAGTACTGTGTCCAGTTCTGGGCACCACAATTCAAGAAGGACACTGACAAACTGGAACGTGTCCAGAGGAGGGCAACCAAAATGGTCAAAGGCCTGGAAACGATGCCTTATGAGGAACGGCTAAGGGAGCTGGGCATGTTTAGCCTGGAGAAGAGGAGGTTAAGGGGTGATATGATAGCCATGTTCAAATATATAAAAGGATGTCACATAGAGGAAGGAGAAAGGTTGTTTTCTGCTGCTCCAGGGAAGCGGACACGGAGCAATGGATCCAAACTACAAGAAAGAAGATTCCACCTAAACATTAGGAAGACCTTCCTGACAGTAAGAGCTGTTTGACAGTGGAATTTGCTGCCAAGGAGTGTGGTGGAGTCTCCTTCTTTGGAGGTCTTTAAGCAGAGGCTTGACAACCATATGTCAGGAGTGCTCTGATGGGGTTTCCTGCTTGGCAGGGCGTTGGACTCGATGGCCCTTGTGGTCTCTTCCAACTCTATGATTCTATGATTCTAAGTCCTAGGCGCTGAGGTTTTACCCACAGCGCCACCCGCTCCCTTTCCAGGCCTACTGTATGTGTACCTAAAATCTGTTTAAAGCATACAGATAATTACAATAAAAACCGCAGGGCACCAGTCCTTTTCATGAAGAGTGGCCAGTTCCCCAAAGCCTTTTGGGATGGAGGGACAAGGAGGGAGCCTGCCTGGCCTCCCTAGGCCAGGTGTTCCCAAGGTGCCTGGGAGCAGCCACCACCAAGAAGGCCCTGTCCCGCCTCCCCCCCAAGGGTGCCAGGCAGGGTGGCAAGGCAACAAAAGGGCCTTGCTGGGAGATCTCAAAACCCAGGCGGGTTCGTGGGAGCAAATACAGTCTTTCAGAGATTAACACCAGCTCCCCAAATCTGTGTTCCAGCTGACAGACTCTGGGCAAAGGGACCTAATCCGTTCCAAATCGACAGTTGCAAATTTTTTCAGTGACAATTTTATGGTTTTCCTACAGTCGAGAAGTATGTAAATTTTATATACCAAGGCAGGAGCAAAGGAACGCTGGACCACCTCAAACCTACTGGAGAGAAACTCCACTCATCCTCCCAAACTTCACCGAAAGCTTGTGGGAAAAGCACGAGGAGACTGGGCACCTGCAGCCAGAGATGGGGATAAGAGGCGCGTGCCCAGGAAGCTGCAAAATCTGGCCAGCTTTTGCAAACAGGGGCAGATGCCAACTCCTCCTCTGAAGCTCCTGGCAGCAGCAGTGGCAGAAATGGGAGAAAAACTCCTGGGAGAATTTAGGAGAACCCATTTCAAGGAAATCTGTGGGCTCCCTCTCCTAATGGCTTTAAGACCCAAACTGACTATCATACCTATGCCTACTGTAAGTACAAAGATGTCTGTAAATGTGAGATGAAGGCTGGCAACACGACTGCAGTGCCAGGAGACCGACAGCCGTAACCAGAGGAGGAATGACCGCTGCGAGGAGCACAGAGAGAATAAATGCCATGGTGCATGTGCAGAAGCATAGCTGGATGCCTTCATCTGCCCCAGCTGCAACTGAACATGTCTCTCCCCTATCGGTTTCTGCAGCCACAGCAGGCACTGCAAACTTCCAACCGTTTGACTTCAGTTCCAAAGGCGCACTCCTCCCTTGTCTCCCAAGACAGATGGGAGTGATCACAGTGCATTACAGGTGAAGCAAAATACAACTTAAAAAATCTTGAGATCCTGTATGATCTCGCTGTCCTAGGGGCTGAAAGCAGACTTCTCTCCCGCTGAAAGCGAACGAAAAAGACAATGACCGCACCGGCTGATCTCTTACGGAGATCCTGCTTCCTGGCAAGGAGACCGGCCCTCGTGGCAAGCCCTGAACTCTGCAGGAGCCTTTCTGCCTTGATTGGAATGGCCTCTTTCCTCTCTCATGCAGAGACTGACGCAAGGCTGTGATCCGCGCCATCCTCCCCTCATCACCAATATTGCCAGCTCATGGCATCTCGAGAGAAAGCCTTGTGCTGGCACGCGGGGCCAGGAGAAAGGAAAGACAAAACACCCAAGTTTTAAGACCCAAGGGGAAAGGGATCCCCCAACCTTCTTCTTCTTATGACTACTATCACACAGAATAACAGGAAAGGCAAACCAGAGACACGCAGAAGAGGACTTGTCAGGGTAGGACCTGGGAGAGACCTCGGTCCAAATCCCCGCTCCGCCACGAAGCTCAATGGGGGCCTTGGGACAGGGAGCGGCTCTCAGCCCCGCCTGCCTCACAGGGTTGTTGGGAGGGGGAAATGGGGAGGGAGAAGCAGGCCTGCATTCTGGGGCTCCCTGGAGAAGAAAGGCATGCAAGAGTAATAAATCTTGTGACTCGCCCTGAGGTCAGCATATCAATCTAATAAACCAGAGTAACGAAGAACTGCACACTTTTAAAAGGGCCTCTGGCTCGAGGCCGCACCTTGTCCACTACCTCTGATCCACTAGATTCCACCTGCGGCAGCTGGCCTTTCAAGCCTGGGAAGAGGGGCCGGGGTGGGGGGCGTGTTTCCAAGGGAGGCTGCTTCTGCTGCCCTGCTCACCTGCTTGGTGATGGATGGCTTGAGGGCGGAGGGGGTTTCCTTGCTGACGGACTGCTGGCGGGGGCGCGCCTGGCCGTAGGTGGGCTCGGGCTGCAGGAGGTTCCCGCTGGAGGGCCGGGGCTTCTGGGCGGAGGAGACGGTCAGCTGTTGGGACTTGCCCCGCTGCAGCTGGGGCTGGGGCTGGGGCGGGGCTGTGCGCTGGGGCTGGGGCCCGATGGTGATCTGGGGGGGCGAGAGCATGTTCTGCAGGTTCTCCTGCAGGGAGAGCTGGCGCTTGGTGAACTCGGAGCCCTGGCGCGTGAACTCGTCGCTGTAGCTGTGGCTGTGGATGATGTGCTTGCTGGCCGAGAGGTCTTCGCTCTTGCTGTAGCCGTGGAAGGGGGCGAAGGCGTCTGGGTTGCCCTCCGCCGGCCGGTGCGGGTGGGCGTGGCTGTGGAGGGGGCCGCCGGCCGGCCCGTCGGAGGCCATGTGGAAGAGGGGGTTCTGGAAGGAGAGGGGGATCCTGAGCTGCTGGGCCGCCGAGGAGGAGGTGCCCCCGCCGCCCCCATCGGCGGTGACCCCCATCTGGCTGAGGCGCAGGCCGGCGGCGATGCTGGAGCCGCTGCCCTGCGAGAGGCGGCTGTGGCGCAGGCCCAGCCCGGCGGTGATGGAGGCCTGGCTGCTGTTGAGCACGTCGCCCGCGCTGTGGAGGTTGGAGATGCTGTTCATGCGGCTGTCCTGGAGGTCCAGCATGGAGACGCTCTTGTTGACGCTCAGCACCTTCTGGTCAGGCTCGGTGATGTCGGAGCTGCTGGTGCAGTAGGCCGGGGAGGAGCGGGCCAGCGGGGGGCGGGCCACAAAGAACATGTCCTTGGAGCCCCCCTTCTCGCCCTTGGTGGGCGACGGCAGGCGGGTCATGTCCATGGAGCTGCAGGGGGGAGAGAGCAAGGGGGGTTGGCCGGATGAGGCCCCTCTGCAGGTAAGGGGGCAGCGGCGGTGGCAGCAGCAGCCCCACTGCCCTGGGGAGTGCCCCCTGCCCCTGCCTGCCTAGAGGGCGGGTCAGGAGCCCCGAAGGGGGCACAGCCAGTCACAAAGGGGAGGAGCAGCCTGCCAAGGGTGGACTGGCCACCTCCCAGGGAGAGAAGCCCCCTCGCACTCGGCCCAGCACAGCCCGCCTTCCTCTTGGGTCCTGGCCAGACTCACCTGTTCATGCCTCGCATCATGTAAGGCTGCATGTCGACAGAGCTGTGGGGGAAGAGGGAAAGTCAGGCTAGAGACCCGCAAGGGGGGGAGCTTTCCAGGTCCCTCCTGCACCCCGACCCGCAGGGCCCATTCCCATTCTGCGCAAATGCAGAGCAGGCTCAGAAGAGCCGTGTCGGCCGGGGGTCCCTGGCAACCCCCTCCCTCCGCCCCCGTGCCGCCGGCCTGACCTGTTGAGGTCCCGCATCATGTAGGTGGACTGTATGTCGCTGGAGGGTCCCCGGAGGATGACGGGCTTGGCCTGGAGTCGCTCGCCCTGGTGGCTGGGCTGGCGCTGGATGTGGGGGTTCCTGAGAGCGAGGCTGATGTCGTTGAGGAGGCGGGGCAGGGGGCCCAGCTTGATGAGGGCTTCCTGGCGGGGAAGAGAGGCGGGCCGGGGGTCAGGGGGGGAGGAGAAGCCGCGGGCCCCGCATCCCCCTCCCCCACCCTGGGCGGGCCAGCACCTTGCTGAGCTGAGGCATGACCTCCCAGAGGAGGGCGTGGAGGGTGGAGAGCTCCCGGCCCAGGTCGATGTAGCCCTCAAAGCTGGTGCTGTTGGTGAGGGTGTCCAAGTTGGAGATCTCGTACAGGAACTGCTGCATGCTGGACCACTCCAGCTCCAGGAACTCGTTCATGAAGGCCATGTACTCCTCTTTGCTCCCAAACCTGAGGGGGGCACAGGGGAGGGGAGGGGGAAGGCAACCATTGAGGACCCCATTGATATCATAGAATTGTAGAGTTGGAAGGGACCTCACAAGTCCCCTAGTCCAATCCTGCAATGCAGGTTTATTTAAAATCATAATTATCCTGCCCTTTAGGGTACTGACCCGTCCCAGGCAAAAGCAACCAGTAAAATAAGAAGCTGTTAAAACAAGAAAAAGGCCAATGAATGAAGAGAACAGCAAGCGGCATTAAGCAGCAGGAAGAGAGGCCCAGCTGAGACTCAGGTAAAAGGGGGATGGAATGAAGCAGCGGCTTCCTGGGGGCAGGGGAGCCGGTCCCTGCCCCTCGCTGGCCCTCACTGCCCTCCCGTCAAGGGCAGAAAGGGGCCCAGCCTCAGGCTTGGGGTCTCCAGGGAACGGGGTCCCAAACCACGGGGAGCATGAAGAGCTGACCAGGAGCAGTGTCTCCATCGAAGCGGCCAGTGGCCCCCGCTCTCTTCGTCCTGCAGCCCTGGAGGCACTTCCACCCCCCAGCCGGGTCACAGAGGGGTGAGACCCGCCCTGCCCTAGGGAAGGCTGAAACTGGCAAACAGGGCAACATTAGTCAGAGGCATTTTTTAAAGTATTGTTCATTTTTCAGTTTATATTATACAGTTTCCATCCTACCATTCCAACCTCTCTTTCATTGATATCATTGAATCTCCTTTGCACCTCCATCCTTTTTCCCTTCCCTTCATGATTACTTATTTTGTCAGCTGCTGATCACAAACTCAACCCGACTTGCAAATTAACTTTAATACTGCTTTGTTTTAAATACTCAACATATCTATCTTTCCATCTATAGTCCTTATCTTAGTTGTCACGCTCGCTAGTTCAGCAAATTCTATTAATTTATGTAACTAGCAGTCTCTTGTCGGATAGCCTTTTTCCAACTTTTTGCATAAACTATTCTTGCAACTGCTGTTGCGTATAGGAACAAGCTTTTCGTTTTGGTTTTTTCCTTATTAATATGGAATCTGGCACGATTTCCAAATTTTGTTATAACTTCTAAAGCTTTTGGGACGCTCTTCAAAGGATTTTCCAGTGTCAAAACTATGTCGTCCACAAATGTTTGAAGTTTGTAATTTCGTTGTCCTGCTCGAATCGCTACGAATTTTCTTGGCAAGATGAATTAACAGTGGGGACAACGGACAGCCCTGTTTTGTCCCTTTCTGTATACTACATTCTTCCATTACTTTGCCATTAATAAGTATGTTTGCTCTTTGTTTGTGATAAATTGCTTTAATTCCATCCCCCCCCCAAAGTCCATGTTTCTAAAACCTTCTCTATAAACATCCATGAAATGTTACTGAACACCTTCTCTGTATCCAGGAATAGTAATACTGCCTCTTTGTCATTCCTCCTCATCCGTCTGCCAGATAAAAAGCCTGTTTGATCTTTGTGTATCTTCAATATTTCTCTCAGCCTTTGGGCCAGGATTATAGTATAATACAAGTTTATTTATAATAATTGTTTAATAAAGAGATAGGCCTAAAGTTTTTTGGGTGAGGTATAGCCAAATCTTGTTTTGGGATTAGTGTTATAAACACATTTTTCCTGAATGTTAGAATGATATCAGAATGAAATCAAGTGGTCTTAGCAGCAATGTTAAAGGTGTATGTAAAAACGGATTGTTAACAGATGAGAATCTAAAGTTATAATATATTAAGTTAAAGGATTAAGACAAAAACAAAGAGGGAAAGGAATTGCTGAATAAACTAATAGAACTGGAATACAAAAAAGGGAGGTGTGAGGAAGTCAGGGAAGTAAGGAAATGAAGTGTAAGTTATGGAAAGATCAATGTGGTTTTTTTAAAGTGTTTTTTATCTTTTTCCTGTATTTTGTATTTTGTATTTTTTCTTTTTTATCTTTTTATCTTTTTCTTTTCTTTTTATCTATGTAATTTTTTCTTTGAAACTTTAATAAATATCATTTTTTTAAAAATTAACACATTTTTCCTTGACACTGGAATATTTTCACCTTTTAAAGCTCTATCCATCACTTCTTCAGCAGGAGTACTATGATTTCCTGAAAAGTTTTGTAGTGCATAGCTGAGAACCCATCAGGTCCTGGATATTGTGCTTATTTTTGCTTGTTGAATTGCAGTGTCTATCCCCACCGTTGGAAATGGTTCAGGGTCCAATCCTTTCTTGCTTTTGGAACACAACACTCATGTTTTGTATGATTTTTGTATCTCCGTTGTTGTTGTTTAGTCGTTTAGTCGTGTCCGCCTCTTCGTGACACCATGGACCAGAGCACGCCAGGCACTCCTGTCTTCCACTGCCTCCCGCAGTTTGGTCAGACTCATGTTTGTAGCTTCGAGAACACCGTCCAACCATCTCGTCCTCTGTCATGCCCTTCTCCTTGTGCCCTCCATCTTTCCCAACATCAGGGTCTTTTCCAGGGAGTCTTTTCTTCTCATGAGGTGGCCAAAGTATTGGAGCCTCAGCTTCATGATCTGTCCTTCCAGTGAGCACTCAGGGCTGATTTCCTGAAGAATGGAGAGGTTTGATCTTCTTGCAGTCCATGGGACTCTCAAAAGTCTCCTCCAGCACCATAATTCAAAAGCATCAGTTCTTCAGCGATCAGCCTTCTCTATGGTCCAGCTCTCACTTCCATACATCACTACTGGGAAAACCATGGCTTTAACTATACGGACCTTTGTTGGCAAGGTGATGTCTCTGCTTTTTAAGATACTGTCTAAGTTTGCCATCGCCTTTCTCCCAAGGAGCAGGCGTCTTTTAATTTCATGACTGTTGTCACCATCTGCAGTATTCATGGAGCCCAAGAAAGTAAAATCTCTCACTACCTCCATTTCTTCCCCTTCTATTTGCCAGGAGGTGATGGGACCAGTGGCCATGAGCTTCGTTTTTTTGATGTTGAGCTTCAGACCATATTTTGCGCTCTCCTCTTTCACCCTCATTAAAAGGTTCTTTAATTCCTCCTCACTTTCTGCCATCAAGGTTGTGTCATCTGCATATCTGAGGTTGTTGATATTTCTTCCGGTGATCTTAATTCCAGCTTGGGATTCATCTTTCGCATGATGAATTTTGCATATAAGTTAAATAAGCAGGGAGACAATATACAGTCTTGTCGTACTCCTTTCCCAATTTTGAACCAATCAGTTGTTCCATATCCAGTTCTAACTGTAGCTTCTTGTCCCACATAGAGATTTCTCAGGAGACAGATGAGATGATCAGGCACTCCCATTTCTTTAAGAACTTGCCATAGTTTGCTGTGGTCAACACAGTCAAAGGCTTTTGCGAAGTCAATGACGAAGAAGTAGATGTCTTTCTGGAACTCTCTAGCTTTCTCCATAATCCAGAGCATGTTTGCAATTTGGTCTCTGGTTCCTCTGCCCCTTCGAAATCCAGCTTGCACTTCTGGGAGTTCTCGGTCCACATACTGCTTAAGCCTGCCTTGTAGAATTTTAAGCATAACCTTGCTAGCGTGTGAAATGAGTGCAATTGTGCGGTAGTTGGAGCATTCTTTGGCACTGCCCTTCTTGGGGATTGGGATGTAGACTGATCTTCTCCAATCCTCTGGCCACTGCTGAGTTTTCCAAACTTGCTGGCATATTGAGTGTAGCACCTTCACAGCATCATCGTTTAAAATTTTAAATAGTTCAGCTGGAATATCATCACTTCCACTAGCCTTGTTATTAGCAGTGCTTTCTAAGGCCCATTTGACTTCACTCTCCAGGATGTCTGGCTCAAGGTCAGCAACCACACTACCTGGGGTGTACGAGACATCCATTTTTTTCTGGTATAGTTCCTCTATGTATTCTTGCCACCTCTTCTTGATGTCTTCTGCTTCTGTTAGGTCCTTTCCACTTTTGTGGAAATCTTTGTACGAAATGTTGCTTTCATATCTCCAATTTTCTTGAACAGATCTCTGGTTTTCCCATTCTATTGTTTTCCTCTATTTCTTTGCATTGCTCGTTTAAGAAGGCCTTCTTGTCTCTCCTTGCTATTTTTGGAAATCTGCATTCAATTTCCTGTATCTTTCACTATCTCCCTCACATTTTGCTTGCCTTCTCTCCCCGCTATTTGTAAGGCCTCGTTGGACAGCCACTTTGCTTTCTTGCATTTCCTTTTCGTTGGGATGGTTTTAGTTGCTGCCTCCTGTATAATGTTACGAGCCTCCATCCATAGTTCTTCAGGCACTCTGTCCACCAAATCTAAATCTTTAAACCTGTTCCTCACTTCCACTGTGTATTCATAAGGGATTTGACTTAGATTGTATCTTACCGGCCCAGTGGTTTTCCTACTTTCTTCAGTTTAAGCTTGAATTTTGCTATAAGAAGCTGATGATCTGAGCCATAGTCAGCTCCAGGTCTTGTTTTTGCTGACTGTATAGAGCTTCTCCATCTTTGGCTGCAGAGAATATAATCAATCTGATTTCGATGCTGCCCATCTGGTGATGTCCATGTGTAGAGTCGTCTCTTGTGTGTTGGAAAGGAGTGTTTGTGATGACCAGCTTGTTCTCTTGGCAGAACTCTATTAGCCTTTGCCCTGCTTTGTTTTGAACTCCAAGGCCAAACTTGCCAGCTGTTCCTTTTATCTCTTGACTCCCTACTTTAGCATTCCAATCCCCTATAATGAGAAGAACATCCTTCTTTGGTGTCACTTCTATAAGGTGTTGTAAGTCTTCATAGAATTGGTCAATTTCAGTTTCTTCAGCACCAGTGGTTGGTGCATAAACTTGGATTACTGTGATGTTAAAAGGTCTGCCTTGGATTCGTATCGAGATCATTCTATCATTTTTGAGATTGCATCCCAGTACAGCTTTCGCCATTCTTTTGTTGACTATGAGGGCCACTCCATTTCTTTTACGGGATTCTTGCCCACAGTAGTAGATACGATGGTCATCCGAACTGAATTTGCCCATTCCCGTCCATTTTAGTTCACTGATGCCCAGGATGTCAATATTTATTCTTGCCATCTCATTTTTGACCACATCCAACTTACCAAGGTTCATGGTTCTTACATTCCAGGTTCCTATGCAATATTTTTCTTTACAGCATTGGACTTTCCTTTCACTTCCAGGCATACCCGCAACTGAGCGTCCTTTCGGCTTTGGCCCAGCCGCTTCATCAGCTCTGAATCTACTTGTCCTTGTCCTCCTCTCTTCCTCAGTACCATGTTGGACACCTTCCGACCTGAGGGGCTCATCTTCCAGCGTCATAACTTTTATATGCCTGTCATCTTTGTCCATGGAGTTTTCTTGGCAGGGATACTGGAGTGGCTTGCCGGTTCCTGCTCCAGGTGGATCACATTTGGTCAAAACTCTCCACTATGACCTGTCTATCTTGGGTGGCCCTGCACAGCATAGCTCATAGCTTCTCTGAGTTATTCAAGCCCCTTCGCCACGGCAAGGCAGTGATCCATGAAGGGTATCTCCGTTAGGCCCATCGATTACATCATTTTGAATAAGGTCTCTGGTAGTTTCCCTTCTTTAGCTTGGCCACATTTGCTTATTTTATCATGTTCTAATGCTATCACTCCACTGAAGTCACCCATTATTATTAGTTTGTCATTGTAAAACTTAGATTTACCTTTGTCAAAGGCATTCCTTGCCCCTCTCACCCATGGCTGACCTGGCCTTGAGGGCACCCTCTTTTGGGGGATGGAAAAGTGGAGGGGGGTCACTGTTTTAACACATTAACAGTAGAGGTGCGCAGGTCCCCTTTACCAAACACAATGCGTTACGTGGAAATTGCTGGTTGGCAGAGGTTCGCATAGCGAGTTCACAATTTCCATTGGTTCCTATGAGAACATTTCTAATGCGTTCCCAGCCATGGAATTTCTGCCCCACAAAGTCTAAATAAACCCAGGAAAGCCCTCTGAAACCTTTCCGCTCCTCAGCCAACCAGCAAAAGGCAAACAAGGAAGTAAAAAATGATGTTTGGATATCTGAATCTGCAGTGCATATAGCAAGGTTTGGGCACAAATTCCTTGTGTTAAGTGAATTTTCACATGTATCTGTGTCTACATGGCTCTTTTTTGGAGGAGGGCTTCACTTACAGGAACTAAACTTTTTGGGGGGCACTGTGATATTGGGGAGGCAGAACCTAGCCCCCCAGTAGGATAATGAGGTTCTCAGCATTATTAGCAAGTGTCAGATGCCTTTTTCGCTAAAGTGGCCCAACCACAAGAGAGTAAGAACTGGGAACCACATATAGAAACTCATTAAGAAGGCAGGGCTGCTGGCTCCCACCCCAGAGCCTGAGAGCACTCTGCAGGCGGGGTGGGGGTCACCACCAGAAAGGCCTTGTGTCAGCCGCTCCACACCTCCCTCAGCTGGGGCACAGGGAGAAGCGCCTCAAATGGTGCATGTGGGAAGGCCCAGCAGGAGGAGGAGCCTGTTGGGGGCACCTGCGAGGGGGCCTGGCCCCACGGATGCTCAGCACCCACACTTTGGAACTCCCTGCCTATTGACTCAGGCAAGACAATTTCACTGTCCTCTTTTCAGCACCTGCTAAAAACATTTTTCTTCGGACCAGCCTACCCAGCTGTGCGGCACTTGCTTTCATCTCTTTGTGGCTTCCTTTTTTCTTCAATGTTTTAGATAGCTGTTTTTAACTTTGATTCATAAGCTGTTCTGAGGTTCTTTTCACAATCTAGTGGTGCAAAATTTCCACAAAATAAACAAATCAGCTAGACTAGCCCTGCCTGTGCCCATCTCAGCTGAAGTGTGCTGGAAGCAGCCCCAAGAGCCCTGGCTCTCAGAGGCAGAGCTGGGCTGGCGAGGGCTGGGCGGGCAGCCCCAACCCTTTCCACGCCCTTGCCCTGCTGAGCCTACTGCACGGGTCACCGCTTGTCCCTCCCCGCCTCCCCGCGACTCACGTGGAGAAGTTGGCCAGGTTCTGGATGACCTTGGCGATGAGGGTGAGGGTGCGGGAGGTCTGCTCATCCGGGTACTCCTGCATGAGCCCAAAGAGGCTGGGGGACATGACGGCCGGGCACAGGAAGCGCAGGAAGAGGGAGGCGCTGATCAGGCGGTCGGCAATGTCCTCTCTGCCCCGCTCGGCGCAGCGCAGCCTCCATGAGGCAAAGACCTCCTTCAGCTCCCGCGGGAACACGCTGGGGGGCAGGGAGAGGGGTGAGCGGGCGGCCGGGCAGGACCACCACCCTCCCCCCGTGGACTGCCAGTCCCTGGCCCCACAATCCCCGCTTCCCCCCGCCAAACCGCCCACCCACCAGCCCTGCCCGCTCCCGGCACTGACCAATGAGAGTTGACGACCTTGCAGAGGGCCAGCTCGCAGCACATGCGCAGGTTGGCTTGGTGGTCTGCCAAGGTGGAGGCCGAGCACTTCATGGGGTCCACCTCACAGTTCTCCTCCGACTCATACAAGGCCCGGATGAACTCGCCTGTGGGGAGACGGGGCAGGTGGGGCAGTCCGGAGCCTGGGGCTGGGGGTCAGCAGCACCTCCATGGACACATGCCCCAGTTGGAGGCCCCCTCCTCCTCCTCCTCCTCCACAGCTCAGGCCTGCCCTCCTCAGGAGAACCCCCGCTACACTCAGACCCTGCTCCAGGGTGACTTACAGCCTGGAGGGAAGGACGCTTCCTCCCCTCCCCTCCCCTCTCCCCCCAGCCCACCCGCCCCCTGCTCACCAATCGCATCTTTGAGGTATTTTTGTCCAATCAGCTTGAGATACTCCTCTATGGCTTTGGTGGCCAGCGTGTTCTCCCGGAAGATGAGGTGCTCCCGGTCCATGAAGCGATCCACCTCCGTCATGGCCATGTCGGACAGGAAGTCCTGCCGGGAGAGAGGCAGAGGGGGCGCTAGTGGCCAGGCGGCTCTCTGCCCATGGAATCCCCCCTCCCTGCCTGAGGCCCGCCCACCGACCCCTCCCTCCCCGATCCCCCCGGGGGTACCTTGGCCTTCCCGGTGCTCTGGAGGATGTGGACCAGGGCGCAGGCCACCTCCTCCTTGCTCTTGACGCTGAGGACGGGCTCCAGGACGGCGCAGAGCATGCGGTAGTTGTTGGTGACGTACTCGGCGAACTCCTTGTAGAGCTCCATGGGGAGGATGCTCATGGTCTGGAAGCGGCTCTTGACGCGGATGGCCGGGCAGCAGCCGGACTTGCTCTTGCTGGCGCTGGGCTGGCTGAGCGGGTACCACTGCTCGGCAAAGTGTCTCCCCGTCACGCTGGCGATGGGGATGCTGACCATGCCCACGTAGTTGCTCTTGTCCTTCTTCCGCTTCTTGTCCGTGTCCTTGTAGAGATGCAGCCGGATGGTCCGCACCGCCGGCAGGTTGTTGAACTCAAAGTGCTCCCCCCAGAAGACATTGTCTGTCCGCACCTTGCTGGTGGTCCGCGCGTACAACATGTCGTCCAGGCACAGCTCGCAGTAGTAGCGCTTCTTGGGGGGCAGGTCTCGCGCCTCGATGATCCACAGCTTCAGGACGTTGTCCACACGGCGGCTGTTGTCCTGGGCAGGGGGGAGAGAAGGCGGGGGTCAGGCAAGTGGGAGGGCAGGCAGAGACCCCGGGTGCCAGCGGTGAAAGGGTCACCGCAGACTCCAGATAATGAAGGAGGCAGAGGCCTTGCAATAAGGAGGCAGAGGCCTTGCCCTTGGGGAGGCCGCTGGTCTCTGGCCCCTGGGAGTGACTGGCAGGGACTCTCCAGGGGTCTTCCTTTCCCAGCCCTGCCTCCCTTGGAGTTGAACCTGGATATCCAAGGAAGCGAAATGTCGGAAGATTCAGGACAGTTAACAGGAAGTCCTTCTTGATGCAGCGCTGAAATAAACTAATAAGCTTGTGCTCGGATCCTGCTTCTGGGTATTCCATCATGGGTGTCTGGGTGGCCACTGTGAGAACAGGATGCTGGACTAAGTGGGCCACTGGCGTGAGCCATCAAGCTTGCGGTAATACACTGTTCCTGACTCAGACCTGAATGCATGAAAGGGATAAGCCTTGAGCTCTGCTGCCAGTGTGGACGGAGTTCGCAGGCTTCCAGCAGGTTTTCCTTTCCATACCCACCACCTTCCTCGAAGAAAGGAGCCATGTGGAATTGTTCCCAGTTGCAAGAAAAACCATGTGAATGGAAAATCTCTCTAAAATGAGATTTTCACAGCCTGCAACTTTGCTAACCCAAAGATTGCATGATCCTATTTCTAAGGAAAACAAGGTTTTTTTAGGTCATTTGGAAAGATTTTCTTCTTTACTGTACTGCCAATAGTAGGAGACTTGCTTGCTGCAACTTCTGAAACTCGGTGGTTAAAAATCTTAATTTATTTGCAAAGCTAATTGCCCATGATTTATTCTAGCCTAAGTTTGTTTTGTGGGGAATGCTTATTTAAAAGCGGATGGTGGCAGATACGAGTCTAACCAAGTTTTAATGTCCTTGGAACAATTGTGTCAAGTCTGCGAGGGGAGAGGAAGAGTCTCTTCCAAGCCTCTCTCTCCAGCAAGGAGAGGGGTGATCTCTGTCTAATGGGCTAACTGCACTTGCAACACTATGTGTGGTTTTAGTAGCCTCATCTCCAAAAGGATCAAACAAGAGCAACCAGAAACCTCCAAGCAGCTGGAACTGACTCCCTTCTGAGGGACGGGGCCTTTTTGTCTAGGCAAGCGACTTGGGACATCCCCCCTAGTGATACCCAGGACCTGGTACAGTATCTAGGTGTTCCTAAACTCACTGGGAATGGTGAACACAGCGCTCTAAATGGACAATGGACAAGAAAATCCAATGCTCACCACATTTGACTTTGAAATAAAAAAAGTCCCCAAAAAGAGGGGATTGAGAAAAAAGAAAGCTGAAAGGCAACGTTAAGGGGGTCAGATCAGAATGTTGGGGTGCCACAGATCAGGTGCACGTTCCTGACCTGAGGGCCAAGAGGACACCAGCACCATTAAAGAGCAGAGCCAAAGAAGCTATTGGAGGCAAGAAGGATTCCTCCAAAAAATGGAAGTCTTGTCCAAATGAAGAGAATAAAGAGCTGGGGGAGACTTGTGGAAGGAGCTAGCAGCCAGCAGCAATTCTGCTTAGCTGATATTGCAGCTTCTGAGACCTTGTGATCAAAACTTGTAAACAGGGGCGTTTCTGAAGGTGTTTTGAGGGGAAGACCCAGAGTGCTGCCTCACGGTGTGCAGAGGACCAAGAGATGGGGAGGGCGAGGGACCTGCTGCAGTGACCTGCCACACCTGGGCTATGTTTGGCTTCCTGCCTGAGAAGGTGCAAACTACACCTGCAGCAAGTGCACGCTGGTTGCCTTCCTGGAGGATATAGGAGACAGGCTCCCTTTCTGAAAGGCCAAGTCCCTAGTGCATCAAAGGAACCAATGCTCAGACTCAGAATAAGGCAGCTTTCTCCAATCCTACGTTCTGTGACAGAAACAGGAAGACACAGGTATGATAGACGACGATGATGATTTATTGAATTTAAATACCACCCTATACCAGCAGGTCTCAGATGATGTTGGGGATCTTGTTTTATGACCAGGTGCCAAACTCCGGAGGGCACAAGCACCCCACAGAATCCCTGGCTCCACAAGGTGGAAATGCGGCGGGAAAGGAGACCTCCAAACCTCTTGCCTGGTGTGTAACAGCACCAACGGGGGGGGGGGGGAATGCATCTGTCAGACCCTTAAAAGTCTAGCAAAGCCGCTTGTCAGGGAAGAATGTGCCATCCCAATGCCAGAGGACCTGCTCCCAACAGCGGCTGGAGCCAAAGCGTTTCCTCCAAGCAGCTTCTGGCAAACACCCGAGGCAAGCCAGAGCCCTAAGCTGACGGCTCTCGTCACGCCTGGCGGGAGGTTCTGTTGGGCACTTTCCGTTTGGAATCACGCGTGCTCCCCAGGCTTTTCAAAGGAAGATGACTGAACTCCTTGGGGACATGAAAGGAGTCCCTGTCTCCATGGATGACAGCCTAATCTACGGTACGTGAATGGGAGACCCTGACAAAACACCGGGACTCTGGGCTCAAGAGAAACAAGGAGAAAGGCGCTTTTGAGGAGTGCAGAACAGATTTCTTGGGACAAATAAAACTCCCAAGGTGGGACAAAAGCTATGCTCAGGAAAGGGAAACCCTGACAGAGAGCTGAAAGCACCAACCAACACGACAGAACTGGGGTGCTTTTCGAAGAGGTGCAACCACAAAACCTGCTTACCAAAATCCACCACATTCTGGTTGTGAGGACCAGGTCAGGAGGTCACGTTTACGCAGAGAGAAGCCCCAATTTCTCCAGAAGTTGGACAGGTGTGGAATCCTACCATGACTGCCCCGCGTGGTTCAGGATGGGGGCCTGTTGCCTTCTGCTCCAGCACTCTCCCCCACCAAGAAAGGAGTGCCTGGCAGGGGGAGTATTGGGCATGCAAACCCTTTCACAGATACTTACGTGTTGCCAGCAGTGGAACTAGACAGCTCTTCCAACGCTACCATTCTATGACTCCATGAGCTTCGTTTTCTTGGCCGGGAGTCCTGGAAGACCTTGCAGGCCTTCACTCCCCTGGCCTGGGAGGGCCCTGAATGACTCCGGCTACAAATGCAGAGGCTGCTGAAGAGGCCTTTGGGCTGAGGTATCAGTTAGAGGGGTCTTGCTGGCATCTTTAGTTTGGATGTTGTTATGATCTATGTGGAAATTGTTCCCTTTGGTTGTGTATTTCTTGATGTTTATGACTATTTTTGTTACGTTGCAATTATGTGTTTTTTTCTATGCTGTAAGCTGCCTTGAGCATGGTTTCAATTATGGAAAGGTGGCATACAACTAAGATTCTATATGTATGCGTGAATTTGGGCAGTTTTATTTTCAGCCACTTTCCTGAGGATCTCTAGCACGGGATTTGTCTTTTCCACGGTCCCCACGCCGCCTCTTCACCAAGGTCTCTGTGACCCCAAGGGTTTACTCCTGGGCCATCACCTCCCATTCAGACCCCAGGAGCTTGTACTTGAAATTAAGATTATTATTTTTTGCTCCAAAGTTTACTTTACACTTGCTTACAGTGTACTGCAGTCACCCTTTTACCCCACATCCATGTATGTACTTTTTGTCAGATGCCTCACAGACGAAATAGAAGGGAAAGATTTGGATCAAAGATAAGGATGAGATCCAAGCCAGTCCTGGCCCCGGCCTAAGGCCCCACAGCAGAAGCAGGAGGGTTGGGGGCTGGCTGATTTGTGAGCCTAATTCAAGGGGTTCACATTAGCACTCCATGCCTGAAATGGCTCAAGCTCCAAATCTCAAAAAGGCGCCTTCCTCCTTCCCTTGAGACCCCTTTGGCAGAAGGGGGCCTCTCTCTTGGTTTTCCTCTGCCCTCAGAGGCTTGGGGGAGGGCAGCCCAGGAGAGGGCCTTCTTGGTGGTGACCTCTCAGCTGTGGAAATCCATCCCCCCCGAGGGCACCCCCTCACTGCACAGCTTCCAGAGGATGCTGGAGGTGTTATGCTTTTAGGACCCACCTTATTTCTGTGATTGTAAGTTGCTTTAATCTGCTCCTAACATTGTGTGCGTTTTGATTGCTGTAATCTGCCTTGGGACCTTAAAAGCATAACTCCCTCTGGATCAGGCCAGGTGTGGATGAACTGTGCAAAGTTAGCAAGCAGAATCCAAAAGCAAGAGCCTTCTCCTCTCCCGCGGTTTCCAGCAACTGGTATTTGGAAGCACGGCTGCCTCTGGCTGGCGAGGCAGAGAGCATCGCCTTCGTGGCTAGTAGCCATTTAATAGCCTTCTCCTCTGTGAATTTGTCTGATCCTCTTTCAAGCCGGCTTGCTCACGTCCACAGAATGGAGGATGGCAGGATCCCCCAGACAGGCTCTATCAGGAGCTGTTTACAAAGTTCTCTGCAAATGTGACATGACCCCGCCGTGCAACATCAACCCCGCCGTGCCTGGAGACAGGCAGGCAGGTTGTGCATTGACAGCGGTGACCAGAGGAAGGAGGAGCACAGAGAGAGAAAACGCCGTGGTGCATCCGCAGCAGCGTAAGGGATGCCTTCATCCGCTCCAGCCCCAGCAGGTGCTGTAACCTTCCAACAGTTCGAGTTTGACTCCCCCCAGGTGCACTCCTCCATTGCCTCCCAAGACAGATGGACGCCAACAACTTCTGAAATCCATCCAAGTTGGTGGCCATCACTGTGAGAGGGAGTTCCACAGATAGATAAACAGCTCCTGCTCTGCATTCTTCTTCCAATATCTGATAAGGTGCTTCATGAGATCTGAGCAGCTGAATCGCACCCAGAGAATCTCACATGGTGCTGATGGCCCAGTTGGCTCTGCCATGCTTCCAGGTTGGGTGAACTGAGAGGCCTTGGGGTAAAAAGGAGCTCTGCGGATGTATTCATGTTATCTATCTATCTATCTGTCCCCTGCCTTTTCCCCTGATGGGACTCAACCCAAAAAAATCCTCAGCCTTCAGTCACCAAGGCCTAAGCAAATGCCGTGAGGCAGCCGGCCAGAGCCCTGGCTCACGGCCAACGTCGTACCCTGCAACTGCCCTGAGATCTTGTGATGAGGGGCAGGATATAAATCTAATGAATATAAATAAGGAAAAGACAAGAAGGGGAACCTTTCATCGTGGGACACTTCCTGAGAAGAGGCCAACAGCTGACATCGGCACCGGAAGTGAAAAAACCCTTTCCCAGAAGCACAGAATCGTAGAGTCGGAAGGGACCCCAGGGTCATCTAGTCCAACCCCCTGCAATGCAGGAATCACAACTAAAGCATCGCTCGGCCTCTGCTTGTAAACCTCCAAGGAAGGAGAGCCCTTTGCTCGCTTTGGCGTCCCAGAGGAACCTGCGGCTGGCAGAGCAACCCAGTTCACAACAACATCATCCCTCTCCTGCCAGCCAAGATACCTGCAGCCTGGACACAGAACTGCAAATGGGGAGGAAAGCCAGAAAAAAAGACCCTTTTCCAACCCCAAGAGAGGAGGAGGAGGAGGAGGAGCGGCTCCTCGTTGCAAAGTGGCCTGACCTGGAAAAAGCTGCCACTTCAGCTTACCAGGCTAACCAAGAAGTGACAGGCGCTGCTGCTATAAGTGGCACAGTTCAAGGCAGGAGAGAGAGAGAGAGAGAGCGAGACAGGGAGGCCTCACCCACAACTCCGCTTGCCCAGCCACTTTCCCCCATGAAATGGAACAAACAGCAACCACGTTTTCCGTGGTTTGTTGCCTAGTCTGATTTAGCCCTAAAGAGTAAGTTTTTTGGGGAAAGCAGCAGGGCAAAGGCAAAACCAGAGAGAGATGTATGAAACTTAAGAGAAAGACGGCCCAGTTGACTCTGGCTCCCAGAGAATCATAGAGTTGGAAGGGACCTCAAGGGTCATCTAGCCCAACCCCATGAGATACGGGAATCTCAGCTCCAGCATCCATGACAGTTGGCCATCTAACCTCTGCTTTGAAACCTCCAAGGAAGGAGAGTCCGCCGCCTCCTGAGGGAGACCGTTCCACTATCAAATAGCTCTTGCTGTCAGAAAGTTCTTCCTGATGTTTTGGTCAGAATCTCCTTTCTTGTAACTTGAAGCCAGTGGTTCGAATCCAACCCTCCAGAGCAGGAGAAAACAAGTTGCAGCTTCCGTTATCTCATCTTGGGCTTTTAGCTCTCTGCTGCGAATCATTGTTTCCGAACCACAGTCATTCTCTTTTAAATTTCAAGGCTGAGACAGCACCGTTTGGAGGCAGCTAGTGGAGCCTGGTCTGTTCTGGGGCAGGAGGTGGCCCTTCCTTCACCACTACTGGCCCTCTGTGCCCCTGGCCCAAATGGAGCAGGGTGGAAACAGATGGCCCCAGGAAACCCGGGTCCCAACAGAAGGGCTGCACAAGTCAGAGATGAAGAGGAAGGTCTGCAGAAAAGCAAGTTGCCTCCCAGGGAACAAATGCAGCTCTCATACGCCGGACCCAATCCCTGCCATGCTCTGCTAGGGAGCTGACACACGCACACACACACACACACACACACACACACAGCCCGGGATGCTGGGCTGAGCTGGTCCTCTCCATCTGGGAGTGAAACAGGGATGCCCCAAACAAGATCAGCCAGAAGGAGGACGCCTGCCACGGTTGGGGGCCTGCTTGTGGTTCACGAGGGGGACTTCTCAGTGGCGACCCCAAGAATGTGGAACTGCCTCTCCAAAGAACTGCTTCTGTGGCTGAAGGTGCCCTTCCTCACGCCAGCCCCCAAAAGCGGAGGGGAAAGCTCTGCTGCCCTGCCTGCGATGTGCTGTGTGGAATTATTGTTTCTGCGGTTTTGGGGAGGGGGCAGATTTATTCTCCCGTGAGAAAAGGCGGCAGCTTTGGGGACTTTGGAGAGAGTGGAGAGAAAGCTTCCCTCCCTCCCTCATGACACTGGAATTTGTGGACATCCAACGAAGCCACAGGAAGTGAGATTCAGGACAGATAAAACAAAGTGCTTCTTTGGGCAGCGCCTACTTAAACTGTGAAACTCCCTCCCACAGGGGGCGGCGAAGGCCAGGATGGATTCAGAGAGGAGAATAAGGCTACTGATGACGGACAGCCAGACCGGAGCCCGCCTGCCTCTCAATATCAGTTTCTGGGAATAGCGGGAGGGTCCCCCTATCATTTGTTGCGCCGTGGGGCAAAGCAAGGGGAGGACGCCCATCCCAGAGCAAAGCGGGTGCAAAGGAAGTGACCTCACGGGAGGAAGTGGGGGCTGACTGGCTCCCTGCCCACCTGAGAGCTTTTGGGGGGATCAGGGACGGGGAAGAGGAGCAGGCTCTCAAGCCAATGGCGAGGGCTGGCAGGTGCCGGGGGCAGCCCCGGGCCAAGGGGGGGCCTACCTTGTTGGGCTTGACGGCCCTCTGCAGGTTCTCAATCCACTTGTCCCGCTCAGCGGCCGACCGGCAGGCGAAGCACTTGGTGCCCGAGGACGTGGTGACCTGGAGGGGGCGGCAGAAGGGCGGGGGTCATCTGCGCTCTGCGCGTGCCCAGGCACCCGCCCTCCCTCCTCTCGCCCCTCCCCCCCCACGTACCTCAAAGCAGAACTCCTGGCCCAGGATGCTGCTGTGGACGGGCTTGATGATGGAGTCCTCGTCCAGGTTGAGCTCCAGGGCCTCGGCGGCGCTGCTGGGGCTGAGCAGGGACTCGTGGGAGTGGGACTCCTTGAAGCTTTGCATGAGGCGGGCCCTGCGAGGGGCAAAGGGAGAGGTCAGGCGGGAAGGGGTGGGGGGCAGGCGGGGGTGCGGAGGCCGCGTCCGGAGTGCGGGGAGCAGAGGGAGGCGGGTCCAGGGGTGCCAGGGAGCCTGAGGGAGGGGCGCACGCGAGGCTGCTCCTACGGGGTGGGGAGGGGGAGTGAGGGGGCAGGAGGGAGGTGCCGGTGGCGGCTGGGGCAAAGCCCACCCTCAGGCGGGGTACCTGGCGTCTGCCCCCCAGGGGGACATTTCTGCAGCTGCCAGGGGGGTCCCAGCCTGGAACGGGGTCAAGGCGGAGGAGAGAAAGAGAGAGAGAGAGAGAGAGAGATGGAGAGCAGCGTCAGAGGACAGGCGGGCAGCATCAGCCCCGGACACGGGGGGGGGGGGAGAGGAAGAGGAGGTTCCCGGGATGGGGGGACGACCCCCCACTCTGCCCCACAGCTCCTTCTCTCTCATCCAGGGAAGCCTCTGGGAGGGAGAGAGGCAGCTGGGGGGCAAAGGGGTCCCCCACCAGCTCCGTGTCTCCGGCCCGAGGACAGAGCTGCCCCCCAGCCCTCTCAGAGGACCCCTCTGGGGCTCCCCTTGTGGGCAGCGGGTGCGAGAGGAGGCCTGTGAGCTGGCTCCTCTTGCTGGGAGGCCCCCTCCCTTCCCCAGTGGCATTTCTGCTCGGAGCTGCCGCCCCCAGGAGGATATTTTTAGCCGAGCGGCGTAAGCGGAGGGAGAGCGAGAGAGAGCCCAAGCGTGTCGGGGCTGCCGTCAGAGCGGGGGGGGCTGGGAGGAGGCTAAAAATACACGCGGGGACCCAGGGATGAGCCTCCCAGGGAGGCAGCCAAGCGCAGCCACCGCCGTGGGGAGGGAGGGGGGCAGCAGCAGGGGGATCTGGGGGTCGGGGTGGAGAGCGTGCAGCAGAGGAGGGCAACCCAGTGGCAAGGATTGGGGGGGAGGGAGACGGGCCTGGCGTCCACTGCAGGGGATGGGGCACCCCAACCTGCCTCCCCACCTGCCCCTCACTGGGAGGGGCAGCCCAGCCTCTACCTCTCGGGGGGGGGGGGAGCCCTGGCCCTCTTCGTTGCCGTCGTCATCCCCTCACCTGTCATGGTCGGCACTGCGGAAGCGGGGCAGCATCTGGCGGAAGCTGCTGGTGCGGTCCAGCTTGGGCTGGCTCTTGGTGCGCTTGATGGAGCTCTTCAGGCGCCGGCTGAGGAATCCCTGCTGCTGGGGGGCCCCAAAGGTCGGGGGGGGAGACAGAGTCAGAGAGGAGTTGCCTTTGACAACTGCCCCACAGCCAGAAACCTCTCAGCATGTCCCCCACCTCCACCTTTGCTTTCCTGGGGAGGAAAAGGGCCTGTCCCCACACTGGCCCACTGGGGCTGAGCAGCCAGCCCCCCGGTCCCTCATGCCCTAGAGTACAATGGCAGCCACTTGGAGGGATGGGGGGAGCTGGTCAGCCGTGCATCTTCACCGCTGCCCCCCTTCCTGTACTGTGACCCCATATCTTGCTGGGGGTGGGCTCTTGCAAGGCAGCTTCTTCGGGTCCCGGCCCCCCTTTCTACCCCCCGCCCTAGCTCCAGCCCTGCCCCCCTGGGTCTGAGCAGCACCCAGGACCACTGGGCAGGGTCCCACGGGGAGGGGCTCCCTCCCCCAGGCCAGTCATCCCTCCCTGGCCATCTGTCGGGGATTCTTTAATGGGGATTCCCACATTGCAATGGGTCAGACTCGACCCTCAGGGGCCCCTTGCAATTCTGCCGTTTCCGTGATTGGGTGGCCTCCCTTCGCTAGAGGGAGTTGGATGGCGGCCCCCAGGGATCCTGCAGGGGGGTTGGACTAGATGGCCCTAGGCTTCCCCTTCTGACTCTCCCATTCCAGGATTCCTCCTCCAGTTGCACGACCCCCAGAGGTGCGAGAGAGAGGATGGGGTGGGGGTCTTTGCTCACCGAGGGCCGGAAGGGCGGAGCGGGTGGGGCGTCCATGTTGATGCTGTACTGCTTCCCTCCGGGGACGCTCTTCCGACGGGACCGGGCAGCGTGGTGCTCTGCAAAAGGAGAGGCGGCCGTCACGGGGGGTGCCCCCCTGTTGCTGTGGGGGGTGCCCTCTGGGAGCCAGTGGAGGAGAGTGGAGGCCACAGGGGGAGGGGGGCCCGGTGGGGCTGCAGGGTCTTCTTGAAGGGATGGGGGGCGACAGCAGGACACAGACAGCGCCCCCCTCCGCCGAAACGGGGGGCACCGTCCCAGCCTCCGCATGTGGTTGACAGAGAAGCGGGGGCGCCCCTTCCCCCAGCCCGGCTCTGGCCCTGGAAGAAGGGGGCTTCCTCTTCTCCCCAGAGGTGACAGGGGCAGCATCATGGGGGGGCGGAAAGAGGCTCCTGTGTGCTGCCTCCAGGGACCGCCTGGCATGTGTGGCGCTGGGTGGTTGTGAATGAGCAGCTGGGGGGGGAGGGAAGAAGCACGCCGGAGGCAGCTCCTCCTCCACCTCAGGAGGGGCTGGGGGGGACACACAGGAGCCTCAAATAGCAGAAAGAATTGGCGTCAGAGCTGGAAATAGCAGCAAAAGCTGCACAGAGGCCTGCCTGGCTATTTACGCCCCCCCCCCGGCCACTTGCCACCTGCATTTGAGAGACCACCCACCAAACACCCCCCCCACAGGACCCGGGGGTCGGGGCTGATGCTGCACTCTGCCATCTCAGAAGAGGCATGGGGTGGGGGGTGCTTGCAGGCAGTGCCCTCCCCCTTCCCATCCTGGGGCTGCCAACGTTACCCCCCTCGCAATGCCCTAGAGATGCTGCACCGGTTGGCTTTCTGCCTGTGACACTGCTCTCCTCTCTTGCTCCTCCACTTCCCAGTCCCTGCCCCAGACACGGACAACTCCAGGGAGGTCCAGCCTCGCCCAGCCTCCCGTTCTTCTCTCTGTGGGCAGCTAGGCACCCCAAAGAGAAGGGGCCCAGATGCCAGCAGGACTTGAGGGCAACACAGCTCCCCTCAGCAAGGGAGGACTTGTCCCTCTGTACCCGAGGACTGGAAAGGAGTCAATGGAACGCCAGTTCCGGGATATTACAGGCCGCAGCGTTAAAGGTAAGCTAGGCAAGAGCCCAGAAGCAGAAGCAGCACCAGCATGGCTTCTGCAAGAGCAGGTCCCATCTCACAAACCAGCCATAGAGACAGAGGATCCAAACTACAAGAAAGAAGATTCCACCTAAACATTAGGAAGAACTTCCTGACAGTAAGAGCTGTTCGACAGTGGAATTTGCTGCCCAGGAGTGTGGTGGAGTCTCCTTCTTTGGAGGTCTTTAAGCAGAGGCTTGACAACCATATGTCAGGAGTGCTCTGATGGGGTTTCCTGCTTGGCAGGGGGTTGGACTCGATGGCCCTTGGGGTCTCTTCCAACTCTATGATTCTATGAGATCTGGCTGACGGGGTACTTGGACTTTCAAACAGCTCTGGACCAAATTCCTCACCAAAGACTTCTGAGTCAGCTGAGCAGTCAAGGAACAAGAGGAGGGGTCCTCTTGTGCACCAGGAACCGGTTTAGCTGCAGGATGTTTCCCACATGGAGAGAAACGGGGGTCCCCCAAGGATCAGAACCTGAGCTTTTTAACTTGCTCATCAGTGACCAAGAGTTAGGAGCCAGCAGTGAGGTGGCCAAGTTTGTGGATGACGCTAAATTGTTGTTAAAGCAAAAAGAGATTGCAAAGAGCTCCAAAAGGACCTCTCCAAACTGAGGGAATGGGTGGTAAAATGGCAAAGGCAATTCAGGATAAATTCAGAGCAAAGTGATGGGGGGGGGAATATTAACTTCACATACACACTCCTGAACAGGAGGTGACGGCCCCCCGGGAGCGAGACCTTGGGGTCACAGCAGGGACCTTGGTGAAGAGGTTGTGTGGAGGCCATGATAAAGGCAAATGCCATACTAGGGGTCTTTGGGAAAGTCACTGAAAATAAAACTGCCAATATTCCTGCATATATACATAATTGTATATGTATGTCACTTTTCCACAATTGAAACCATGCTCAAGGCAGCTTATAACGTAAAGAAATACATAACTGCAACGTAACAAAAGTACTCATAAACAATAAATGAAACATAAAAAATAGAAAACCAAGCTAAACAATTTCCACATAAATCACCACAAAATCTAAAATGTTGATGCCATTCTACAAGTCTAAAGGGCGGCCACATCTGAAGCCCTGTGTCCCTCTCTGGCCGCCTGTTGCGGAGCTGGAAAAGGCTCAGGAAAGGACCACCAAAGTGAAGAAAGGGACTTTCTAGTTTAGAGAAGAGGCGAGTCAGAGGCACCACGGCAGGAGTTTATACACGCATGAAAAGAGTGGAGAGGCAGAAGTCTTCCTCCCTCTCTCATAGCATTAGAACTTGTGAGCATCCCAGACAGCTGAACGTAGGACGCTTCATGCAGCCCACAATTGACCTCTGGAACTCTCTCCCACAGGAGGCAGCCGCCTTCCTTCGCAGAGCAGCCCCTCCATCCCCTCCATTGTTTGGGCTGAACTTCCCAGCTCTGCAACCTCCGCAGTTTCGGGCGGTGCATCTCAGGGGTGCTCCTCCCTCCGTCACTCACACGGAGCCGTCACTCAGCGCAAGGCCTGCCTTGAAACCTCCGACCGGGTCAGGGCACAGGAGCCCAGAGAGGGGGCCAGGGCAAGGAGCACCCAGCCCAGAAGGGCTGCTGGAATGTGAGCCGTCAGTCAAGTGGGGGTGCTCTTTGGCACATCTGCTGAGCAGCCAGATCTTGCAGCCTCCCCCCCTCCCCGATTTAGGCACATCTGCTCGGAAGCAGCTTGCCACGCTGACAGGACGGGGTGGGGGTGATGGGCGCTTGACAGGCAGGCTGGGAGTAATGGGGGGGCGCAGTGAGCGAGAGCAGGCGCCAATCAGCCAGGAAGAGCCCCAAAGCAGCTGGACCAGCCTCCTGCTCTTCCCAGAGAGGCCCCCCAGGAGCAAGCGGGACCCGAACGCAGCCCCGGCAGCCGCCTGGAGCTTCCAGCCTCCCACAAGACCAGTGCCTCTGTCTCTGCATTGCCTGGTGGGCAGGGGGGTGGGCTTGATCAGGTGGTCAGAAGCAGAGGCCGGGGCTTTTGGGGGCAGCCCTTGGGGTTCCTCCTAAGCTGCCTCTTGGGCCGAGAAGGGGATGCCTGGCTGCTTCTCCCTGCCTGCAAGGGGTTCACAGGGCAGGAAGAGCCCAGGAGGCAGCTCACCTGCCCCCACCTTCCCTCTGCCCCATGGCTCAGCCAGGCCAAGCTTGTGACTGAGGTGGGGAGAGGAAAGGGCAGCGTCCATGGGGCAGAAAGCCCCCCACCCCCAGGGAGGACTTTCCAAACCAAGCCAGCCTTCCTGCTCTGGGGGCAGTTCAGCCGGGGGGGGGGGGAGAGAAGGGGGGGCTGTGGCTGATGAAGAGCTGCCAAACCAGGCCCAGTGGGGGGGGGGGAGCCATCCCTGGCCCCTTCCTCCCAGCATCAGCACTTCCCTCTCCCCCCCCCCCCCCGGCCTGGGGACTTCTGGTCCTCCCCCTGCCCACTGATGCCCCAGGAGCAGAAGGTGACTGCTGCCTGAACCCCAACAAGGGAGGGGCTGTGCCCACTGCCCTCCCCCAAGCACACAGAGCGAGGGATCTGCGCCTCCTCCTCCTCCGTGGGTGAGCCATCTGTCTTTGCTGCCACCCCCAGCCAGCCACTCGTCCAACTTGGCCGGTGCTCCCAGGCCCCCTCTCCAGGCTCTGGGGCACAGGCCCCCCTCCACCCACCCCACATCTGGGTCAAGGCAGCTTGAGAAAGAACTGGGGGGAGCAGCTGCCTCCTGCAGAGTGAGGCCACTGGTCCCTCCAGCTCAGGAGGCCTTTCCCAGCTGCCAGTGCCCCCCCCCCCCGTCTTCCCACTGGGCTGGGCTGTCCAGAGAGGGAACCACAGAGCAGCTCTTCTGCCTGGTGCCCCCCCCCTCATGTCCAGCCCCAAGAAGGAACCACGTGGGGGGGTCTTTTGAGGCAACATCTCCTCCCCTACCCCAACACACACATTTCAAAAACCATCGCTGGGTTTCCTCTAAGCACAGCCCACCCCCAGGCCCCACCTGCAGGTCTCCTATGGGTGCCCATTCCTGCCCTGGGGTGCCAGCCCCCCGCCGCCACCATGTGGCTCTTGTAGTGGCTAAGAGGCAGCATGAGGAAGGAGAGGAAGCCACAGGAGCCCGGTCTTTGGTCTGCTGGGGCTTCCCCCTCTTGGCTTGCTGGTCTGCCTTCAGGGGCTGGGGGGAGGCAAAGCCAGCCAGCAGCGTCCAGGTGAGCCTCTGCGGAGCACCTGCCCATGGGGGGGGGTGCTCAGCTGCTGCCCCTCAGCTCACCTGCACCCCGGTCTTGTGCAGGCTGCCATGGGGCTGGGAGGGCATGCTCAGAAGCGCTCTTGCCGCTGGGACCTCCAGCCTTTGGGAGCAGTTCAGGCCCACCCTGAGGCACGCCAGGAGCCGGGCCGCTTCTGCCACTGCCGGGAGGAATTGGCATGGCGGGGAGAGGAATGAGGTGGGGGAGCTGCTGCTGCTGCTGCTTCCCTTTGGGGGTTCACCTGGCTACTCTGGGCTGGGAGGAGGCCCCTTGGGCAAGGGACCCAGCTGCCACCTCTGCCCCTGGGCTCTCCCGAGGTCCTCCAGAAGGGTCAGGGAGGCGCTGCGCTCCTGAAGCGGGGGCCGCAGTGATGGCATCTTTGGTGGCAGCCTGCCCAGGGGCCAGGGGAGGGGGGCTCCCTGTCCCCCTCCCCCGTCGCGCACGCAGGACGCAGGCAAGCAGGACCCCTTCCCGGGAAGCGGGAGAGGCGAGCCAGCGCAGGCGGAGCCCCATCTCCTCTCGCCGGGGCCAGGTTCCGTAGGATCGGCCTCCGTCAGCCAAGCGCCCCGGCGCAACCTCGCATGCCCTCGCCGGGGGCGCGCTTGCCCGCCGCCCTCATCCACTCGCTCGTCGGGGCAGAGACGCGGGGGCGCGCTACTTCCCCCCCCCCATGCCTCCTGCTCCGCCCGCGCAGCGCCCTCGCCCCCCGCGGCGGAGCCTCCGGCCCTTACCTGCGCGCCCGAGGGGCCTCCGGGCCGCTAGGGCTCCGTCTCCTCCTCCTCCTCCTGCCCCCGGGCGCGGCCCATCGGGGGGCCGCCGGGCCCCAGCCTAGCTGGCCATGCGGCCGGACCAGCGCCCCCAGCCAGCCAGCCCGCCGGGCCGAGGTCCCCTGGCACCCGCCGGCCCGGCGGCGGCGGCGGCGGCGGCGCAGCTGGCCCGCTCCTGCTCCTGCGCCTGCCTGCTCGTCGCCCGCTCGGTGCCCGCCGCCGCCTCGCCCGCCCGCTCGCTCGCTCCCCGCAGCATGCCGAGCCGTTGCTAGGAGACGGGCTCGCCTGTCAGCAGCCGCTCGCGGGAGAGCCGGGAAGGGACGGGCACGGGCAGGGCGGGCGGGCGGCGGCGGCGGCGGAGGGGCCCGGGACCCCGGCCAGCGGGGGCCGCGGCGCGCCCGGCACTCCCGAGCCCGGCCGCGAGAGCGCGAGGCGGGGAAGCCAAAACTCCCTGCGCCCCCCATGGAAAAGGCCCCGTCTGCAGACCCCCCCTTGCTCCCTTCCTTGGGGCCACGAAGTCTGGACTCTGCGCGTCTCCCCCCCCCCCATCCCTCCCCGCTGCGCCCGGGGCCCCTCGGCCCGAGCAGGGTCACTCGGGGTCAGCGCGGGGGGGGGGCGGGGTCGCGCGGGCGCCGCTGGAGTTTGGCAGCGGGCCAGCAGGGGGCGCTGGAGGCCCGCGGCCGAGAGGGGGCGTCGCGTGTGCGCGTGTGTGTTGGGGGGGCATGTCCCCGGATTCCGCCTGTCTCCGGCTGCCTCTCCCCTTCATCTCTTCTTGGAGTTTCCATGGAAACCTTTTAAGCCAACTTCTCAGGGAGACAAAAATCTTTTTTTAAACCTCGAGCAGGAAAGGGGGGAAGGGAGGATGAAGAGGGAGGGGAGCGAAGGGCACACACACTGCCCCCTCCCCACAAGCCCCGTAGGAGAGGAGGGCGCAGGCCGGAGCCCAAAGACCCCCATCCCCGGAGAGGGGGCCCATGGGGAGCCAGGACAGGGGACCTGGGGGAAGAAGCAGGACTCCCTGTCCTCCGTCGGGGGGCCTGGAACAAAGCCCTCCACTGCAGGGCGAAGGCTCAACGCTCCCCCTCTCCCCGCAGCCCCCTGCAGGGAGGGCGTTTGAGCCAGGACTCCTGGGTCCCTCGCAGCCCCACGGAGCAGCAACACCCACGGAGACCCAGCTCTGAATAGGGCTGCCTGGGAAGGCAGCCAGAGGGAGAGAGGGTTCCTATGGCAACAGTTGTCAAGCGCCCAGGAGCCGTTCCCTTTCAATGGAACTCACTATTATGGGATGGGACGCGGGTGGGGGGGCTCTGGAGTGAATAGCTGAGAAGCTGCTGGCAGTGGGTCACGAGGGCGGGGGCTGCAGCTGAAGCCCAGCCAGGGTCCCCCCAACACACTCTCACACTCTTCCTAGGCGTGGGGCCTCCGTCAGCTTCCCCAGGAAGAAAGAGCACCCATGGGTGACCCCAGCGATATGAGGCGGCTCCTTTGGATGGGGATTCACCCAGAAAAAGGCTTCTGGCGCTTCCCCTTCCCTTTTCTGAACAAACCAAATGCTGCTACTTTTGGCGATCCCTCGTAGCCGAGGAAGATTGTCTTCCGTGAACAGGGTCTTAGCAGTGAGTCCGTAAGTGACGTGGAGGCCAATTCTGGATCCACACGTCCTTCCACAGTGGGGACAGAGGTTTCTGGGCAGGAGCTGATCACGGGGTGGATTTGCCAAGCTTGCCTTCCTCTTAGCACGTCTCTCCCTTTCGTCTTAGGCTAGTGTTTCCCAATTGTTGGTGTTTATACTACATTTTTTAAGATTTGCCTTGAGACAGTCTTTAAACCTCTTTCGTTGACCGCCAGCATTACGGTTTCCATTTTTAAGTTCGGAATAGAGTAGTTGCTTTGGAAGACAATAATCAGGCATCTGCACAACATGACCAGTCCAATGAAGTTGATGTTGAAGAATCATTGCTTCCACACTAGTGATCTTTGCTTCTTCCAGTACTTCCAGTACTATTAGTTCACCTGTCTTCCCAAGTGATGTGTAAAATTTTCCGGAGACACCATTGATGGAATCTTTCAAGGAGTTGGAGGTGGCGTTTACAAGTGGTCCATGTTTCACAAGCGTACAGTATGGTTGGCAGTACAATAGCTTTGTCAGCAAGCATTTTGGTTCCCCTGCAAATGTCCCAGGCCCCAAACCAAGGGGACCCACCTGGCCCAGCACCCTGCTCTCCTCACGGGGGGCGACCAGGTGTCCCAGACGGAAGAAGCAGGACCCAATAACTTCACAAACACCCAACCATCTCACTTCTCACTTGCCTTTTTTCTACACGAAAAGTCCCTTTCTTCACAGGGGACTGCTCCATCCCTGGGCCACTTTCCTGAACCTTTTCCAACTCTGCAATATCCTTTCTGAGCTGAGGCAACCAGAACAGGACACAGGGCTCCACATGCAGCTGCACCATCAATTTGTATAATGGAATGGTAAGAGTGGCAGTTATGTCTTCGATCCCTATTCTAATGATCATAGAGGTCCCTGCTATGACCCCAAGGTCTCGCTCCTGGGCTGTCACCTCCCGTTCAGACCCCAGGAGTGTGTAGGTGAAGTTAAGATCCCCCCCCCCGACATCACTCTGCCCAAAGCTGTTTGGAAGTCCAAGGTCCCCATCATCCAAATCCCCTCTGTCTATAGAAGTGAATTGGTTTTAAAATAAATTGATTTTAGAATGCTGTGTTACTTTTATTGTTGTTAGCCGCTCTGAGCCCAGCTTTGCTTCGGGAGGGTGGGATATAAATATATTATTGTTGTTGTTGTTGTTGTTGTTGTTGTTGTTATTATTATTACTGAGCTATTGACACTCTCAAATATCTCTAACAGGTTTGTGAGCTGGGACTGGGCCTTGCAGAAGCCATGCTGGTGCTGCTGCTGCTTCTCCTCCTCCTCCTCCTCCTCCTCCTCCTCCTCCTCCTCCTCCATGGCCTTGGTTATTTTGCCTCTCCAGAGACCAGGTCCAAACCCCAGTCCATCCACACAAGCCACCAAGCGGCCATGGGACGAGGACACACTGCAACTCACCCTGAGCCCTTGCAGTGGGGCCAGGGCAGGCTCCTCAGGGAATACTTGGGGTCCCTTTGGGATGGGGTCTTGAAGGACGAGACGAGGAACGTATCCTGAGTCAGTCCACTTAGCTCACTCCAGCCTGCCCTGCCTGCTGGCTTTCTCTAGGATTCCAGGGAGGGGGCACAATCTCCCCACCAAGCCAGGCCATGGGTTTGTCTGCCCCTATAAATGCCACGTGGCATTGAACCCGGGGCTTTCTGCATGCAGAACAGACACTCTGCCCACAGGTCCTATCATGCCCTTTGACCAGAAGCCCTGGCTGTGGCTGCTCAGGGACCAGCGCTTTGCTCAGCAGCACCCTCGTCTTCCTTGTACTGCCTATATGCCCAAAGATGTCCCTGTGGGCCCACCTCCACCACCTCCGGGCCCCCACGCGACCCCTCTCGCTGCACCCCACCACAATGCCAGTGCCACCCACCCATCCACGTTGGAGAGATCATGTTGGGGCGCCTCAAAATCCCTTCTTTGTCTCCCACACCCTGAACAACTGGGTGTCCTCAGCTAATCTGGGGCACCCCAACTCCATTATCTACTGCCCCCTCTCACCCCACGGTGGCACTTGTGTGGGGAGCCCAAGTGAAATCTCCATGGGGTAGTTGCGGGGGGACTTTCACCCCATGGCGACCCATGCAGGGGGTGGACATGGGGAAGGTAAGGAGAGTCCCCTAAGGAACAGTGACTGGGCAGACATCACCGCAGAAGTAGGCTGTCCTATCCTGAAGAGCAAAAAAGAGGACAGCCCAAACCCCTGCCAGCCTGAGGCTAATAAATAAATAAATAACCCCCCCCCCCAAAAAAACCCAGACATTTCCTTTAAAATATAAAATTCTCCCCAGTCAGGCATGTTGGTCCCCCAAAAGAGGACGTGTCTGGGATTTTCAGGACATATGGCAACTGTACGCAGAAGGGAAAACGAGGCAGGCACCTGTGAACACCCCCCACCCCAAATTGGTCTGGATTAGAGGTATTATTAAGGTACAGGTTTGTTAAGGAGGGGATTGGTCGGGGAAAGAGAAGCTCCCTCCCTTTCCCCAGTGACCCCCCAAGAGTCATGGGAGGGGGGCCTCCCGTGTGATTTCACACAAGCAGACGAAAGGGACACAACCTCTTGGTCCTGAGCCCCCTGGCCAGCCTCTGCCAGCTCAGGCCCCATTCAGAGCACACCATTTCATTCACTATATGGGAATTTCTGCTCCTCCCTTTCCTACCCAGGGGAGCTTTCGGAGGAGGATTTGAGGGAACAGAACTGACTGAAGATCCCTCACATTCTCAACAGCCCTGCCTGGGGCACTGCCTGGCGTGGAAACGTAGGAAAAGCCCGCTGGATCAGGCCACCTAGTTCAGCTCCCTCTTCTCACAGTGGCCAACCAGTTGTCCCCAGGCCAGGAATAATCCTATCAACTTCTATCCTGTCTCTTCCTCGCCTGTTCTCGAAGCTGGAAAGTCCCAACTGCTGCAACCTTTCTTCGCTCCCTCGCCTGGATCACTTCAGTGGCCCTTTCCTCAACCTCTTCCAACTCTACGATATCCTTTGTGAGGCGAGGTGACCAGAACAGGACACAGGGCTCCACATGCAGTCACACCACAGATTTGTATTACGGCATCTGTAGTTTTATTTTCAGCTCCTTTCCTAATGATCGCTAGCATGGAATTTGCCTTTATCAAAGCCACTGCACACAGTGGATCACTTGGATCAACCCCCTGTGCTGGGAGCACTTTCACCACCAAATCCCCTGGGATGCACCACCGTGGGGGGGGGTGTGCCCTGGTTCCCCCACCCCCCACGCAGGGAGTTTGTCCTGACTTTGGGTTTCCAACATAGCTAGGTAAGGAGGTTGAATTTCCCTGGGGGGGGGGGGGACCTGCATGGATTGAGATGGGGGGGGGTCCCAGTGGCCTGAGCACAGCACGCTGCTTTGGTGAGGGCCCTGGTTGTGCTGGAGGGGCATCTATGGGTTTGTAATCATGACCCCCACAGCACTTTTGACATGCTCCGTGTGCTCTAATGTCCCTGGAGGAAGGAGATTTTGGCTGAGGGGAGGGTGGCAGCATCGCCTGTGGATCTCAGAGACAGACCAACAGCTTTGGTACCATATTCCTCCTCCGGGGGGAGGGCAGCCCCACACCCAAGTGCCACCCTGCTAGACATGGGGTGGATCCTGCCTTCAAGGTGCTCTTTTCCTGCCAGTCTCCTCTGCCCCAGAGGCTGTGCTCCTCCGCGTGGAACCCAGAACCCCCTCCTTGCAGCTGAGAGGAAAAGCAGGGGCAAAAAGGTGACCTCAAAGTCCCCTACCGTGCTCTGGGTGGGGTCTCCCTTCCACAGGGACGCTGACGGTCCGGCGCAGGAGCTTGTTCCGAGCGGGATCCCGCTGGCGTTCTCGAAGGAGCAGGGGGTGGATCTGGCCAAGGAGAAAGGCAGACACAAGGACCCAAGAGATAGCAGAGGGGAAAGGAGCCCCAAGACCCACCCGCTCCACCCCACACCCAAGCAGCTTCGGGGGCCAACGTGGTGCTCCCAGGGCAGAAGCAGAAGCAGAAGACGAGGCCCCAACTCAACAAGGGGGGGGGGACAGGACTCTGACCAAACCAGTGAGTCCGCGATGGGTGCCAAGGCACCGACCCTGGCCACATCCACACCAGGCATTCAAAGCACACAGCTCCCCCTGAAGAATCCTGGGAACTGTAGTTTGCTGGAAATTGCAGCTCTGTGCAAGGTGAACTACAGTTCTTTAAGGGAAGCTGTGTGCTTTGAATGTCTGCTGCTGACACGTCCTCTGGCTGCTCAGAAGGAGCGCGCACACACACATACACACACCCCAGGGAAGAGGAGCCTTTTCTGCCCCATTGCCTGCTTCTTTTGACTCTATCTCCTCTCCCCAACACCTGGTGGTAGATTACTTTCTGAGGATAAGAGGAGCTTGACAGCAGAATGGTCTCCCTCAGAAGGTGGTGGACTCTCCCTTGGTAATAATAATAACAATAACTTATTATTTATATGCCTTCCACCAAGCATTCAAAACTTCCCTGAGCAGGGCTGCCTTCGGATGTCTTCTAAAAATCAGTTATTTCCTTGAATCTGATGGGAGGATGTTTGACGGGGCAGGTGCCACCACCAAGAAGGCCCTCTCCCTGTAACCTCACTTCTCGCAGGGAGGGAACCGCCAGAAGGTTTTTAAGCAAAGGTCGGACAGCCATATGACCCTCGGGGTTCCTTCCATCTCTGCAGTATTGTGATTCTATGACTCTATGAACCCAAGAGCAACTCTCCTTTCCTGCTGCCTCCAGCCGTGGCAGCTGGTAGCCCTCAGTAGCCCTTTCCTCCACGAATTTGCCATACATCTCAGGGCAAGCAAAATAAAATGCTAAGGAATGCAGAGAAATAAAGAAACAGTCACACAATTCTGTATGCAAGTTCTGTAGAACTTCCCAAAGACCAAATATAAAAATAAGACCTTTATATTCCACCAAGTGTCTGTTTCTTTACATATAGCAGCGACAACCCTTACACAATGAGCAGAGTGCCTTCTCCGTTTTAAGGAACTGACTTTTCTATTTGAGTATGTGCTTTGCCGTCTTATCGTTCCATTGCGGGCCGACCAGAGGAAGACATTGGACACAGAGATTGGCATCCAGTGATCTCAGGATTTCACACAGCTGGGGGACTGCAGTTTGAGTGACTGAGAGGAAAGCTACAACACTCTCGGGGATGTGGACAGCTTTTTCTGGTGTGTGGGTTATCCTCCACCAACTTCTTCTTATTACACTTGTAGTGATTATTTTCTCTTTACTGAATGAAGGAATATTTGGATGGAGCTTTGGCTTTGAGACTTCCTGTATTGCACCTGAATATGATTTTGGTACTGCATACATTATGTAAAAGCTATATTTAAAGAAACGGACACTTGGTGGAATATAAGTCTTATTTTTATATTTGGTCTTTGGGAAGTTCTATTTAATTGCATACAGAGTTGTAGGAGCTGTATGTCTCAGGGTGGCTGGGCAATGGTGGTGATGCGCTGCCTTAAAGGCCTCCAATGGGCTCCCCCCGGTGCCCCCCGGGAGCAAAATGCCCACCCCACCCTCCCCGTTCCCCCCTCTCCCACGACCTGCCGGCCTCTCACCTCTTCCTCATCCAGCATCAGCAGCTGGTTTCCGGAGATGATGCAGAATCGTGGGTTCCAAGGCCGGTCGTAAGGGGAGTGCATGTACTGGGCGCGGTGCATAGGGGCTCCTCGCACATCTGCGCAAAGTGGAAAGGGAAGCATTAAGCAAAGGCCCCCGGGCACCCCCTTCCCTCCCACCCCCACCTCTGGCCAGCCCCTCTCCCTCCTCTGGCAAATACCCAATCGGCACCATGCGCGCGTGCACACACACATACATGCTGTGGCCCAGTTCACAGGTTAGGATCAGGCAGCCATTGGGGCCCCCCAAATCCAAGGCGAGCCCCCCTTACCCCAACACCCCCCCCAAGAGAACAGCCGCCATTGCTGCCACCCTAAGGGCCAAACAGCAAGCAAAGGGACAGAGGAAGCGTAAGAACGTAAGAAGAGAGGGAAAGCCTGCAGGATCAGACCCAAAGGGGCCCACCTAGCCCAGGATCCGGTCCTCACAGTAGCCAAGCAGGTGCCCATTGTGGAAACATGCAAGCAGGAACCAAGCACAAGGGCAGTTTCCAGCAACTAGCATTCAGAAGCATGGCAGTCCTGGCTAGGAGCCATCAAGGGCCTGCAAGAGGAGCAGCTGCTGCCTTGGACCACCTCAGGCCACACTGGTCTGCCTGGCTGGCAGGTGGCTCTCCAGGGTCTCAAGCAGGGATGGGGGGGGCTCACCTGGGCCCACCAGGTGATGCCAACAACACAGCTGTGGTCAGGGAAGCCCCATTTTCACAACAGTGTGTGCCGTCAAATAACAGGAGGGTGACTTTTTAAACCTAACCCTTGAAAGGACTCTCTCCCTCCCTGGGACCTTTTGTATGCAAATAAGGTGTCCTCACCTCCCCCCCCCCCCAAATGAGCCAAGGCTCTTCCTGTAGCAGAGCAAGTGGTCTGTGCAAGGTGTTAAAACCAGGGATGGGGCAGGGCAGTTAGATGACTCCCCAAATATCCCAAGTCCCCCCCCCCCGCCTCAAACTAAGGCCAGGAGAATGAACCTGACCGTTTCTCTTCACCGTTTACACAAGCACCACACATGCAGAGGCTATAAGATTGTAGCAATAAGCAGATACCATGTATCTTACTGTTTCCTCTGACTATCCAATATAGAAAACTGTAGAAACTATCACCAAAATTCAATGGTTTGACCGATTTCCTTGGTTCCAGTGGTTAATATCTCCTCTGGAAGAGGGGAATCAGGACCCACCCTGCCTCCATAATCCCTTAAACATAAAGGTCACACTCCTTGCCCCTCCATAAGGTGTGAATAGGAGGCAGGAAGCGATCAAGGACAGCACATACCACAGGCAGAAATCCAGGGATGGTGGATTGAATTCTGATACTTTCAAAGGAGCAGCACAGGAAAGCCTTGCAGCTAGGGGGATGTGTAAATACTTTTATTGTTCTTGGGAACTTAAGTCCAGGTACTTAAAAGGTGACTGGAACAAGGATGGTGAACAGAGGGTTGGGTGATGGGCTCATGTTTCTACACGCCAAACACTCCTAACTTTGTGACATTTCTGATGTATTGATGATGCTGTTGAAAAAATGTATTATGGGAAATGGGGAGAGGTCTTAAAAGTCCACGCAGCCCCAGGCTCGGGGTTCCTGATCTTTGTGTGTTTGCGCCTTGTTGCAACAAATAAAGATCAGGTCTGCTGGCCGCTGTTTTGCTTCTTGAACTTGGCTGGAGACTCCTCCTTTTGCTACCAGAGGGGCACTTGTCACCCCTGGAAGCTGGATGCCAACTGGCCTGGGGGCTGGGACAGCCTCTTCAGCCCCCTTTCCCCACAACCACCAGATGGTCTATAGCGGGGTGGGGTGGGAAACTACAGGAGGTCCCTGGCAGAGGCAGGGGTGCTGCTGCAACAACCCCACCCTGGGGAGCCCTCAGCAGCCTCCTGGCAGGCTCTGTGGTCCAGGAGGGCTCAGGTGGAAGGAGACCAGTGGGCCCTGGAAGGAGGAGGAAGAGGGGCCTCCTCTCCTCCCTTCCTTCTTCCCTTCCTTCTGCAGCTGAGCCTCCATTTGGAGAGCGGGGATGGAATCTCCATATGGGGGTGGGGAGCAGAGGATGGGGAGTTGTATAAGGGCCTCGCCTGGCAATGTGGTGCTGCCCTCCAGTGGCGAGAAAAACCCAGCCAGGTCCTAGAAGCTGACAGTCCATTTCTGTGTGTGCTCAGGGGAGCTTCAGCTACCTACAGAGTGTGGGGCTGACAAGCAGGTCACCCCAAAAGGTGCAACTTGCAACCTGTGCAGGGCTTGCCAGGCCCAAGGAGAAAAGGGCAGCAGCCTCAGCCTCCAGGTGCCAAAGGGCCAGAGGATCGGTTCTCTGAATGCGCAGGATATATTTAGATCCTTAAAAGAGATAGGTGGGAATGTGGGTGAAGAAGAAGCCAAGCTCAACAAGATGGCCAGGATCTTGAGAAGCTGCTCTGAGGCTTCAGCACAGGCCAGAGTCCCAGACCCCCAGCCCAGGGGGTGCCCTCACTGCCAGCCCCACCAGCCTCTGGAAAGGAGGGCCGCCCCATGCCCACAGTTGCAGGTCAGCTGTCAAGGCCCCCGACACCCTTTCCATGCCCCTTCCTTCTTTCAACTGTTACTGGTAGCAAACATTCTCTGGATGCCTTGCAATTGCACACATCAAAACCAAAGCCATAAACCAAACATTAAAACCATAACCCCTAAGGAAGGCATATAACAGCCTTCCCCCCCCCCAGGTGCCCCCCAGGATGTTGTTTTGGAGGGCTGCTCCTGTCAGCCTCATCCGGTTGGGAGATGTTTCCCATACCACCGGGGGGGGGGGCTGATTAGGGGAGGCAGCAGATAATTAAAAGTATGTTACAAAAACGCACAGCAGCACCAAAATTCCCACAGCTGAAGATCTGCAACTATACACCTCACAGAAAGGCATTGAGTCTGAAAAGCCAGAGAAAGCCAAAGTGGGCCTCTCTGCCCTTCATATTCCCTCCGAGGGGAGGGAGCCATGGCAGATTTAAAAGAGTTTAGAACAAGTCACTGTCACAGAGCAAGGGCAGGTGCATGCATCAAAAGCTGACCCACGAAGATGCCAGGAGCACGGGGGGGTGGGAGCCCACAGCTAAGGGGTCACTGTGGAGAAGGCTCTCCCACGAGCCACCTACTCACCCCACACATACCAGAACAACTGTTGAGAGCCCTCCTCATTTTAATGCCCAGGCAGGTCTGGGGGAAGGGGTGGTCTCTCAGAGGCCGGGTCCTTTGGAGCTTTAAACACCACTGGGGGCATCTTGACTCAAGCCCAGGAATTACAGGGCAGCCAACCTTGGCAGAGGGCAGCCCTCAGCCTGTGTCCTGGCCGCAAGGGGAAGTTTGGACTTTAAAGGTCCGGAACCTAAGGCCTGCAGCCCTTAGAATTGGGTGCAGAACAGTCTGGAAGGGCAGGGCAGGCGATCCCATCTTTTTCCAGTTCAAATCTTAAAGGTAAAGGACCCCTGACAGTTAAGTCCAGTCAAAGGTGACTCGAGGTTGCGGCGCTCATCTTGCTTTACAGGCTGAGGGAGCCAGGCTGGCCACAGTTTTTCCGGGTCATGTGGCCAGCATGACTAAGCCACTTCTGGCGAAACCAGAGCAGCACATGGAAACGCCATTTACCTTCCCGCTGGAGCAGTACCTATTTATCTGCTTGCACTTTTGGGCGTGCTTTCGAACTGCTAGGTTGACAGGAGCAGGGACCGAGCAACGGGAGCTCACCCCATCATGGGGATTTGAACCGCTGACCTTCTGATCGGCAAGACCAAGAGGTTCAGTGGTTTAGACCACAGCGCCATCCGCGTCCCTGGTCCCCCTCAAAAGCTTCTCTTCATCCTCCCCTTGGCTTGCCTCCGGGATCTGAGTGTTCCAGTGGTGATAAGGCCCACAAGCTGCCCCCCACATGGATTCCAATGAAGTAAGAGAAGCAGGTGCCCCTGGACTGAGCCAGTGCCCAACTACCCACTTCCCTCCACAACACCCCGCCCTTTGCCTGCTGTGAGATGAGCATTGCCTCTCCCTGCACAGGGATGGCCCTTAGGGACCAAGCACCCGAGTCCCCTGCCTCCGTCTGGCATCTCCAAGGAGGATGCAAGCTAAGGAGCAGAAGGCATGTTGAGACTGAGGACTGGAGGGGGGGTGCAGCTTTCAACAAAGTATCTGACCAAAAACACCCACACACCCAGTAAGCTTAGGAGTCCTGGAATCAGCGGGTCAAGGACTGGTTAAGTTAGTCGCAAGCAGAGTGTCGGAAAAAGAGGATGGGATGTAGAAAGTGGGGTTCTCCAAGGATCCAGAACAGGGCCTCTGCTTGGCGAGCAGAGAGGTGGCCACATCTGCCCTGGATATTGTAGAGCTGGAAAAGGTCTGTAAAAGGGGGCAAAAGAAATTATCGGGGGGGGGGGATGAAGCAGCTCCCCCATGAGGAAAGGCGGCAGCATTGGGGACTTTTTAGCTTGGAAAAAAAGGATATTATGTGTCATCCAAGGAAGCGGAGGTATTTCTTGCAGCAATGGATCTTCAAATGCATAACGCTTGGAAATGGTTTGTCAACAATTTTATCTTTTTCTGATCACCTACAATGGCCCAGTGTGTATGAACTTACTACAACCAGCTCTTCTGTCACTAGTGACTCTTCTGTTTTATCTCCATCTGCAAAATTTTCAGAAGTATAAGCTTCCTCACAACCAACGACAGTGTTTGCTTCCTCTTCTGTGTACTTTATGCAGCATATTTGTGCTAGCCAACAGTGTGCCAGTTCTTTCTTCTGCTGTTACCCATTTCTCAGTGTGTTTCCAGAAAGAGTGAAGCCAACTCTTCTAACATCTCCCTGTTCAAGCTGGAAGGTGTGCAGAGGAATATGATAAAGGGTCTGGAAACCAAGCCTTACGCAGAACGCTTGAGGGGATTGGATACGCTTAGCCTGGAGGAGACTGAGAGGAGATATGATGCCCATCTTCAAATATCTCAAGGGCTGCCGCATGGAAGATGGAGAAAGCCTGCTGTCTCCCGCTCTGGAGGGTAGGACTCGAACCAGGAGCTTCAAGTGACAAGAAAGGAGATTCCGAATAAACATCAGGAAGAACTTTCTGACAGCTAGAGCTGTTTGATAGGGGAACAGAGGTTTCTTAGCAGAGGTTGGGCGGCCAGCAGCAGGACACCCACTTGGACTTTCCTCACACATTTGTGAACCAATATAAAGTAAAAGGTTTTCCTTCAGCGGACCCTGTTTTTGGCAGACAGGCGCTTCTGACAGCAAGAGCTACTTGTCAGTGGAAGGCTCTCCCTCAGGAGGTGGTGGGCTCTCCTTCCTTGGAGCTTCCCAAGCAGAGGCTGGACGGCCGCCTGTCATGGATGCGACGAATCGTGCATTGCAGGGGGCTGGGTGACCTCTGGGGGCCCCTTCCGATCTCAGGTCAGCGGGCTATTCCGGGGCCGTCAAAACGAGCCTCCTCCTGGGACCCCCGAGGGACGGGGCATTGTGGGGCCTCGAGGGCGCCGCCGCCTCCTCCTCCAGCCGCCCAGAGGCTCCTCCCCCCCGGCGTCGAGGCTCCGCCCCCTCCGCACGAGCTTCCCGCCCCTTCTTCCGAGGCCTCTTCCTCGCCCGTCCCCCGCGGCCTCCTTCTCTCCCTCGCGGAGGCGCCCGGGCGGGTGGGCGTCCCCCGTTCCCGGTGGGGAGCGAAGGCGAAGCGGCGGCCCCGGCGACCGACCTCCGCCCTCGCGCTCCGCCTGAGGTAAACTGAGGCGGCGGCGGCGGCGAGGAGAGGCACTGCGGCTGCGCAGTGGAGAGGCCGAGGGGAGGAGCCTCGCCGCCTCGCGCGCCCCTCGGGCCGGCGAAAACCCCGCCCCTCTACGTCAGCCCAGCAGCAGGGGAAGCCACGCCCACGTCCTCGCCTCGTGAGCGCAGACGCAGCGGCTGCAGGCGGGACGGCGGGACTCCCTGCCACATGACGGAGCCCCGAGACCTATGGCTATAGGGGGGTATACAAGTTTGATTATTAACAATAGCAATAATAATAATAATAACAACATGCATACGATAGTGGGGGCAGGTAAGCCTGCCCCACATAATTGATCACAAGAATGGCAATGCCCATCAGTTTTTTGGGGGTGGCCCCCTCAAATATTTGATGGGGGGGCGTCACCGCTGTGCTCCCAATGAAATCCTACCCCCACATGACCCCGGGGGGGGGCGGGAGAAGCAGCGCTGCCTCTGCCCTGGCCCATCCTCTGAATTTGCCCAAAGCGTAAGGCATCTTTCTTGCGAAATCGCCGTAAGGCACTTAGACGGATGGCATTCCTACTATTACAACTAATCATAGTAATCTTAGTAATAATAATGGTGCACGGGAGGCAGGAGTCCCCCTGTCCGGGTCCCCCCCCCCCCCGTGCTCCTGCATGGCTGCGAAATTTGCCCATTTGGGGGCTGGCCTTCCACTTTCTGAGCTGCCGACCTTGAACTGGGGAGCCTGATGCCAACGCATGAAAAGGTAACCAGCTGGACTTAGAAGGTTTTGCCCTTTACCTACTCCCCCAAAGTATTTGACGCTATTAGGCATGGGGGGGATCCAAATGAGGTGTGTCAATGGCGAAAGCATCCCCCTCCCCCCAAAAAAATCTCAGCCTCATTGGTTCCTTCCGAGGGGCCTGACTGAAGAAGTCCCTGCCAGGGAAGGGGGGGACAGGTCCCTCCGGGGCCCACTTGTGGGGGGCACAAAAGGCCGCCTTCCCTGGCCAGGAAGGGAGCCAGCAGCGCCAGCCTCCATCTTGGCAGGGGCTGCAGAAAAATATGGGCCCCGCTTGGCCTCTCCCTCCAAAGGGCTCCTGAGACAGCAGGAAGGGAGAGTAGGGCAGCCCCACAACTGGGACGAGGAGGGGCTGATGCTCCCCACAAGCTCAAAATGGACTCCAAGAACCAGCCCTGGCATGCGAGAGAGTCCCCCGCCAGGCCACCCAGGCATGGCTTCCTCTGGAGGAGGCCTTTGGGAAGGGCAGTTCTTCCTGGCTTTGCATCCTTTCTTGCCCCCAACCATTTTTTCTCAGGGAGCGGCCTCCCTAGATGGGCCTCCCTTGAACTACAACGCCCATCATCACCCACGTGGCCAGCCTGGCAGGGGCTGGTGTAAGCTGCCCTCCCCAAAATGGCGGGAGGGTGCCAGGCAGGGGGGCATCGCCCAGCACCCCGTCTCCCTCTCTCCATTTTATCACCCAACAGGGGCAGACCAGGTGCCTAGATTCCTGAGATACGCAAGGTGCCTAACCCTAACCCTGCCCTTTGGAACTCCCTGCCTCTTGAAATCCAACAGGCACCTTCATGGGACTCTCTGCAGAGCCTGCTGAAAACATTTTTGTTCAGACAAGCCTGCACAGGTGCTCAGAAAGTAGAGGTTATTTTAACCTGTTTTAGTACGTATTCTAACTTTTGTAGGGTTGTGATTTCCCCCAAATTTTGCTTGTTTTCTCTTTTTGTAAATGGCTGAGGTTTTTTTCAGTCAAATGGTGTGTAAATTTCATTAAATTTTGTATTTTTTATATTGTATGTTTATGTTGTGAACCACCCTGATATCTACAGGTGGAGGGTATAATAATAATAATAATAATAATAATAATCAGGAGCTGGGCTTCTAATGTCTCCAAGGAACCCCCACCAAGCTCCATAAATATGGGGGAGGGTCCACTCTGCCATCTCTCCCCCATCAGCAATGCCCCTTTTGGCTAACAGAGAGCCCTTTTTAAAAAAAACACTAAGCAAAGTGAATTTTACACGCTGTCAGCTTGTCAGATTTTGCTGAAAAATGAAAATCAGCTCTTTTTTTGAGGGGGGAGGCAACTTAGACAGTTCCCTTCCAACTTGACAATGCGATGATTCTACGATTCTACAATCTTTGCATACGGCTTGGTTCTAATAAGCCTCCTAACAAGAGTTTTACCGGAACGTTGAAACGTAAAACAGGCAGTTGAAAACAGTCGGGGAAATGCTTAAAATCGTCAGCAAGCGGAAATATGAAAAGACGTGTCTGCATATCGAATGTCTGGGTGGGCTTGCCTGAATGAAAACGTTGGCAGCAGGCGCTGGAAAGAGTCCCCGAAAGTCTCTTCTTTGCTTCCTGGCCTGAGAGCCACCAGCCTCGCCTCCCTTCCCCAGCCCTTTTCCAAGCTGCCTAAGCCAGTGGGCACCTTCTCCTCCTGTGGCAGGGAGTTCCACCAGTTAACTGGGAGAAATGCTGCCTTTTCTCCCTCTGAACTTCACCCCCAGCGGCTTTTTTGGGGCAGCTGCCCTCGCACTCGCCTCCGCATGCTCCCCGCTCGTAATTTCAATCCCTTCGCTTTCGGGCGCAGCCTTGGCCCACCTGCTCAAAGGCGGCCACGACTGGGAAAGGCGCTTCCCTGCAGCTTCGAGCAGCAGGCAGAAAGAGCCAGGCCGTCCTGAGACAAACACCTGGGAGGGGGGGCAGCAGGTTGGCAACACCATCTTGCCCCCAGCGGGCAAAGCAATGCCAGAGATGGCCCAAGCAACCACCACCACCACTCTTATTTATTAAATTTATATCCTTGCCTTCATCCCATCTCCACAGGCAGATGAAAATCACCCAGCGTCACCCCCCCCAGCCCAGTCCAGTCCTCCACACCCCCTAGCCAGAAACTCAGGCGCCCTCCTCGGCTGACCCTATGTGATTGCATTCCGAAGTGCAGCAGGTGGGTTTCAGAAATGCCCCACGGAAGGGGGCAGGAGGAGGGTCCACAACCTCCCAAGCAGCGCTAGAAATTAGCCAGGCGCCAGGCGCGTTTGGCGACTGGCATGGGTCCAATTCTGGCCACGTAGCGATCTCAGGATGCCAGGTGGCAACAGGGAAAAACAGAATGTCTCTTAGAGAAGGAGCTGAAATGTTTTTCTCGAAGCTTAAATTTATTCTGAATTATTATTTCTGATGTTTAGAGGTGTGCCAGCCGCTTTGAGATTTGTTTGTTAAAATATAAAGCAGTATAGAAATGAAGTTATTCGTAATTATGATATCATTGCTAACATCCACAACGAGAAAAGGCGCCTAGACGTTCAATTGTGGCAACCACAGTCCAGGTTTCAGGTGCCATTTGGCAATGAGATTATATATATCTGAGATTCCAACCCCCCTCCATGAATTGGCCTGAAGAGGTGCCAGGCTGGTGCTTGTGGCTGCCCCCCCTCCCAAGCCCCCCCCCTTGCGCTCTCTCTTTCTTTGCCATTCTTTCTCCACCTGCTAGAAGGCCAATTCAGGATGGAGAAGCCTGTAAGGCACCACCAGCTTTTGGGTGGGTGGGGGACACATAGAAGGAGGGAGGGGGCTAGGGACCTGGGTGCGAGTGGCGCTGCCTGCTCCCCCTTGCTCCCCAAGTCCAACAAGGAAGAGCCACAGGCCAGGAAATGGTGGCAGAGAGGGGAACAGCCCCCCCCCCCGCAACGTAAAAATGCCAAGCTCCCACACACATTGCTTTTGTGAAAAGGACTGGCTGGCGATATGCAAATGGCATGCAAATGCGAATCTGCTCCCAGCTCGAGGTGCCAATCAGATCTGGAGGCATGCAGATCCCTTCTCCACAAGCTCATTAAATCATCTTCAGGGATGCTTGCCAAAAAATCTCTCCCCCCCCCACACATCAAGAGGGGAACATGTGGCTTCGGCCCAGGAAAAGCGAAGTTTTTTGGGGACCTCTCAAAGGAAGGCTGTTTCCCCAGCAGGCGAAAGGAAGCACCCAACCTCTGCTGGTCACATGAGGCAGAGCCCCCACAAGGTCACCTGGACACCCCCCACAGGACAGGGGTGCGGATCCTGCCAAAGCACACTGTTAACCCTTCAGCTGCCTGCCAGCCACCACAGAGGTGTCCCAGACCTCATCTCTGTCCTGGAGACCCCAACTCCCTCTTTCCATCCTCTTTCTGTTGCTATGCAAATGATATGCAAACGGACAGCGGCAGAAGCCACTGGGCAGCAGCATCTTGTTGGGGGGAAGCAGGAAGGAGTTGCACCACTGTAGACACAACCAGAACGCCCCCCCCCACCGGAAAGAAAGGCCCTGGATGGTCTCCCAAGGAGAAAACTCGGGGCGCAAGAGAAGTGGCCACCCTCCTCTTGCCAAGTCATTCCTGGGGGATTGGGACCTGCACCCCCAAACAACTGTGCTATGGGTCAACCACAGAGTGGCAGGATGGGGGGGGCAGCAGAGCCACTCGGGCAGCCCAGGACACGCCAGCAAGGGAGGGGGCTTGGGCTGCCCCCTTCCTCCTCAGGCCACCCGATGGGAGGGGGGTGTGGAGAAGCCGGACCTTCCTGTCTTGGGGGGGGGAGGAGGTCTTGGCGGGTGTGTGTGGCTGGGGGGGGGGGACAGCAGCTCCCTGCAGTGCAGCATCACACTCTGGGAATGTGCTTCTTGCTGAAACAGCCCCCCCACCACCCCAGCATCCCTCTGACAGGGTTGCCTAGCAACATCACGCCCCCTCTCCTGCCACAGGAAGAGAAGGGAGGCCTCCGGGTGCCAAGCGAGGGGTCCCAGAGCCCCCCCCCCGCCCCCGGAGAAGCCCCTTCCTCTTAAGACACAAGGACTGGGAACAGAGAGCAATACACACACACACACACCCTGGTCACTCTCTCCCCTCTCTCCGCGTCCCCCACATACCACTTGGTGTGGGATCCTGATACACTGCTCCCCCCCCGCCATGCTTTCAATGGCACAACCACAAAATATATGCATGAAAGTGTTTGCCAGGTGTACTGCACCCCCTCCCCACAAAATGCTGCCCCTCACCCACTTTGCCCTCCTGCCTGTGCTGGTGCTGCACTAACTCCGCCCCCCCGACCCCGTGGCTGAGAGGGGGTCTGCCCCACAGGAGAGGCAGGCACAGATTGAGGCTTCTAGGCCTCTGAGCATGGGCAGAGTAGGAGTTAGGAACCTGCAGGTGCGCGGAGCAGTCTCCAGGTGTGGCAGGAGCCCCTGTTCCCTGACTACTGGTCCTGCTGGCTGCTGAGGGTCCAGCCGCAACAGGAGACAGGCTGCCACATGAGGGCCACAGGAGGGGGGTGGCACAGCTGGCAGTGGGAGGGGGCACTCAGGAAACCCCCAGGACCCTATTCGGACTCCCACCCCCAGCTAGCCATCATGGTGTGCTCATCAATTGGAGGGGGGGCGCATTTGGCGGATGGGACCACATGGCAGTGCCAACCCTGACCCTTTGCACGGCAGGAAGTGGGATCACCAGAGAGGGCTAGTTTTTTGGGGGGGCGAATTTGAGGGTTGAGGTGGAAGGAGAGGGAAAGACCGAGCTATGGGTCAAGCAGGGGCCTTCAAGGATGCAGGCAGGAGGAAGGGGCCCACTCTGTCAAGGGAGGACGGCAGATGTGAGCAGCATGGGCGGGGGGGGGGGCAAGAAGAGCTATAAGGCACCCCCCTTACAGGCCTCCGTCTCAGGCAGACCCCCCCCCCCAGCTCAGCATCTGCGAGGAGCAGAGGGGATCCCGGGCCTCTGGTGGTGATGGCGGGGGCCTCGCTCGGCCTCCTCTCCCCACAGAGAGGTGCTGGGGGCGGGAGGAGCTGCGCTACCTGCCCCCCAACCCACGAAGGCCTTCCCGGGAAGGTCTGGGATCCAGCGCTAGGATGACGCCTCCCCCCCCCTGCCCCCTCCGCCGCACGTGGAGACCCAAGCGGGCTAGACGGGGTGGAGTGGGCTGGCACCTGTCCCCCCCCAAGTTCCAGCCGCCCCCCACCCGCCTTGCCCGCCAGGCCCCAGGACGACCCCCAAGATACACAAAATAATCTCCAGCCTGCAGCCCCCCACCCCCACTCCGCGCGCCCCGTCAATCCTAGCCCACGCCAGCCTCGCTCCGGATTCACCGCTGCATCCCCCGAAAATGGGGCGCGGGCTGGGTGGACCTGGCCGGGGGCGGCGAGCTTCCCCTCCCTCACCCCCCCCCCCGACACACACACATCCACGCGCGCGCCCGTACCTCGGAAGGGGGCATAGGACATGGTGCCTTCAGCCTCTGCCTGCGCGCTCGCGGCTCATGGACCAGCCGGGGAGGGGGTCGGCCGGCCCGGCAGGGGAAAGGGAGCGGGAGCTGCGGGGAGGGGGCTCGGCCCGGCAGGAGGAGGAGGAGGCGGCGGGCGGGGGGGGGCGCCGGGCCTGCCTGCCTGCCTCCCCCGCACTGCGCCCCCGCCCGCCCGCCTCTTGGCGGCGCCTCCCCGGCTGGTCCTGATGCGAGAGGATGTCGCCGCTGGTCCTGATGCGAGAGAGGATGCGGGCGAGGATGCAGGCGGCGGCCGCGGAGGAGGAGGAGGATGCTGGCGCGGAGGCTGCGGCGCGCACAGGCTCCCTCTCGCCGCCGCCGCCGCCGCCGCAGCTGCTGCTCTTCGCTCCTCCTCGCTCCTCGCCTTGCCGCCTCCTCCTCCTCCTTCCTCTTCCTCCTCCTTCCCCGGCAGCCGCCTCAGCATCACAGCCCGCCCGGCCGCGCAGAGGAGCAGCAGCAGCAGCAGCAGCAGCGCATCTCCGCCGCGTCGCCGCAGGAGCGCTGCCCACTCTTAAAGGCGCCCGCCGGCAGCAGCTGCGGCTGCATTTGGAGGGGGGCACCGGAGCCGCTGCGGAGGGCAGGAAAGGCGAGGTGGCGGGGAGAGGGGGGCGTCTCACGGTGCCCCCCATCAGGCTGGATCCACCACTCTCCCGGCATGACTCCCCCTCCATCACAGGGCACCCCCAGCTTGCAATTTTTAGGTGTGGTGGGCGAAGAAGGCAGTGTCTGATGCGGGGGTTACTACTTTCAACCTTCCCCACGTGGCGACACCCCCATTCTTATCACCCAGGGTGCAAAGGCTCGCAAAGCTCCCCCCCTATCCCAAGGCACATCTGGAGGGGAGTGCGGTGGCTTTGCTAGGCCCTGCTCACTCCTTCCTCCACCTCCTGACCCAGCCACACAGAGCAGAGGCCTGTTGCACTGGCCCCTCCATCCCCACAGCAAGCTGGAAAAGCAGGACCCTCATGGGCCCATTTTACAGATAGGGAGGACTGAGGCTTCTGGGACCTCTGGGGCCATGTGCGCTCTCTTGTCAGCTGGGCCAGTTGTAGCCTACAGACAACCCTGTGGTGTAGGCCAACCCTGCAGGCGCAGCAGGACCTCCTTGCAAGAGCCATGTTTGTGATGGGGGGCTCTTGATTTCCTCAGTTCCCTAGGAAATCACCCCATGGGAGCCATGCAAGTGAGTAGGGGGTGGCTCATCTTATTTCACCTTCTATTGGGTAGAACGGGAGGGTTCTGGCAGAAACTATTTGATGGATAAGCAGGAGAAGATATATTAAAGTTAATTTATCTCTCACATGAGAGGTTTAGAGCCTTTCTGAGTTAAACTATTCCCATCCCTTTGAGAGTAGGTTGCTTAGCTTTAAATGTACTTGGAGTCACGCCCTTTTCCACCTGCAAAAGTAATCAGACTGTGTAGTAAGTACAAGAAAACACGTTTACTCACATGTAGGTCTTGCCAGGATTCAGCAAACAACATGGTACCAGGCAGACAGTGACCCTACAGACTCAAAGAACCGAGGCTGTCAAGCAGCTCAGTGACCTTTGGCTTTTGACTTAGAAGAAACAATACATTTTCTGCTCTCTGGGTTGTAGGAGGATTTTCCTAATTCCTTGACCCTCCACACCCTTGCTTAAATACTGGAGAACTATGTGTGTAATCTTGGCCACTCTTTCTTGCAATAAGCAAGTCATCTACGAATGCCAGTACATAGGGAAAGGGCCCATTTTTGCATTTGCCGTGCAAACACTTGTCTGTGTGGCTTGTGTGTGCCCTGGCTGTGTGAACATGCTGTACAATGTCTCATTCCATGCCCAGCAGCCTGTCTTAGACCACAGAGGCCCTTCTGAAGATTGCGTACTAAATGGGCTTCATTTGGTTCAACAAAACTTTTGTCCTGGCCCCACACTGCTTTTTCCTCCTGCACCCCTAGCTATGCCACTGACTACATAGGTGGTGATGATCTCTCCTGTTTTGAAGTCCAAGATTCTGTAGCCTTTGCCTCCAGAAGCATATCCTAATGGAATTACTACTTCTGCTCTTCTTGTTATTTATAACCTCTCTTGCAAGCCTGAGCTCATTCTGAGTTTTAGCCCGCCTGATGTTTACCCTGCAACTGTTGGCTAGTTGTGTCTACTCCTCCTTTATTATTTCCCCTTTCTTCCATTTCTCACACATTCCCTTCTTAACTCTCAGCTCATCTGTAAGCTCCTTATGCAGCCACACCGGTTTCCTTAGCTGCCTCCCAATTTTTTTTCTTGATGGAATTGTCTGCATTTGGCCCTTCAGGATTTCACCTTTAAGAAACTCCCATCCATCTTGGACTCCCTTCTCTTTGAGTATTTCTGACCATGGGATCTCACCCAGTAGCTGCTTCAGCTTCCTGGAATTGGCCTTCTTAAAGTCCAGATTCCTTGTCGATTACCCTCAGCTTTCCCTTGCCTCTGAGATGCATTTTAAATAAAAGGACACGTTCTACTCACGCTGATCCCCGGACCGTCTGCAGGCTGGATTTAGAAGGTGATTGGGCCGGATCCAGCCCCCGGGCCTTAGTTTGCCTACCCATGGTTTAGCTACTCACCCTGATAGGGACCTAGTTGGTGCTATTTTTATAGAAAAAGAGGTGCCAGACCACACCCTTGAGAGATGCCGGAACTTAGTTTTGGTGAGTTCTGGCTGCAGAAAAGCCCTGGACCTAGTGAGCTCAGACCTATTGCCATCTTGCTGTGCCTCCAAACCACCAGCCACGTCAGTTTTGTCCCAGGCCGCCCCTGTCTGCAGGGCTACGGTTAGAATTCCTGTCTCCACTAACCCAACCAGTGCAGCGATTATGGCATTCAAACCATAAGCTTCCTTTTCCAGTGCATTGATTCTACTAAATATTCCTTCTGATGTTTGTTTTGTCGGGAGACATTGGTGTCATGCAAAAGTTCCCCCAGCGAGGGAATTTTACTCTCTGTGATGTTATTTCCCTTGAACGTCTGTGGCAGGAAAGTCACAGCTAGGTAGCCGTGTTGGTCTGCCGTGGTTCAAACAAACAAACAAACAAAATTCCTTCCAGTAGCCCCTTAGAGACCAACTAAGTTTGTTATTGGTATGAGCTTTCGTGTGCATCTGAAGAAGTGTGTATGCACACGAAAGCTCATACCAATAATAAACTTAGTTGGTCTCTAAGGTGCTACTGGAAGGAATTTTTTGTTTTAGGGACTTCCGGGGTGGCGCCATCGGCAATGGCGGACTCCCTCTGAACTGGAGGGACCAGCTCCGCGCGAAACGGGTCTTTTCCGCTACGGCGAAGCGGGGACCCTTTTAGAAATCACAGGCGGATGAAGCCTGTGACCATGGGACTCGGCGGGCACCCTTAGCGCCCCCCCAACCCGCAAAGGAACCCATTAACGGGCTCCGAAGCGAAGAGGGGGAAGTGGCGCGGTGCTGTGAGTCAACTGCTTTTTCCGTGGAGCGAAGCAGCATAGCCGTTGCCGGAGAGCGCTGCCTTTTTCCTGGGACAATTTGGCATCTAAAATAATCATCCGTGAGTACTTAAACTTTGAACAATTGGACTTTAAATAAGGACTGGCGAGCAGAAAGGTATTGGACTTAAAAATTTACTTCAATTTGGTACTGAAACGGGAAGGTCTAAACAGGAAGTCAGCCTTCCATTTCTTTGTAGACAGAATAAAGCAAAGACAACGTAAACTAGAGCTCAGAAAATCACTTCTAAAGGATTGGCTTTCATCATTTAAAATTATTGAACCCCCCTTCGGTAGCAGGAGAAGAAGGGGGATCTTTTTTGGACTGCTTAAACCTGCAGAAGTGAGTTTAAAGTAAAGCAACTTTCCACCGTCCTGATCCTGGAGCGGGGTGTCAGGACTGACGTTTGAAGCTCATTGACCAGAGACAAATGCTTTTGACAGATAGCTAAAAGAAGAGTAACATAGTGATTCCACTGTTTCCTTTCGCATTTTAAAGGAACAAATATTGACAAAATATCTTAAAAAAGAGAATTTGTTGCTAGATTTGTCCTTAAAAGAAAGAACAAATAGAAGTTTTCCCCCTAGAGGGAGACTGTGAAACTGTAACTAATTCCAGGGAGCTTGCAGCTGTCACAGATTACAATCGTGGGAATGGACTTGTGACCTTGTAGGACAATGTATTCAGAAGCTCTGTTGCGTGCTCTCTGTAAAACAAATGCCCTACTGGCTCAGTTAAATGAGAAGACGGATTTGATGACTAATGCGGTCAGAACTTTTGAACAGGCAGTGGGAAACTATATGGAGCCCACCCAGGAACTAAATCAGGAGTGTGCCCTGACAGAACAGATGAGAGAAGAGGACGTTGCTGAATCTTGGGCGCCAGAGATGGAGGGAGCTGCGGCCCTGCAGGAACATGAGCTTTTGGATTTGACAAATGAACTTGGAAAAAACCAGATTTGGAAAGATAAAGTTTGGATTGGTTTGGAAATGGGGGGTTGGATTGACCCCCCTATGCAGGGATGTTTGGACTTTCCGAGTCTGGCAATGGGCCGTGAGATGTTTGGAGCTGTGGGGGCTCTCAATTTTGGAGGGATTCTGAAACATGTTCTTAAATACCACATGGAGTTTAGTCCGGACTATGGAGAAGGGGCTGATTTGTTGAAAAGGGTCAAAAACATTACCAAGCTGGAGTTCCCACGAGTGAAAGGAAAATATGAAGAAGAGCCACGGAAGGGACATGGAAGAGACTTAAGGGCCTCGGATATAAGGTTACCAGGTTAATGCGCTAGATCAATGGGATAAAAAGGACTGACAAAACCCGGGACCAGGAGGAAGGGACGCTGGATGAAGATTGGATTGTCTTTATTTCTTTTTTATCATTAGGATTGTTTTATAAAATTGATGAATGTTAGAAAAATGTTGAAATGAAATTACTTGGCTCTAGCAAAAATGTTTAAAGAATTAGGTAAGAATATTATGGTTATGAGAAGTTGATAAAAATAAGATTTAAGTTTTAAGTTTTAAGGTTTTCTATAAGATAAGATGAAAATAGATTAAGGTAATGTAATGATAGAATATTATGAATTATGGAAAGGATTTGCTGCGATAATTATTAATTAGGATACAAAAAAGGGGAGGAGGAGGAGGTCAAAGAAAGAAGGTAATGAAAGTTGAGAATTTGAGAATGATGGATTTTTATTTTTTATTTTTATTTTTCTGTTTTGTCCTTTTTTTGTAATTCTAAAAAATTTTCAATAAATATCATTTAAAAAAAAAGGAATTTTTTGTTTTGTTTCGACTGTGGCAGGAAACTTAGACTAAGGATTAAAATCCTCCTGGCTTCAGATCATTCTCATTTTTCATCTACAAGCTGATAGAGACAGAGCCTTACTGTAAGTTCCCTCTCTCTCTCTGTCAAGCGCATCTTACTACTTTCAGTGAGTGGAAAGTAACCAGGGGCGCCTTACCCATAGAGGCTAGTGGCGCGGGGTGCCAAGTTCTGGAGGGCGCCAGGGAAGAGGCGGAGGCTAGACACAGC